GCCTTTGGGGGATGCAGGAACTGCAGAATAAGTTTTCTCCTGGTTCATGGCCAATATTTAATGCTGTGATGAAAGCTCTGCAGTTCATTATGTTAGTAAACACAACACATTTATCTCCGGGACCAAGAACAGACCCAGTCTGATGCAGAAGATAGAAAATCAGAACTGATCTATATGATACAGGTCTCCTTTGTCTGTACTAAGGTTGGTGGTTACATATCAAGGATGAAACTCAACAGGAAGTTCTCTGATGCTGTAGCTTTCCAATGCCAGTTGGGCTCTGGTGTGGGGAACTATTTATTTTCCTTCTGAAATGGCAGAGACTCAGAGGCCCATACCATGTTTTTCCCACCTCACATCGAATACCCTATGCAAGCATGCAGATCCTTAGCCCTGTGACTAGGAGACTGGGACTGCTAACTATATGATAACAATAGATATTTTGCACAAGAATTCTCCTGCAATAAGTGGAGCTACAAATGGATACACATGATATGAGGTAAGTTCTTACAGTGACCAGTTAGACATCTGGAGCTCCGATAAGCAACACATGTGCAATTAACATGCCAAAGCAAGAGGTTTCACTAAAGACAGATGTAAAACCAGGTGGTGTGTTTTCTTTTCAGAGGTCACAAGAGTGTTCCTGCAAGGCTCTCTTGCCTGGGAAGCAGAACTAGGAAATAAAGCACATACAAAAGATGTGTTTCTGGTGCAATAAAGCACAAATTAAGAACGATTAGCTTGTAAGGCCTAATAACAAAAGCAACATCCTTTATCAGCAACATCGTCAGTTTAGCTGACATATCTCTGAACTGAACATTTGTAACTAGTCTGGGGCCTGCAGTTACTTCAGTCAGATTAACACAGCAATGCTAATAGCAATTAGATTCTAAATTGTGCCTCACAACACTTTGTCTTTGGCATGCAGTGTAGGATGTGTCTCAAAGACAAAAATATAAAATTACAATGGTACCTCTGGTTGCGAACGAGATCCATTCCGGATCCTGAGCAGAACACAACCCGCTTCTGCGTGGGTCGCGATTTGCCACTTCTGTACATGTGCGCGACGTCATTTTGAGCATCTGCGCATGTGCAAGCGTCGAAACCCGGAAGTAATCCATTCCGTTACTTCTGGGCAAAATGGTCAATCTGAAGCGTCTTTAACCCGAGGTATGACTGTATGCTCAAAATCAATTTAATTTATTTTTTTTTGTACTAGAAACACGCATGCAACTTGCTGAGTTACACTTCAGTTCTTCAGCAGGCAGAACAGAGGGGGAGCCCTCTTCAGGCATTCAAGGGATGGGGGCTGCCACCCCCTCTTCCCTAGTCCTTTGTGTCTATGGCGCGAGATTTGGAACAAGATTCAAACCTGGAGGGAGGATTCCGTTAGTTGAACCTAGATAGAAACCTCACTTCAGGCAGGAACTTTCTGTGTGCACGGGTTCCTGAGGGTGGGGAGGATTCTAGCTGCTTTCAGTTGAATGCAGTCAGCATCCCCCTTCAGACCTTTGTGCTAAACACAAAGAGAGGAAGGGGTGGGGTCAGCCCACACTCACAGTTGAGCCGTCATGTGTTCTTTGGAAAGCATTTGTAAACCTATATTTTATTACATTTGTAAAATCCCACCATCCTCGTAGGTTTGGGATTTTCACCTTCATAACAACCCGCCACCTTTCTCCTATTCGCAGTAACCCTGCGAGGTGGATTAGGCTGAGAGTTGGTAGTTGTCCCCAAGTCACACAGTTCAGCAGGAAACTGAAGCAGGGTCTTCCCAGTGTGTGCCCAACACTTCAACCACCATACCACCCTGGTACTCTTGCCAGGGTCTTGCAGAGCCAGGCAGAGGCTTGGGCCAGGTAGATAATGTGCCCCCCCCCTTTTTTTTACCCTGGGAATAACTGAAGTCTTATAAATAAGTAAGTATATAAATAATTTTCACAAACGTTATGCTGACAAATAATTTTATTTGCGTTTGCCCCAGTGCATCCCCTGCGATTGTGAATATGCTGACTGAGGCCCCCTTTGGAATCGGAGGCCCGGGCCAAGTGGCCCATTTGCCCCCCCCCCCCCCGTCTGGGCCTGACTCTTGCTTCACTTCAGACAAGATTACCACTTTAAACCTCTTTGTAGTAAAGTAATGAGATGCTATGGCAACCTGCTACTGCAACCTGCCAGTCTTAGGAGAAGCAGGGTTTTAAAATAAAATAACAATAATAATAATACATTATTTGTGACAAGTCTACCATCTATCTACTCTACTGTGTAGTTTCAAGTTATGAAACTAAACATATCTGCTTCATAACTAGGAACACAGAAACTGCCTTATGTCAAGTCAATGGTCCATCTAGCTCAGTATTGTCCACAGCGGCTCTTCAGAGTTTCTGGCAGGAATCTGTTCCAATCCTACTTGGAGATGCAGGGGACTTGATCCTGGGATCTTCTATGTGCAAAGCAGATGCTCTTCCAGTGAGTTACAGCACTTCCCTGCCTTTCCCCTTAATTTAGCTGATTTTAGAATGTTGGCTAATGCACCATCTTGAAGTAAAAGATATTGGCTACCATCTAAATAGTTAAGCAATACCTAAATCCATTGAAATTAAAGGTCTTAAACACACTTAGCTCTCCGTGTTGGGACTGTGGCCATTACGTGTGTAATATCGCTGTTTCTCTGAGACTTTTACAGCAATGCCAAAAAAGATTTGGCACAGGAAAGCAGGAGATTAAGTAACTATACCTGGCTTTTCCACTTTAATAACTTCAGCTCCAAGGTCTCCCAGATTCATGGTGGCAAAAGGTCCCGCAAGTACTCTGCAATGTTAAATTGTGATAATTGTTAGTCACTACGCTGCGAAGCTTTAAGAATTGTTCTGAGCTACAGACAGAAGAAACACAAACCTTGTTAGATCAAGAATTCTCACGCCATCCAGTGGCTTCACACTATCTGCACCTGCTTATAAACAGAGAAAAGAATCATTAGAACCATCAGTTATTTATAAAGCTGCTGTTCCATTATGGAAAACTTTGCACCTTCCTCAACATGGTTTTGCCATTCCTATGCACAGAACATGTGTGCCGACACCTCTGACTTTTGCATGACTGGAATGCAGCTGACTGTACAAAATTTCCTATCCCTGGTATAAGGACAGATATGTTTAAGTTTTAAGAATTATCACTGGCTGCTCTTTGCATTTATTTTCCCTTTTAAACCCAGCCCCAACCTGCCAACTGAGGATAACACACATCTGATGAAGTGGACTAGATGAAGCAAGATGAGCCTTTGAGTGGATTTAACCGTTCAGGGGTCATCTACCTTTTACATTAGATGTTAGATGTTTTAGAAACTGCAAATCATCCTTTTGGCTTTTGGCTTCTTTTTAACTGAAGCTGAAACCCTCTGAAGCTGAAATAATCAATAATACAAAGGGGAACTAATGGACAAAGGAGGGACATGGGGGTGGGGACAGATTTAACTTAATTCAAGATCATGGATTAGTAAATAAGACCAACAGATGAAAAGGAAATGGGAGTGAAAGAAAATGGGAATACAGTGGTACCTCGGGTTACAGACGCTTCAGGTTACAGACTCCGCTAACCCAGAAATAGTACCTTGGGTTAAGAACTTTGCTTCAGGATGAGAACAGAAATTGCGCAGCAGCAGCACGGTGGCAGTGGGAGGCCCCATTAGCTAAAGCGGTGCTTCAGGTTAAGAACAGTTTCAGGTTAAGAATGGACCTCCGGAACGAATTAAGTTCTTAACACGAGGTATCACTGTAAAAGAATCAGGTTTGCATTAAAGAAATAGAGAAGCAGCAGATCCTACTGACTTTGGGTCTGCAGTCACTACTTTCCTGTTGAGACTCTTTCCGGCACTGCTTCTGTGGCAGATGCAGACAGAACTGTGGCGAGTTTATAAAGCCAATGACAAAGGATGTGTTTTACTTGCATAAAGTTCAGTCTCTGGCCCCTGCAGCAGGAAGGACTAACTACAATTGTACCTTGGTTTACGAACTTAATCCGTTCTGGAAGTCCGTTCTTAAACCAAAGCGTTCTTAAACCAAGGCGTGCTTTCCCATAGCAGCAGGGTACTCAATTTACAAATGCAACACACTCAACAGGAAACGAAACATGTTCTTATTCCAAGGCAAAGTTCACAAACCAAAACACTTGCTTCCAGGTTTGAGGCGTTCTTAATCCAAGTTGTTCATAAACTAAGTTGTTCTTAAACCAAGGTACCACTGTATATCAGTGGGTCAAGAGTCCACAAAGATCAAGCCAATGAATAACATACTTGGAATCTACCCTTAAACTAGGGACGGTGAAACTAGGGACATTTAGATGTTACAGGACTACAACTGCCATCATCCTTGACGCTGGGCCATCTTGGATGGGGCTGCTGAGAGCTAAAGTCAAACAACACTGGGCAAGCAGGAGGGGGGCAGATTAACCATCCCTGCCCTAAACCTTTAATGAATTCTCTGTCTGAGGGGTGGGCAAAGTGTTCTGATGGTCTGCATTATAAGAGATCTGCATCATAATTCTCTGTTAAGTTTGTGGCTTAACAAACATTATTCAATGCAATTTGTAGAGATAGCCCAGCAATGTCTGGCTGGAAGTAAACCCATGTGAATTCAGTGGGACTTCTTAGTAAGACTGGGATCTTACGAAGCTCAGCAGTAATTTACCTATGAGAAAACAATAATGGGTGAAGTCTCTCTTTTTTGTTCCTACAGGCTTTTGGAAATTGACAGCTTTTAACGAAAGGGCTGGTGCATTGCTGCTTTTACTGTAATTTTTTATATGGTTTTGATATATTTCCTAAGTGTATAGGGATTTACTTCTATCCGTGCTTAGTTGCTTCTTAAATATTGCTTTTTTCTGTTCTAAACCATTTATATTTTTTATATGCAAGCCGTCTTGAGTCCCTTAATCAAATAACTCTAGAATTGTAAGGGGCCACGAGGGTCATCTAGTCCAACCCCCTGCATTGCAGGAATCTTTTTCCAATGTGGACCTCGAACCCATGACCTTGAGATTATGAGTCTCCTGCTCTACCAACTGAGCTATCCCAGACTCAATATATCTAACATGTAAGAGCACAGAATGGGCTGCTTTCCAAGAAAGCCGTGACTGTGGCTGCAATCCTGTGCCCACTTACCCGCGTGTAATCCTCAACAAGTTCAACAGGGTTTCGAACTGGATGGGGGAGCTGCGTGCCGAGATTCCCGCAATGTTGGGTTGGACTAGATGACCCTCGGGGGTCCCTTCAAACTTTACCAGGCTGTGATTCTGCGATACTTCTGAGTAGACCTGGCCTCGCCTGTGTTTGTGTGCGCCCCTCTCCTCAGCGAACTGCGTGAGCACCATAGCCGTCAACTTTCCCCTTTTCTTGCGAGGAATCCTATTCGGAATAAGGGAATTTCCCTTTTAAAAAGGGAAACGTTGACAGCTATGGCGAGCACACGCTTCCTCGGCTTGGACCGGGAGGGGGGCAGCTGCTTCCCTCAAACTTGGCATCTCCCGGCCCCCCCACTTTTCTCTCGCGACCCCCGCAGCCCACCCCGCCCGCCGCGGCTCCGCTGCATCGGAGAAGCGTCAAAGCGGCTACCTGGAGGGAGGAGGCAGCTTCCGCGCCGCTGCCCCCGGGAGGGGAGCCTGGCGGGCTGCGGGGGGCGCGGCAGGCGCCGGCTCCCCCGGCCCAGAGCGGCGCCCAGCATCCCTGCGGAAGCAGCCCGGGCCAGGGCAAGGCTGCGAGGCCACCACCTGCACCAGCAGCAGCAGCAGCAGCAGCGCCCACCTGGGCAGAGCTTCTGGACTCTGGCCCCAAGCTCCCCGCCGCGTGCGCCTCCCGCGCAGCCGCCCTGCGCGCTCCAGGCTCCGCTCGGCTGGGGAGGGAGAGGCGGAGGACGCAGGCGCAAAGGGACCCCCCCCCCATCGTCGCTGTTATGCGCTTATACCCCGCCTCCCCCCCCCCCCCAAGACGGCTTACCGATAACAAATAAGAACAGCTTAGCGACACGGGGAGGGAGAGCGGGGAATCAAACATTAAGACAGCAGTTAAACATTGATGGACTTAAAACTATATATCTGTTTCTAGATACAATATAGATACAATATAGAATGCACACACAACTCTAAAACGAGATCGGTATCTATTTATAGATATACACTTCTTTTATCTAAAAAAATGTTTAGGGGTACTCTCATTTTGACTCAATAAAATCACAATTTAATACTTCAAATTGGGAAAAATAAATACAATGGACAAAAGTACAAATATTCACAAAATGTGTAGGGGTATGTGTGTCCCCCAGAAAAAAAGCACTGGATACACACACACCTTAAAACATATATAAAAATGTATCTACAGACCCTCCAAGAGTCCCTATTTTCCAGGGACAGTTCTGGATTTACATAAGACAGGATTTACTGATTTGATCCCATAATGTCCCTCTATTCCTTAGGACATCCTTATTTTCCTCAGATAAAGGCTGAAGAATATAATATCTATATAGATATCTACATATATATATATATGTTTATACGCATCTATCTGTATACAGATACCTACACACACGACTCTATTGAAACATGGGCCTAGAAACAAGAACATTAGTAGCGGGCAAGAAAGAAAAGACATTTAATCCTTGCTAAGGGCCACCCCCACGGTCTCACCTGCTTGGATGGGCAAACTTAGGAGTAGGAGAGGAGTAGGTAAAATATACTCAGAGTCGAGTGTGAATTTCATGCTCTTTATTGCTCTTTGGATCTTTCTGCCCAGTAGCCAGCCAACATTTATACATATATTTATAAAGCTGGCGTCAAGTATTTTGCTTTTTTATTTTTTAACCTAGGACAAAGGCTTTATGCCTTTCATCAAATGCCTGACAAAGCAAAAATTAACAGACGGCCCTCTATGTATCCTATTCTCTCTACATGCTAGCGAAATATCCACCTGTTTCCCCTCCAGATTGTCACAACTCTGTGTTGTTTTGGGGTGCCAGAGCTTCTGGGTGCAAGGCACCCATAATTTCAAGATAATGTAAGTGTTCAAATTTAATCAAGGTTTAGGGAACTTCACCTCAGCCCTATGCCTTCCTCTGTTTCACCTCAGTCTAGTGTGGAAGGTAAACTCCTTAGTTCAATGGCATTTACTTCTTAAAATGTCCTAACAAGTACAAACAAATCTGAGGCTGCCATCCTTTGCATGCTCAGTTGAGAGCTAAATGGAGTTAACAAGAACAACAACCCTTTAGGCTGAAGTTATACCCTATGAGTGTGAGCTGAATTGGCCACATAAATGATTTCCATGTTTGTTTTCAGTGTCATGTGGATGACTCCGTGCACGGTCAAATGCCCCGCAAAACCAGCTGAGCAAATAAGCTCTGTGCAGGGCCGGATTTAGGTTTGATGAGGCCCTAAACTACTGAAGGTAATGGGGCCCTTTATACGTCCAGCTGTCCTTTGTCAACAACAAATTGTCGCTGTTTTCTGTGTTGAATATAAGCTACACGGTAATTTATGAACCTAATAGGTATCTAAAGCCATTTGCACATGCAGAATGTAGGCACCCTATATAGAGAGATGAGCAAACCGGTGATATTTTAGGGAGTAGGCTAGCAGGCGGGGCCCATTACATATCAGGCTTCCTCACCCTCGGCCCTCCAGATGTTTTTGGCCTACAACTCCCATGATCCCCAGCTAGCAGGACCAGTGGTCAGGGATGATGGGAATTGTAGTCTCAAAAACATGTGGAGGGCCGAGCTTGAGAAAGCCTGGCTTACATCATAGGAGCCTAAACAACACAAAACTGTTGTGTAGGTTTTATTTTGTTTTTTATCTTATATTTTGGAAATGTACATCCATTTTTTCCCCTTTAATTTTTTTTGGGGGGAGCCCCAAAAGAGTGGGGCCCTAAGCTTATACGTAAACCCGGCACTGCCTCTGTGCATAGCTAAGCCGCATGTTTGCAAATGGGGCCAGAGGCGGGAGCCGGAACCATGTTTCTCGCGGAACGTTGGGCGCCGGGCGCGGTTGCGGGCGGGGCTGGCGGCGGCGGACCTTCCTGCGGCCGCTTCGCGGGAGCCCCGCCCCCCGGAAGGTCTCCCGCGGGTCGTCCGCCGCCGGCTGCCGCCATGTACCGGCCGGGCTTCCGGCCCCCCACGCCCCCTTGCTCCGGCGGCTTCCGCGGCCCCCACCCGGACAGAGGAGGAGGAGGCGGGCCCCCCTTCGCGGGCTCCCCTCAGGGCTACGGGAGCCCCCGGCACACGCCCCCCTACGGCCCCCGCGCGCGGCCCTACGACTTCGGGGGGCCCTCGCCGCGCAGGCCCCGCAGCGCCAGCCCCGCCGGCGGAGGCTACGCTCCCTACGGCGGGGGCGGCAGGTCCCCCGGAGGAGGAGCCTTCCAGCAGCAGCAGCCGCCGCCTTTCAAGCAGCCGCACTCCGGGGGCTTCCGGAGATTCAGCCAGGTAGGGAAGCAGCCGGGTCCCATCCCATGGCTGCGGGGGGGGGGCGGGGTTGACTGGATGACCCTTGGGAACCCTTTCCAACTCTGCCATCGGAATAATAGAACTGTAGAAAGGGGTCCCGATTTACGTATAAGCTAAATAAGAAGCTATACAGGGCCCCACTCTCTTGCTCCCCCCCAGAAAAATTCACTATTAATATACTTCTTCCTAATTCTATTTCAGTTCAACAATTGCTTTGATAAAATACATACTTTGTTATGCGCAAATGGCTTTAGATACCTGTTAGGTCCATACATTTGGACCTGAAACAGTGGAGCCTCAAATTTTGTACCGCTCTGGTTTCGTTACTTTCAGGTTACGAACCCAGCAAACGTTCGCAGAAGCAACACCTCTAGTTTTTTGGGGTGTGCACAGACCCGCAGAATGAATTCAGTTCGTATCTGGAGGGTCCACTGTATGTTCAGCACAAAAAGCAGCAACAATTTGTTGTTGACAAAGGACAGCTGGACATATAAAGGGCCCCATTACCTTCAGTAGCTGAGGGCCTCATCAAACCTGAATCTGGCCCTGCCAAGGTCATCTAGTCCAACCCCCTGCCATGCAGGAAAATCTCAGCTGAAGCATCCATGACCGATGGAACTCACCAAACCTCTTCCTAAATACCTCCAAGGAAGGAGAGTCCGCTACCTCCTGAGGGAGACGGTTTTGCAAATTGGTGACAAATCATCTGCAGCCTGGTTACTAGAGAGGAGAAATTGAATGTAGTACAGTATCTGACAAGCTGGTCAATTCCAAAGTTTTGCATTGTTTTCTAAATGCAAGTAAAATAAATGTGTTGAATTTGATCCCTCTCTTGGTGGCTATTGCGTGGCCCTTCAGATGTGGAGTACAGCTCCTATCATTCCTGGGAGTTTGAGTTCCAACCGCACTCCTGTGCTGAAACATCAGAAAGTTTTCTGAAACAAACAGAAAGTTTTCCAGTTAAAGATTTCCTGAAAAATATGTGTCACTGGCCATTGCAGGCCCAAGTTGCCACAAAAGTCTTGGAGGCAAGTGTTGGCTCTTTATACCAATTAGCAAAGAGCCAAGTAAGAAAAATTATTTTATTAGACCAACTGATAAATGCAAGTTCTAAACTTTAAGAAATACTAAATAGGTTTGAAATCAAACCTAACCAGTGGTGCTTAGTAATATATTAACAAAACAAAAATGAACTCATAAGTAGGAGCTGCTATAATTGGATTAAAACACGTGCTTGTTTTCCAAACCAGCCAAATTAAGACACTGTTAATTTAGCAAGACTGGGAAGAAAATTGATGAACTGATGAAAGTTTGTTGTTTGAAAATTAAGTGCTCCTAGTTTAAAATGGGAAACGTAGTTTCTGAGACTATAACAGCTGTATTCCACTGATTTATATAGAACATAATCCACTCCCTGTAGCTGTGGTTCATAGAATCTAAAATGGATACTTACGTTGTGAGCTTTCTACCTGGAAGGTATCTAACTTGTATTGTATAATACAGTCGTACCTTGGAAGTCAAATGGAATCAGTTCGGGTAGTCCATTCGACTTCCAAAACCAAAGCATGGCTTCTGATTGGCTGCAGGAAGCTCCTGCACCTGAGAGAGCATATGCGTGGGTCTTTCCAAACCTGAATTACACAAATGTTGCATTCAAAGCCCAGCTGGCTGCTTGCTGTCATTCCCATAAATTGTATCCAACAGACGGTTCACAAGGCTTACACCACTCACAGGGATTTATCAGGCTTCCCTCCCACTGCAGCCTCTTGTGCCTCCATCGGAATCAGGGTACCCTTGAAGCAATATGAGATTGTCACAAGTGGCACCTGGAAATGGAAATCTGAGAAATGCCACGACACTGAAAGCCCTTGAGTACCAGCCAATTTCTTTTGAACATTAAAAGATGCAGCTGTTTATAACCTTCTGTACTTGCTTTAATACAGACCTACTATTTGCACCTTCTGTAGTCACAGAATTTACACTATATTATGTTCTAAGACAAACAAAATACAAATTACCACAGCACTTTAAAACATCTGTTTACATGGACAGCTAGTGATTAATCTATACAAAATAAACTTGTTTTAAAAGAAAAACAATAACTTATAGCATTTAGCTGGTCTTGAACACCTTCTGAAAGCTCGGCATCTAATTAGACTGTTTACTCCTTTTCCTCATGGCTTTTCTCTCAAAGGGATCACCCAGGACATCTACCCCATTGGGAACACCACATGGTAGAGAGAAAAGAGTGTCTAATGATGATGTGGAAAACTATTACAAACCTTCAATGCTTGAAGACCCCTGGGCTGGCCTAGAGCCCGTATCCGTTACGGATGTTAACCAGCAGTACAGCAGTGAGCAAACCACATACACTGGCAAAAAGGGGAGGTATTTCAGTTAACATTTATGCAAGTGAAAAAACAACTGTGAGAAAACTGGGCCAACCTTCATACGTAAGATGGCAAGTAATAAAGAACTTAGAAAATGCTTTTATTTGAACTGACCATATGGAAGTGGGACATCCGCCTATGGAAAGCAAAGTATTCTTTAGTCACCAGCAAATCAGTCTGTGTCAGTTTCTTATATTCATCTCTTCCATGCCATATTATACAATATTAACCCAAGAAAGTGGTATATTTTAGATTTGAACATTTTTAGAACAAAGTTTTAAAATAAAGTAAATGTTTTGTAAAACTCACAAATGCTTACTGCTTTTTGTTAAGTCATACTAGAGGTAATGCTATTGAAATTTCTTGCAGCCTGTAAATATATGCAGGTTATATAAGCTATTATACAATATCTGCTAAAATTGTTTAACATTAGAATTGCCAATTTTGCAACCTCTTCTGTTCAGAAAGTCATCTATACCTATATATTTTCGTATTGAAAAATTCTATTTGGGAACAAAACTTTACTAATTTGTAACAAAAGACCACTTTATAAAAATCCATGTTGAACCTGCGTACAAAAATTACCTTATTTAAATAAGCCACTAAGTAGAACTGGGTAAACCTAGGGGCAAGTAAGTTTTGTGCACCTGATAAATACACTGCTTCTATCAGTTTTTCAAATGTCACCTTTCATTAGGACTTTTATTTAGGAGTACAAGATGACTGGGCTTTGCTAGTTTGGTTTTTGCTCTACATTTCAAAAGCAGATTAATAGGGAACGAAATAAGTTAGTGCAAAATCTTTAACTTGAGTCTGATTATTTTTTGAAACCTCACAATAATACATTTTGTGCTACTTGGCTTTGTAGACACTTGAGTAACTGGACTTGCTTCAGTTAAAAAAAAAATGCCGCTTTTCATGACTTTATTTCTGTAGCCTTCATGGTGGATTTATTCACCAGCTGTGCTTATAACTTCTGGACTACTTATTTTATATTACTGCTGCTACACCAGCAGGAATGGAAAGTATAAACATTCACATTTTTCCTAATTTAAATCTAATGGAGGAATTAAATATTTTAATAAGGAAAGGAAATCTAGCAATGAGTTGGTTATGCATATAATTTAGAGGTGCATTCAGACAACACTTATTTTTTTTTAGCTCACCCCCCAAATAGATTTACTTCTAAAAAAGGATTTAGAGGTTTGCGTACAGAGCTGTTGGATAATGTCCAATGCCTATGATGCAGCGTTCTCTGTGTAGCGGGCTAAATTGTGAACTTCAAAAGCTACAGAGGGTATGTATGTAAAAGTGTATCAGCACAGTTTAATGTTTAGTACTTTTTAGAAATCAAATAACCAACTGTTTTGGATTTCTATAATACAAAATGTTCCCAAAGGGTATGGATTTGATTTGATTTGATTTTGATTTTTTAAATAAAGATGCTGTTGAAATCGAAGCATCAGTTCTACATTGTTTTGGGACAAGTCTTTTCACAATAAACACATCCCATTTCCCGGTATGATTACTCATGAGTCACGTGCATTTGCTAGTCATTGAAACCAGATTAGCCTTCTGAAATCGGAGTAAGCAATTAGCAGTGCCAATAACCTGCATTAACAACATATAATCTTAAACTACTAAAGCTTGTGTTTATATGCAATATAAGGCTGTGGAAATTGCTGACAAGCATCTCATCACATGGGAGCTGTAACATTTGAACAGCTGCCATCTATGTTACTGGTGGATTTTAAGTGTTCCAATGAACCTGCAGCCCCCTTCTACTTGTTTAGCCAATTCATGTGAGTAATCTCTCCTTTTATTCTTAAATAAACTGAATTTAATACAACTGTATCATTTGAGAAGCAATTAAAAATGATTTACAATTGAGTTTAATGCAAGGTAACTTGATTTACAGGAAATAACTAATGCAAATAGTAGGTGCTATATGGCAGTGTGGTTAGCAGCTACCCCAGTATTGAATAAGGTATGCCTTAAACACTGTTGGGTTATTAAACTAACCCATTTTCAACGTCTCATAGAAATGTAGATTTGGAAGTCCAACTTCCTGCAATGCAGAAATCTCAATTAGATCACACACGGCAGACGGCCATCCAACCTCTGCTTAAAATCCTCCAAGGAAGGAGAATCCTCCAGCGACCATCCACTAGAAGAGAATTAGGGTGGAAAGGCTAAGGTAAACTGAGGGTGTGTGGAGGCTAAATTATAAGCAAGTGCATTATGAAGATGTTCAACATGTTTACTGTTTACGTCAGGGGTTGTAAACAACCCGTGTTTTTTGCCCAGAGGCTTGCATTCAGTTTTGGCCAGCCCTCGAGGGACTGCATGACAACACCTGCTGTGACTACACACACACACAGACACACAGGTCCTCTTCTTGAACTAATCCATGCAGATCAGATGAGAAGGGAAGATTATCACCAATCTGATGACAAAGGGCAGTCCCTGCAACTTTATACAATCTCCACCAATCACCGTGCTGTCTCTACTTAAAAGCAAGCTTTTGCCAGCTCCAGAAGGGGTGAGGGGGCATAAGCAGAAGTTTCTGTACGGAATATTTATTCCCAAATATTTATCCTCAAGTGTAATTCAGCAATAATAAAGACGTTTTTCCTGGGCGTAATCCCTCTCAGCCTAGCAGTAAGGAGGCAGGATGGAGGGTCCCATAGTGTCATCAAGGAACAAAGAATGTAGAAGAAACCTTGGAAAGAGAAAAAAAGCACTGCATCCTTTTCAACTTGGGTTGAGACACAAGTAAAAGGTAATAAATTTCAGAGTGACATTACTTCTGTCAAGCCTTAATACTAATTTATAAAAATCTAGTGTGGAACATATAATCTTAAGCATAGCTCATTTGTATGTCATTCATGTATTTCCCAAGTCTGTACTTCTTATATTTAGGCTATAGTTTTTAATAGTGAAGAATCTGAATTCTACCAGTCCTCAAAATTACATCAAAAATGCTCCCTAGTAATTTCTTACACAGAGGAATGCTTCCTTCCAGGTGCCAATGGATGTCTTGAATACTTACCTTCTGCACAGAGAAAGATGGCTTCCTTGTATTGAAGGCTTTGTCACTTGCTTTTGTTAGCAAGTGTGCTACAAAGTGCCATTTCACTTATCTTCTCTTAAGGTTTAGAAAATTGAAGAACACTGAAAAAGGCAGTTGACCAGGTAGTTTACCACCCTCTTAGGTCAATCTATAAAGCTTCCCTTGTATGAAATTATATTTGACTTATTCCTGAAGACATATTGATGTATGTCAGAACTGGAATCCCCAAAGCACCTCTCTCTAGATCAGGGTTTCCCAAACTTGGGTCTCCAACTGTTTTTGGAATACATTCCCACTGATCCTGCTAGCTAGGGATGATAGGAGTTGTAGTCTGACAACAGTTGGGAGACCCAAGTTTGGGAAACCCTGCTCTAGATTTTGTTTCCTTAGTGAAGCAGATTCCATCAGATTTATAGAATATTCAAAAGAGCATGCCAACATCAAGAAGCCGTTGAACCCTTGACTTGGAGAGGCTGGCCTTTGTCCATGTTTGCAGGATTTGGGGAACATCAGAACAGTTTGATTCAAACATGTATTTATAACAGGGTGTGGGAACCTATAGCCTTCCAAATGTTGAACTCCAATTCCCATTACCTCAAGCCATTATGGCTTGTGGTTACAGATGATGGAAGTTGTAGTCCAGCAACATCCACAAGTCCAAGTATTACCCAAGTTTTGAAACTGCCAATATAGATTCCCCTTTGGCTCTGTAGCATTTAGTGGGGTGGACAACATGTTCTAGGGAGCTTACAAAGCCATGGGTTCTGCCTAGACTGGAGCCCCTTCTTTCTTCCACATGCCCAAAGTATTGTCCAAGGCAGGAAGCCACTTGGAATGGGCTCCAATGCAGCGCCAGAAATTACAATCAGAAAATGAAATCCAGAGAACTGGACCTGAACCAATCTTTATTTTCCTAGATTGTGCATGAATGGAAACTGTGGGAAGAGGTAGGATACTAACTAATTAAAAGTTTTAGCATAGCGCTGTTGCTGTTTTTACTCACTTTTGAGCAGGCCTTTACTAAACTGAATTATTGAGGAAGATGTGTTCCAAACCCAGCATCTTCTATATGAAATGCGTCAACACAAGCTGTTAAGCTTAAGTATTTTCTTCCAGTTTAGCTGCTTTTATTTTCAGTCAGGATTCTCTAAACGATACTGCAGATGACCAATGTCATATTTACAGGGGAGTTCCAACAAATTTGACACCCTACAATGCAATATTCACTTAAGTCAAGAATTTGAAGCAGACAATGTTAGGTTTGCTTCTAAAAGATTCAAGTCACAGCTGACAAGACTACATTTGTAATTTTGTTCATAGAAACATTACATATTTAGAAAATAGCTACATGTGCACTAACTTATCAACTGGATAATCAGTTGGGAACTGTTTTTCCAATATGGTCATTTAAAAACATTTCAGTACACAGAAAGCCTAGCCAGTCTCCTGGCTGAGTCTCATTCTCACAGAACAATTTTATATTGCTGGAAATCATCATCTTTGGAGCCAGAGTGGTACTTCCTTGAACCATCTTTTGCTTTTAGACTGAACATGTGATGAAATTTCAAAACAGATTCAAATCAAGTAGCAAGTTAGTGGAATAGTTTAATACAGAATTGGTTGGCACAGTCCCAGTTTTCATAAGTCTTAACTGCCTATTAATTTCATTGCATTAAATGCTGGTTATGTAACTTTGGTTACATTCTGCAGCAAATTATGTGGAAAAAAGCAGGTGTCAGTTTTCCAACACAAAACTAGTTATTGTTAATTTGATATAACAATATGCTATTCTGTTTTCTTTTTAATAAAAAGACTATTTTGAATAAAACAGGACACTAACTTTTATTTGGTAAAGGAATTAGAATAAGAGCTCTTACAGAAAATGGAAGGAAACCTACCTTTCTTCATTACTGTCCATACATTCTCAATTTTCTTCACTTAATTCATTAAGGGGATAGTTGTAATTTGGGAAAGAGAAAGTTTTTCTAATTTGACTTTTCTAACTGCTTGTAAGAATCCCATAAAGAATGCCATCTATTCCCCTTGTCCATAATTTACTCTGAATGTAGTGTAAATATTAAATATTTGTATCAAACTACAAAGTACCTTCCAACAGCCTTTTGAATTTAATGAAATGTTCTTCAGACCTTAAGCTTACATTGTTAAGGCACTTACCATTCAAGTAAAACAGTTTTTATACAAACGCTGGGAAGATGGACAGGATATTTTACTGGACGAATGACTTTGAAAGTAAATCAAATCGATGCCCAAATATGTATAAAACTGTTATATCAAGAAAGACTGTGTTTTATTGTCTGAAATGAGCACAAAGAACTCCTTCCACAGATAACACTGAAAGCAGTGCAAAGACTGACAGTGACTTTTTGACTAAAAGGTAGTTTTGTAAAAAGAAATACCAAATAAATCAGTGCCCTGCTTTGATTGTTGTAAAATTTTTACATAAAAGTTGGTCCAAACTTACAAAAAAAAGCACAAGTGTGTGCATAGTTCAGATCTGACAATGTGCCATAAAAAGCTGATGTCCCTAAATTTAGCATCGACTTAACTGCCAAAATATAAAATTTATAGCTAGAATTTGCAAAGATGTACAATCAATTATCTGGTTCTCAGAACAGCATGAATTGTAAGCAATTTCTTATTGTATGCAAGACCCTTTTCCACATAAAAATAAAGCTGTTGAATTAACATTATTCAAGTCTATTGGATTGCTGCTTTGAAATCACAGCTACGAAGTCTTTCCAGGTAAAAACGATGTGCCTGAGGGAAAAAGAAAGAAACAGATGCTCAATATGGCAATCCTCTGCCTCGTCCTCTGACACTGGATGTGCTAATGTGTCCCCTGTATCCTTGTGAATATCCAGGTCCTTGGGCAGGAGAAGTCCACGTTTGTCCATGCATGTGGCTAACACTGCCAGGGGGTTCTTGTAAATTACTTCCATAGCTATAGTTCTGTGTCTTTGAGGACAAGGAATGAGTACTTTCAGACCCTGTGCATGTGTCACCACTGTTACCCAGAACTGTGATGGGACCATGGCTATATTCAAATCTATGGTCCTTATCACCACTAAATAGCATGGGACCAGTGTTGAGGTAAATGTCTCCATAACCAGTTACTGAGCTATGAAATGGTTCTGAAAAGGCAGGAGGTGGAGGGGCACCACTAGAGTGAGATGAAGCAGTACTGTAGGTCTCCAAGGGTTGAACATCTGAATTTCCAATGAAGTTTCCCCTTTCTAGTGTCCCAGATGATCCACTTCCTATTCCATCACTACTGCTGTAATGAGCAGAGGAGAATGTAGATGACCCAAAACTATCCTTATAATCTGGACCTGCTACAAAAGAGTCTCTTGATTGGAAATCCATACTAGATGTTGCTGGTTTCTCCGTTGTTTGAGCCTGATGGTGAGCAAGCAGCTGTAGAAGAGCTGCTTTCACTCCAGCATGAGGATCCATCCCTGAAGAGCTACTAAGTGAAGACAGGTTTTGGTTCGCTGTCCGATAATCAAGATCTTCCTCAGTGACAGGTGGTGGTTCTGGTGGCTCAGGGGGGCGCTGGTCTGGGGGCAAGATGCGAGGTCGTTCTTCTGGCGTCTGGGGTCTCATCTCAGGTTGCCTGACCAAGTCCTCTTGTCCTAAATGGATTTTTAAAGAATTCAGAATGAGATCTGTAACCACGTATTGGTTCATCAAACAACAAATTAAGAGTACGTTGTTGAATGTCTTAAGTTTGATCACAGAAAGACATACCGTATTTTTTGCACCATAACACTCACTTTTTTCCTCCTAAAAAGTAAAGGGAAATGTCTGTGCGTGTTATGGAGGGAATGCCTACGGGTGGCATGCCTACGGATTTTCCTCCTCTAAAAACTACGTGCGTGTTATGGTCGGGTGCGTGTTATAGAGCGAAAAATACGGTACATTTCCTACAGCATGTCAATCAGAGGCTGGAGAATTCTGTCATGCTGTAGTCACATTAAAATCAATGGGACTTAAGTTAAAGCCTCATTGATTCCATTGGAAAGAAAGTATTACTTTGTCTGGAGCAAAGTAAGTGACCTTCTCAAACACTGGAGCAAGAAAACGAATACCACGCAAGTTAAAGGGTAGGTTAGGTCTAGTCAAAGGTGACTATGGGGTGTGGTGCTCATCTCACTTCAGGCCGAGGGAGCTGGTCTTTGTCCACAGACAGCTTTCTGGGTCATGTGGCCAGCAGGACTAAACCGCTTCTGGTGCAATGGAACACCATGAAGGAAGCCAGAGCACACGGAAATGCTGTTTACCTTCCTGCTGCAGCAGTACCTATTTATCTACTTGCACTGGTGTATTTTCGAACTGCTAGGCTGGCAGAAGCTGGGACAGGGCAACGGGAGCTCGCCCCATGATGCGGATTGTGCCACCCATGTCCCATAAGCGCATCTAATGAGTGAATATGAAACACCACTTTGCTCTATTTTAATATACTCTCAATATTTGTATACCTTGTTATTCATGTGGCAGTGAATTTTGACTACACTGACTGGAACAGAACCAGCTACACCCAGGCTAGTATCAAAAGATATTTGCAAGCCAAAGGTTTGTCAGGACATGAGTCACAGCCCCCCCTCCCCCCATGTTGCATGCCAAACCATTTTTGAAAGTGAGAAGTGTGTCAAAAGCTTATGGAATAAGCCCCTATGCCATATTGCAAAGTAAAAAAAAACACCCCACTGTAAAAGTACAACTCCCTGGATTCCAGCCTCCGTTTGTAAAGGTTACATTGCCAGGTCCCAATTTTATGCTGTTATACTGCAATGAGCTTCTACTACAAGGGCCTATGTCAGACCATTTTCATGGTAGAATACTGTACTATTTACCCACTTTTGACAGGAGTAGCAGCAGAAAAAACACATAACAAGTAAAGACATTCTCTCCTACCTGCATGTGCATATAATGATTTGATAAGATGGGGATAAATGGATACTGGCGATTCTGCATCTTCCCAGGTGCCACCAGACGCAGGCGTACTTGGTTCTGGAGGTTGCCTGGGATGTAATAGCATCTCATTTCCTGATCCATTCTCCTTTTCTTCTAACAAGTTTTCTTTTTGCTTCACTTGCTGAGTCTTTAGTAGCTGAGATAGCAAAACTGTGAACGCACTCTGCACAGCTGCTTGAGTGACCTCGGTGTCAACCTTTGCTTGGGTCAGTTGAGCTGGCTGCGCAGGAGGCAAAGAGGCTGCAGTTTGTTTTAAAGGCTCCTGGTCCGGTGAGAGAGGCAGTGGGAGCTGCTGCTGTGGCGGCGGCGGCGGCGGCTGCTGCTGCTGCTGCTCCTGCTCAGTCTGTTTTTCTCCTGCTTCCAAAATGCCAGCTGGAAGGTTTATTTTATTCAGCTGTTGCTCAGTCTCAGGATTCACCTTAATATTCAGCACTTGAGCAAATTGTGCCATGTTAATACTGGATTTAGACTGAAGCAGGTTTAGGAGAATGGCCACTTCATTTTGATTTAGTGGCTGTCCACTGCCTCCTTTCACTGAAAACAAAACAAAAACAGGTGTTTAATATGACCATAGGTAAGGACCAAAGCAAAATTAATTGACAATGACTGTTCAGATGTTTACCTAAACCTTGGCTTAGAATATCATAGTGAGCATCCTACACACTCTAGAGAGGAAGAGAATGAAAGTTTCTGTTTTCCTTTTATATCCAAACTCACAGAACAGTAATTGTTCTAAGTTTTCACTCTCTTCCTATTATACCTGAAGCTCATAAATCAGGTGTATATTTGCATTCACCAGCACAGATGGGTTTTTCAACAAGAAAAATTAAATGAATTTGTACATTACACTTGGGAAAAGGTACTATCTCAGCAAAATGACCACATAATCTGAAAATAAATTTTGACATACAAAGGAAAACATGCTTGAATGGTTTTCTCTCACCATTTCCTAAACATTCCTAGTTGTCTGGTTGCAAAACCACACTTCCCTATCCTTAATGACCTTACCACTTGTTCAGCTTGCTGCGTCTACCTGTCACTGAACATAAAGGACACGAGGGCAAGAAATCATGGAATAGCCCAGAAAGGCTATGGTGGGTGGTTGAATGTGCACACACAAACACATTCTCAAGATAGAAGCTAAAAAAATTACTTGTTGCCACCAGGTGACTATGCAGAGCCAACCGCCATTTTGTGTAAGCCCTCTTCTCTGCTAGAAGATAATATGCATATTCAGCATGATCTACACTCTGAGCCAGCGTGGAGTAATGGTTAGTGTTGGACCATGACCAGTGAGACCAGGGTCTGAAACTACTCAGCCATGAAGCTCCCTTGGGCCTGTCAGCATCTCTTAGGCTAAGCTACCTCACAGGGTTGTTGTGGGGATGAAATGAGGACCATGTACACCATCTTGAGCTCCTTGGAAGAAAAAGGTAGTATATAAATGCAATAGATAAATAAAATAGATAAATACTCCAGTGGCAAAGAAGAGGGACAATAAATTCCTAAGGGATCAGCTCTCTGTGTCTGACAAAAAAATATATATGTCAGTTATTGTTCTCCTTTATGGGCTGCAACAATAAAAGGTAAGGCAAACAATCTTCCTTTCCTCTTGATTATTTTCAAGGCTGACTGGGCAAATCTGATAATGAAGCTAAGACATTAGATCAGGGGTTGGCAACCTGCAGCCCATGGGCCACAAGCGGCCTATGAGGATCGTTTAAACGGCCCACGAGCCACCTCCAAACTGAGCCGCCCACTTGGCAAGCCCCCACGCACTGCGCTTCTGCGGTGCCAGAAATCGCATCTGTGCAGACGCAATCCGGCCCATAGATAAACCTTGCCGACCCCTGCATTAGATGCAGACACATTAAAGGTATCTGGTGACAAGCAGCTTCTTTACAAAAGTGTCAGTTCCTGCAACATGTTCACATGAAGTCAATGGGACATACCCACATTTGTCTTACAACAGAAATATACTAAGCTGAACGTGACTGCACATACACAGGTTGCCTGTAGAAAAACTGTTACAAAACCCTAAGTTAAATTTCATTGCCCTGCAGATTTGTTTGGGAAGCTGTACATGAATTTAAACAATAAGAAATTACTGACCAAGTGCTATGTTAGAACTGCCTTGCATTTTCAGTTGAGAAGAGGTCTGCAGGCCTTGGGGTGTGTTGGCTCTGCTGTCATCCATTCCCAAGGACAAATCCTTCCTTGGAATTTTAGTTGCATCATCGGTCATGCCCATCTGCTTTTGCCTTCTGCGCTTCTTACTCCATAGCTCATGGCAATCCTGCCATAAAGGAAGGCTGTAAAAAAACAACAACCATCACTTCAGAAAGCATCATAATGTCTGAGATTTAGGGATGATTCAGTAAGACCTCATAACTGAAACAAAAACATCCAAGGGCTCTTGAACTTGTGGCACTGCTTTGCAGTGTCCTTCATTTCTTAACAAAAACCAGGAATAAAACTGTTCAACACAGGATAATACTTGCTGTTAAGGAGCTTTGCAGCAATAAGATACGAGGTATGAATTCCACCACTCAATAGCTATGTAAGGTATCTTGGTGCCAAGCTCAGCTGACCTTTCTCATTTAGGCAAATGTTTATGGTCATGTTCCTCATACATTAGATGTAGCCAAAATTATTTTAAGTTAACAAAAGGGGGGGGGGGTGCCTGTACATTATCTTTTCAAGTTGGTTCTTTTCTCCATCATGTGTGCAGAAGCAGCACACGGCCCCATTCACATGTAACAGTAAGCCATAGTCTGAATCTACTATGGCTTTCCTTGTACATATGAAGCGTACTCATGTCAACTGCTCAAATCAAGCTCTCTCCACTCTACCTCAACGGAAACTGAGAAACAAACCACAGAGCAACAGGCTTTGTGTTACATACAAACAAACACTTATAGTTTATTTCTACAAGGACTAAGCCAAGAACAAACCTTTGCTTCAAGAATGAACCTGCTTGTTCAAAGGAAGTCATAGGGTCCGTCCCTCCCCCCGCAGAATAAAACGCAGGATTTAAACAAGTAAAACAGCAAACCAGTAACTCTCCTTTCCCACAGAGACATTTATAAGTCTGTAGAATATTAATTAGCAGAAGTCCTGATTGAAGAGGAAATTATTCACCTGGCATCTAAAAATATACAATGAAGGAGTCAGGCAAACCGCCCTGGGGAGAGCATTCCACAAACAGGGAGCCACTACAGAAGAGGCCCATTCTCGTGTTGCCACCCTCCAGACCTCACATGGAGGAGGCACAAGAAGAAGGGCCTCAGGTGATGAACACAGAGTCACGGTTTGCATGGGCAGAGGTGGTCCTTCAGGTACTGCAGTCTCAACTTATACGGGAGTTATGTTCTAGGGACAGTGCCGAAGGCCAAAATGACATATAGTCAAAACATACTCTCCCTGCACCTCCAAATGCTTGCCCAAAGTGTGTACAATGGCAGGTGAGATTGCCACTATTCCCCCCCCCACACACACACCCCGATACACACACTTTTGTTTTATTTTGATCGGCCAAGAGTGTTAACAAGTGAACTTGCACAAATTAGATGCAGGTAAGTTGTGGGTCAACTGTATACCAAAGCTACACTCCTTACTTGTAGAGCCATTAAATGCTGGAAGTTTTATGAAGTTTAGAAGCATCATTCCAACAGTATGCTCATAATGTATTTTATACACACACCCAGTTGCAGAAAAACTGAAAACGTGCATCACAGGACACCTGCTAGTAGAACTGAAGTATTAAAATCTTGTTTCTGTAGCAAATGAACTCTAGAGAGGGGTACTTACTCTGGTGGAGGCATCTTTGAAGGGTCCACATCTCTCAGAAATTCACACTGAAGTGCCTGTTCAGCTGTGCAGCGCTTGCTGGGATCCAAAGCAAGCATGTAATCAAAGAGATCTAGTGCAGCTGCGGGAATACTGTCAAGAAGATGAATAAAGTGATGTAATTTCTCATCAGAGTTCAATTTTGTGTGTTATCAACCACCTCTTCTAACTTACTGGCTTGGCGAACTTAGTTTTATAATTTACTGTACAATTAGGACTCCATGCTAGAGACTTCAGGGCAAATTCAAGGCAATTTCCTTTGATAGCATAGGCTTATAATTTATTTCCATTTATATGCTGCTTTTCAGTGGCAGTTCCCAGATTTGCAGAAAAACAAAGAATGCAACTACAAAAACAGGATATTTCAAAGTTAACTGGGTTCAGAAGAGCAAATTCAAAGCATCTTAGAAATTTAACAAACTTAGGCACAACTGCAATTTACAGCACATAAGGTATTAGCACATGACCATATTTCATAAACATAAAAGCAGTTTACAAAAAGAATTCCCGTGTCTTCAACAGCAGCAGGAGAGGCAGCTATTAAAACAAGTGCCACATTTCCAAACATGGAGATTGCAAAGAAGTGGGACCACTAGAAAAAATGAATAAGCCTTAGATAGCATGTGAGGGTTCTCATGATTGTTTTCCACAATATAAACTAGATGTTGGGGATAAATGTTTTTGCCTAATTTTCTTAATATGTTAGGACCATTTTATGCAGCGTGCCAATGGAGCCCACCTGTAGCATTCTAATTCTATGTGCTTGCCACACCTCACCTTTGTCTGCTGTGTCAGCATGGAAAAGCTGGATAGCCCGGCTGGCTTATCCATTCAGCTGACACACAGTAACTAAAAGAACAGTTCAAAATTGAAGCCAGCTGAATGGAAAACTCTATCTATAATATCCTTGCTTTGGAAGTTACAGGGAGTTCCAAAGTAACTGAATAAAATGAAATTTTAAGAATCCTTTCATAAGTTTTAAAAGCATGCACATAATTTTTAAAAATCTCCCCTTGAGGAAAGGGGCACGAGTACCAGCTCCCTGGCTAGAGTTAATGGATATATAGATTGATGGATCTGCACAGGCACACACTCCATATACTGGAAGGTAGAAACCATGAAAAAGAACAGACCAGCATTAACGATATTATGAACTGTACCAATTGCAGATGCATCAAGGGAATATTAAGAGCATAGTTTTAATAGCTTGACAAAACAGAAGCCAAATTCTGACTCAACAAAATCAATGAAGGAAAAAAACAGAATTGGTAGCTCATTCCTTACAAAGCAAATTCTTCTCTTAGTCTTCTACGATACTGCTTCTTTGGTTTCATGGTGTTGAAATATGCCAGTTTTATCACATCAGGCCATACTGCAGGACAAGGACTCCCACATATGCGGCTGTATGAAAAACATTGAATGAATGCATGTAGATATTAAGGTTAAAAGGTACGAGTAAAAAATACTGAATCAAAATGAGAATGTGATGACTATTTCCCTTAGCCTGTAACCTTATAAACTTAAATAAAGCAACTGAAGAGAAATACAAAGATAATGAACTTGGCAGATATGAATATCCCATGACGAAGAGACCATTTGGTTTTAGGCCTATTAAGGTGATGTGGAGAAGAGACTTGATGAAACTCAAAACATTGGTTATTATTAGCTAATGTTAACTGTACAGTTTTAAGTTATCCAAGTTGGAAACTGGTGAAATGGCAACTCTGGTTACTCACTGACTTTACATCAAGCTATTGCATTTTAAAAGATAAAGAGAGGAGCTGTTCTCTTCTACATATTTTCCCACTAGGCAAGTCAGTGAGGTTTCGCTCCAAGGTATGCGTGCTTAGGATCAAGGTACAAGAAGAAATACTTGGACACAGACTGATCTGTGCCATGCCCAATATATTTTGATGTAACAGAAGGTAAACATAATGAGTGATAGGCTCATTCTTCTATAGCACAGAAGAAAAAGGGAAATTTTATAATAACCTAAATCATCTCAAGTATTCTTGCCCAGTTTTAGTACTACGAGATCTGCTAGCATAAGAGGAGCCAGTGGCCCACCTAGTCCAACTGTTCTCGCAGTTGACCAGCCTGATGCCTCTGGGAAGCCCAAGTGCGATGACTATTGTAAGTTATCACACTGAAGGTGGTTCAGGTATTCATCATCATGTTAATGAAATGAATCAAATCCATTCTCAATGTTCAACAAAAGAGACAAGCAGCTATTTTAGGCTAGATAAAACAACAACAACAAAACATTATTTCATCTCTCACTTTTGGAACATGCTCTAGTGACATCTAGTGGCTCATTCTTTGGAGCACAGCTTTTATTTTATGAGTACCGTATCAAGAGGAAAAAGAAAATTGTCCTCTTACACAGAGAGATCAATGTTCTTCCATATTTCGTAGTATTAGAAGTCAAGATTGAGACCTCCTCCGACTTGGGGACTCTAGGAAGGCCTAACGTAAGATGTTCTGTGGATAATAATTCATTTCACTATTCAAAATGCAGCAAAGGCTAATATGACTACTGCTGCCACCAACAAATAGCTAATTAACTCAGAAGATGCAGGGGGGGGGGGGGAGGACATGAGAAGGAAAAATCAGTGTTACTTCTTCCTAAGTATGCATCAGCCTGTGTAAGGGAAAAAAGTCAGTCCTCCCTTCCTGTGAAAGGACTTCAGTTTCACTATTTTAAACAACACCAAGCTGCACATTTCACTGTGGGCTTCTGAGGGACTGTTACAGACCCAATATTATAAATGACAACTGACCTTATCAGCTCCAGCTGAGCAAGTTCCTGATTTGCTTGAAATATTGGTTTTTTAGTAAAAAGTTCACCCAGGATACATCTGGAGGAGAGGAGAAACAGACAGAACATTTCCATCAATACCATTTTAACAACTTTGTTGTTGCAAAATATTCTGCTTCTATTAAAAGCCTTACCCGCAGCTCCAGACATCAATGGCAGGTGTGTATCGTTCTTCTCCCAATAAAAGTTCAGGAGGACGGTACCATAAAGTGATAACTTTGTTGGTATATGGTCGACTGGAAAAGGAAACAAATTTGAATTTTCTCAAAAAATGAATTACTATGAGTAACTCAAAATACTGAGGTGGGGTGGGGGGATAAAACATCTCACAGTTCTCCCGATCCCACTCAGAAGCAGAAAAGACCCCTTAAAAAACAATGTGCTCATCACTAGAATCACAGGTTTCCTTTCACTATTTGTCTGCCTCAGAATAACCACAATTATTTTATTATCTTCTCAGTTCAGTTACGAACTATACAAGTCTTCATTCCCAAGCAATTCAAAACACAGAAGGAAACCTATCTTGAACTGGCTTGAAACCAAAACATTTTGAAGTTCACTGGCTCTGAATAGACTTTTAAAGAATCCACCACCAGGTTAAGACCTCCCATTTTATATCTATAAATACTACATGTCTACAGAAAATGGAGATTTCTTAATAAGATCCCTTATGCCCTTGCTACTTATTTGAAGAAAGCAATTTTAAAAGCATAGGTCCAATTCTCACAGAGGCAGTAGTTATGTATCTCTATCTAAATATTCCACTTCAAGGTAGAATAGGGGGCTCATGGAATAGGTCTTCATAAAACATTCATAAGAACTAAGCCTGTTAAAAAGATTTAGCTGGAACCCTTCACACAAACACTGTGTTGTGCACACTGCTGCAGGGCTGTTTGTTTTGTGTGGAGGATCATACAATTGCATGAGCACCCCACCCCACCTGCAGTCTAAATCAGGCTTCCTCAACCTCGGCCCTCCAGATGTTTTTGGCCTACAACTCCCATGATCCCTAGCTAGCAGGACCAGTGGTCAGGGATGATGGGAATTGTAGTCTCAAAACATCTGGAGGACCGAGGTTGAGGAAGCCTGGTCTAAATGGTTACAGCACAGGTGAGGCTTTACTATGGTCATGAAGTTAAGGCCACTGAACTAATACAGGTACAGGCTTGAGAATCAGTAAACAGCATTATGGAACAACTCTCTCCATTTAGATTAAATAGGAATATATAATTTGCATTTTATTTTTCTCTTGAAGTGGTATTCTGAAAAGCTATATACAGTGGTGCCTCGCAAGACGAAAATAATCCGTTCCGCGAGTCTCTTCGTCTAGCGGTTTTTTCGTCTTGCGAAGCAACCCTATTAGCGGCTTAGTGGATTAGCGCTATTAGCGGTTTAGCGGCTAAAAGGCTACTAGCGGCTTAGAAAAGGGGGGGGGCAAAAAAAAAATCGCAAGACTCGCAAGACGTTTTCGTCTTGCGAAGCAAGCCCATAGGGAAATTTGTCTTGCGAAGCGCATCGAAAAACGGAAAACCCTTTCGTCTGGCGGGTTTTTCGTCTTGCGAGGCATTCGTCTTGCGGGGCACCACTGTAATAATATTTTAAAGAAGCCAAAATTAACAATAAGTAACATAATTGTGTGATGTAATTTAAATACGAGTGGAATAATATAATATATATTCCAAACATAAGTATATCCATTTTAAAAAGGTATACACAGCAAATCAGACCTAAACTAAGAAACTGAGGTTTTTATAGACTATTAAAAAGCTTAAGAATTTAATTCAAGAGTCATTAATTCACATGATATAAAACCACATAAATAAGCAAAATGGGTTAAAGCCATGGAAAATAACTAGGGCTGCCAGATTTTGAAGAGCAAAAAAGAGAACATATTTGCCAACCTCTACTTTTAACTATGGTTCGCTATTAGGACTCTACTCGTGAAAAAGAGGACGTGTCCTGGAAAAAGAGGACAAATTTCAACCCTATAACTATTTTCTGCTACTTTTATTACAGAACTTTTTGAAACGCTTCACCTGGCTTTTAAAATTTACTTATGAGGAATTTCTCAAAACACTGTCAAGAAGAACTGACATGTAGCTTTGGACTTAGTATTAGACTTACCTCTCCTCAGAGCTATACAGCCGAGCAAGCCCAAAATCTGCAAGCTTGATCTGCCCTCTAGTGGAAAGAATAAAGATTTTACGCAATTTTTAAATATCTAAACAAAGGCTGTGAGGAAATAAAATCAGAAAAAAATATAAATCCCTGCATGAAAAAAAGAATTTGTAGCAGATGTTAATGCTTATGAACTAAAACTTAGCGTATGTATCACAATAGATAGAAATAATTAAAGAACCTACTTAAAGTTCTAAATGGCTAAGTTGGTTAGTTTTCCATACAATATTATTAATATTATGAAACAACTTTCATGTTATGACAGCAAGACCTTCGGTAAAAACCCTCAGATGGGTCATTTTAAGTTTTATAACATGGTGGGCTGTTTACATACCACTTTCAAACTTGCATACCCAAAGTGGTATAGTGTATAGTTAAAACAATATATAATACAGGTAAATGATGTAATAGAAACAAAAAATTACAGAACAACAGGGCAGCAGTAATAGAGATAAACCCCAAGTAAGCCACCTTTACTTCCTTACCAATTGCAACAGCAACTCTCTGAGGTCTTATAAGCAGTGGGTCCTCTTCCTGCCCCCTCCACTTCACACGCAGCGAGACTGATATTACTTTATGTATATACTGTACCTACCACTTAAGACATGTTTTAAAAATTAAGCTATAAGACCCACTGACCTAGCTCTATGGGCATATCCCATTATGTGCAGAAATGGTGCTTTGTGTGAACAGAGAACATACAGTAGTGGTACTTCGGGTTAAGAACTTAATTCGTTCTGGAGGTCCATTCTTAACCTGAAACTGTTCTTAACCTGAGGTACCACTGTAGCTAATGGGGCCTCCTGCTGATGCCGCCATGCAATTTCTGTTCTCATCCTGAAGCAAAGTTCTTAATCCAAGGTACTATTTCTGGGTGAGCGGAGTCTGTAACCTGAAGCGTCTGTAACCCGAGGTACCACTGTAGTTCCACTCTTCTGCATTCAAAGCTTAAGATTGTGCACATGCAGAAACATGCCTCTATTACTGTAGTGGACTGATAGCATGTCAGGTATTATGCACATAAGAGCATTCCACAAATGGGGAGCCACTACAGAAAAGGCCCATTCTCGTGTTGCCACTCTCTGGACCTCACGTGGAGGCAGCTCGTGAAGAAGGGCCTTAGGTAATGAACAAAGAGTCCAGGATGGTTTATATGGGAAGAGACGGTCATTCAGGTATTGCGGTCCTAAGCCATTAAAGGCTTTATAGGTTAAAACCTGCACTCTGAATTGGGCCTGGAAGCTAATTGGCAGCCAGTGCAGTCAGGTCCACATTTCCTGTTTCACGAGGTCTTGCAGATGCCTGCAGCTGGGAAGCCTGCACACATGGCCTCTTTTATTGACCATTCTGGGTCGCACCACCACTGCCACAGTGTCGTTTCTCCTGGCAGATCAAGAGGCGCAGATGACTGCAAAGGTTGCAAGGTTTCTAGCTGGGGCAATCAGAATAAGGTCCACTATTTGACTGCTGATTCAGAACCCTAAACCGTGTTTTATATAACTGACTTTTATTTTGTTCTGTGTATATCGCAATGCTTTTTGTTGCTATGGCCGACGGCTGATGCAAATAAAGTTTCATTCATTCATTCATTCATGGCACCAAGGCAATATCACTATTTGTTCCCAGCAATCATATTGTACATGGAATTCACTATATAGTTGAGGAAACAACTGTAAAACTCTTTGAATTAATTGACTTGAGGGAGTAAGGAAGAGAAATATCTAAGCAACCACTGCATGTATAGCTCACTGCTTTAATCCAGGAGTGGGGAACCTCCAGCCTGCAGGTCCAATTTGGCCCAGCACAAGTTCCCATTTAGTCCACAAGGCTGTTTTCCCCAAACCATACCCACTTGCCCAACTCCCCACATCAGATGGTTCCAGTTTCCCCATGGGAAATTTGATCCCACAGCCAATCCCTGCAGAAATAAGGTTTGAGATTACCTCCCACAAGCACCATTAAAGACTCTTTCCAAGACCTGTTTGATGCTTTGAAGTCCTGAAGATAATCGCCTGATAGCACTGTGATGCCAGGCAATTGGTCAACCAGTTAAATTTGGCCAGCGGAAAAGGGAAAGTAAATATTCCATATCAGATTCCTTGCCCCAGGTTTAATCCATAGAACTATGTATCTTGTTTGAATACCCAAAGGTATCCATCCAACTTATTACTAAAATATTCATCTGCCAAAAAAAGTTTATTCACCACTGACTGTCCTACTGTCTTTCCAGATCCATTCTGCAGAAACTCAAGCTTAAAGACGAACCAGCTCATTTGAAATGCCTTACAGCTAATGATAATTACAAAATACCTAAAAACATAATCCTGCCAAGACTTCCTAGTCTTATAATAATTTCATTTTTATATACCCAATACAATTTAAAATGCCTGAACATGGCAAGACAATAACTTCATCTGCCAATACGTAATACTGCAACAGTAAAATGTATTAGTCAGGGGAGATTAATTGGGGAATAGTTGACTTGATGGCAACTATACAGTGAGTAAAGGGCTCCATTAATATTTTCAGTTTATTTTTGGTATATTGATTTCCTTGCCATTGTACATTCGTTTGTAAATTTTCCTGATGCATTAAGTATTGGCATCCAATGAAATTGTTTTGCCATTATTAGGGCATGTATAAAGTGAAGTCAAAGGAATAATAAGCCTTTGGAAGATTCTGCTTTTAGGTATTTTGTAATTTTATATTTGCTTTTAAGGAACTTTAGCTCTCCAAATTAGAAGCCTATTTTCTTACAGACTTGAGCGGCAAGCCTTTCCAGGTGAACCAATGATTCAGTCTTTATATAAGCCTGATACCTGTGAGTATTCTAACAAGATAAGCAGTTGCATTTATTTATTTCATAAAATTTATACACAGTTTGACTGTAAAAAAGCAAACCAACCTCAAAGTGCTTTACCAAAAAGATAAAAACAATCAAATTATCAATAAGAACAACAACAATTTAACATTTTCAAGAAAGTAAAGTAACAATAAACTAAAACTCAGATTAACTTTCTAAACATTTAGGTAGGCTTGTCTAAACAAATATGTTTTTAGTAGCGGCCAAAAAGTGCACACTAAACGTGGATTAAATTATATGGATTCAACTATGAAGTTCATACAATTAAAAGTGCTATTAAAATGCAACAACGTTTCTTATAATAACCTGAGTCTAGGCTGAATTGTTTGTTGTTAGGTGTCTTTGGAGAAAGTGTGTATCGTAGTGTCTGAAGTAGCTCTCAGCAGCTTTAAAAGAAGTGTATCACCAGCGCAAATAAAATCCAATTGCAGCATAAGCCATGTATTAGTAAAAACAAAAGTCTTGAAGCACCATATGTCAGGGATGTTTTAGTTGCAATTCTTGCACTACAGGGGGTTGAACCTGATGTCCCTTGGGGTTCCTTACAACTCTATTATTCTACCTTGAAGACAAACACATTTATTATGACATAAACTTAGGTGGATGACTGTCATCAGCCTATTCATCACCAGACTATTAGCAAGCTCTTTATCAACCTGTGTTAATGCAAGTTATGATTTATCAAGACATTTTTGCATTTCTAATATCTGTGTATACAGAACTGAATGAATACCTGTTGTTTAGTAAGATGTTGGAGCATTTAATATCTCTGTGCAAGAAATTCTTCTTGTGACAATAATCCAAGCCTTCCATCAACTGCCTCATGAATGATTTAATATGACTCTCATCAAAATGAACCAAGCCAGATTCTAGGAGTCCCATCAGGTCATGATCCATATATTCAAACACAAGGTAAAAAGCACCTGCGGGGAAATTTAATTTTTTTTTCATGTTTAGTTTAATTTTTGAAGACAACTGTTAATTCCATGCACTAAAATGAGATTTGTTCAGTTCACTACTTTGACACGTGTTGCCAAAATGCTGTAACGTAAGTAAGCATAACTTTCTTAAACATATTTCTGGAGAGGGAGGGATTTTACAAACCTATTCAGGACACTATTCTACATTTCAAGTTGGAATACCAATCTTTACCTCTACACCTATTTTCATGGGAGTTGGAGGAGAGAAATTGCAAAGATATGTTGTATACAAAATTGTTATCTGCTTTGATAATGGAGATTACAGGCATGGATGTTAGAATGACACCCACAACAAAATTCTACGTTTTGAGTCTGGTCCCATCTAAACTCCTGTACCCATTTCCAGGGGACCCATGGTTTGATATCCTGATTTGTTTCCACACACAAAAATTGTTAGAATAAGTCACAGTTCTCCAGGTTCACCCATCATAGAAAACCGGTTAGTTCTAAAGAAGAGGTTTTTATCTCCTTATCACATATGCAAAAGCTCATACAGGTCCTTTTCCACAATGGTAAGCTATCTTCTATTTCAACAAGGCCATATTATAAGCCATACTGAGGGCTCCATCAGCATTGTGGCAAGATAAAATCTCCCTGAGATATTGGAAAATTCTGCCAGTCAGTGTAGACAATACTGAGGTAGTTGAGTCAATGGTCTCTCTATAAGGCAGTTTCCTATGTTCCTAGATATTGTGTTGTATCTTTATAGGACACTTTCCATCTTGCTGGAAATGCAATGGGAAACTGCAAAAACACTCCGAGGTCTAGTATCATTGCAAGTCAGCTAACATTCAAATATATTCTTTTTTTTTCCATTGTAAAACGAATCAAGATCCAACCAATAAAAACATACAGAGTTAAACTGAATATAAATCCCAAAAACCTTTACTGAAATATGTTTTTTCCTCAAGAATCTCAATATACGTTTGATATGCTTCCACAACTATTTAACAGCGTGTATATAACATCATGAACTCACTGCTTAAGGTTATCCAACTGCTAAAATAAAAGATGAAGCCATTTCATGATTACTGTACTTCGTCTAACTCCAGTCACTTATATTCACAGTTCTACAGAATAAAAGCTGAAGAAACACCTCTTAATGACCAGTCAGTTACACTGAATTCTCCAATCCCTAACAGACTTCCCATTAGTTCTGAGAGAGCCAAGTAAAGCAACTCATGTACAATGAGAACAGAGAAGGAACTCTGCAGTGAAGCATCCTCTGATAGCTGCATGACTGCTGTCAGTGAAACCTTCCAAGCTTCAGGCTTGCGCTAATATCGGCTTGCTAGCACTCAAACAAACAAAAAAGTCCATGAACACTACATTTGATTCACAGGACAAAGACTGTAAATCCTTTCAAGAACAAATCTGCAGGATACGGTAACCTTTGCCTTTAGCCTTATGGTTTCACATGACTGCAAACTGATTAGACTAACGTGAATCCATACTTTTTAAAGTCGTTATCTCTTCAATGCTTTCTGAATTGTGTTTCTGAAGCAGCTTTTTACCATTTTGACAAATCTTTCATTAAAATAAAAGCTCAAGTACTACATATTTTCCCAACCTGAACAAACTACCGTATTTTTTGCACCACTTTTTTTGCACTCACTTTTTTCCTCCAAGAAAGTAAGGGGAAATGTCTGTGCGTGTTATGGAGCGAATGCCTACGGATGGCGGGGGGATCTGCTGCAGTCGTGAGCAGAGGATCCATGGTTCCCCTTCCTTCCCTTCTCCGTGGCTCGCTTTGAAACAGCAAAGCGGGAGAAGAGCCGCTGAGTGGGGAGGAGAGAGGGACAGAGAGCCTGCTTGCTTTAAAGGAGCAAAGCGGGAGAGGAGAGGAGCCGCTTACATGGGTCACCCCAAATTCACCATCAGATCACATAGCATGTCCATGGCTACAGCTTGCACCAAAAAAATCATGCACCCACTGTTGCCTGGGGCTGCAGTGGTGCAAAAACGTGGTTACAAAGCATGGATCCACATGGATCCTCAGGATTTTTGCATTGGGCTACCCCAAACTCACCGTCAGATCACATGTCTGTGGCCACAGCATGAACCACAAAAATCATACATCCACTGTTTCATTTAGATTTTTTTTCTTGTTTTCCTCCTCTAAAAACTATGTGCGTGTTATGGTTGGGTGCGTGTTATAGAGCGAAAAATACGGTAATTGTTACATAAACAAAATAAAGTGCTTCCACTTTGCCTACTTTACCTAACTATTATCTGCACAAGAGGGGGTGGATACAGAAACCCTCTTACCAAAGCCCAGACCATTAAAAGCCATTGAAACTTTTCAGGCCAAATCACAAAGTCAAAGATTAAGAGAAGATCAAATTTACCTAGTGCAACTCTCCATTGCAACCATCTGTCTGCCACATGCCACTGCCATCCTAACTGAGATAGACTAGTGTGCCCTGAGCAAAGAGCAAGTGCGCTGCAGACAGAGGATTGAATGCCAAAGAACTGACACAGCCAAGTTCTAGCCAAATGCTTAAGGAAAATTCACAGAAAATTTCTCAACATCCCTCTAACTCCCAAATTAACAATCAAACAAGGAACCATTTCAAAGATTTACTAGACACAAGAATAGCTTTTTAAAACAAAAGAGGAACCAAAGTAATGATCTGAGTGAGTTCAGATCACAACTTGGCTAAAAGGTTGACCCTACTTGCTAATCCTCTAATACAGCCTTCTCTAACCATGGGTCCTCCATGTGGTCTGGACTACACTTCCTAACAACCCCAGCCAGCAGGGTCAATGGTCAGAGATGACAGGAAGTGTAGTCCAAAACATCTGAAGGGCACCAGGTTGGGAAGGGGAGGTATAGAAATGGGGGTTATAAAAGAGGAGGGAAGTGGCATGGGAATGAGGGTGGAGGTGAAAAACAGGGCTACTAAAGCGGCTGCAGAATAGGAGGAAGTGGCTTCCTAATTGGGTGGAAGGTGCAAAGAGGGCTTAGTAGTTCCAATGTGTGTGAATATGCAAGAAGTTACCATGGGGTGGATGGTGTACAAGGAGGAGGAGACGTGAATATGGGAGTGAAGGTGCAAAGCTGGTGCAAAGTGGGCCTGCAGAACAGAAGAAAGACTCGGCTTAAAAATGGCATTGGGAAGGTGAAAAGTGAGCTTCGGAGTTGTGTGGCGTGGGAAGGGAAAGCTCTAGTGGGTTAACATGGGGGATCACTTAAGTGAGAAAAGTTTCTACACCCCTTCAAAAAAATGTCCTTGGTGATTTTTGTTTAGTGCTGGGATTTTGTTTTGCCACACGTCCCAGAAGTTATTATATAGGGCTGCCATGTGTCTGGGATTTCAAAGGCAGAATTGACCTCTGGGGGGGTGTTTCCAAAAGGCGGTGCTTTGTCCTGGATCTTAGAGAAGTCAACCGAAAAATCGCAACAACTTTCAGGGTTTCTCCTTCTTGAAATATGGCAATCCTATACTATAGTAGTTGCATTACTTGTGATTTTGTTGTATTTGTGGGTATTCACTTTCCTAGAAATCTTTACAGCTCAGAAAAGGGGGATAAATATATTTTAGCAAGGCATATACTTTTATAATGCCAATTCAATGAGAAAAACTGAATAGTATATAGGATGCTATTACCTTGCTCATATTAATGTGGGCAAAGGCTTATAGCATGTCTCTTCAAAAGAAACCATGTATACATATGAAGAAGTGTGCAAGTTACATTACAGCTCAATAAATGCTCATGCTACTCTCAAATAAGGTGCATTCAAATCAGGACTGTTAACACAACAGTAGTCTACATACCTTTGTCTTTCTTAAAATCCAAAGCATCTTCCTTATCTGTTACTATTTCCTTCATGTTGATTATGCTTTGGTGAGTAAGTTGTCGAAGAATCTTAATTTCTCGAATAGCTGTAATTGGAAAGCCTTCCTTCTCATTATCCAACCGTACCTTCTTCAGTGCCACCATTTCCCCTATAAAATAATGTTTTTATTCTATAATGATGTAATTGCATTCAATTCAGAATTTCCTGTGGCTGTTTGTATAATGTGAGACTATCAGGTATCTTATGAAACTGAAACAGAAATTTACTGCATAGAAAATAAAAATGAGTATATTTAAGCAGTTTCAGTATGCGAATCTCTATGCAAATAAAACAAGTTAAAATTGCTTCTACTACCACAATGTCACTTTCTCATTTCCTTTTAACATGCATGACAGCAATCTCTGCTGCAAACCACTATGCAAGGCATCACTCAGAGAAGATGTTCCGCATATGCTTTTCTGTATGGATGTGATCCCCCAAATTTCATTTTGCCCACTTAAGTTGATCCAGCAGTCGGAAGAACCTGTTTGTGGCTATGGAGCACAAGGCCCATTACAAAAGCTTAGAATGAAAGGTCTGTGCAAACAGTATGGTGTAAATTCAAATTTCACCTCCAGATCACATGTGGTCCATCAACTCCAGCATTTTGCAACTTCACAGCAAGGTAGCAATACATTTATTCCACAAATATCAGAGATTGGGAGACACTCAATGTTTGTGTGGGAATGTCACCTCACATAATAAGACTTCTATTCATCCCTTTGTCCCACCAACCCCAGCTGCGCTGGACTGTTCCCCAACCCTTCAGAGAACATTTGGATACAGCTGGATGTCACATCTTTATTTTAGCACTAGTATTATTTACCCAACTTTCTATTCCTCCTCTGTCTCAATAAGCACTTGAAGTCCATAACTGACCCTTTCCCCATTCAGTACTTCTGCATTGAATATTTGCACTTGGGTGCCACAGTCTGATGGTGCACATGCTCAATTCCACACATTTTACTATATCCATGGACTAAGCCGCACACTGGAAGAAGTGTGAAGAGTCACAGCTTCTTGAACTTTCCTTAAGGGCTTGTAGCCTAAACAAACAATCATCTCAAGTACTGTCTTGCAGCTGTGGAGAATTATTGCATAATATATGCTCAGGAACTTGACAAAAGACACAAAACATGCTGTGGTGATCACACTCAAAGTCAGCTATTTCTATGTGAATTGATTTTGAAAGCTTACCTGTATCTTTATCTCTTGCTTTGTAAACTTGCCCGTAAGTTCCTTCTCCAATAATGCCAATGATATCAAATTTATCAACACAGCGTTTCCCCCAGTCAATTTCTTTTTGCTTTGTTTCACCATGGCGTGGTCCACATATCCTAGCAGACAGTAAAATGCAATTTGAGTGCATTTCCATATCTATATAATAATATTGTATAGATGTATTTTTGGGTTTTTTAAAAGATTTTACTGATTGTGTTTATTGTTATGTTTATAAGTCACTTTGAGCCATTTCCATGAGTAATATGTATAATAATTATAAAAAAGAAAATATTAATAAAAATTCTCCTTAGAGTATCTGCTCTTTTGTGCATACTATGACTTCAGCATTTATTTTCAGTCTAAACAAATGCTGCCATTAACCACAACTGTCATTTGCAATTTCTTTTAAACCCCTATGACTGTTGCATGCCTCCCTGGGGGTGTTGGTTTGCATTTACTGCTGACACTGAGCAGATTTTCAAAAACATTCTAATACAAAACAAGGATCATCTGTTTTGTGGGAAAACTAAAAAGAAACTCAGGATGCAATATCTTTCCTTCCTTAGAAAAACGGAGAAATGAAAGGATACATTATCTCAACCTGTACCAGTCAAATGCAGGTGTGGGTGGGTGTTTTAAATCCCAATTATGACTTGTTAAATTGTTTCATTACCCATTTCAGATATTTCACTCTTTATTCCTACATGTAGGTCCTGCTATCCATCTGCTTGTTATCCTCAAATTTACTAGTCCAAATACAAAGAATTGTGCCCGAACCTCAGTACACACACGGCTCATTCAGATATCCAAACAGCCAGAGTTTGCCTACTTCCTTACTTGTTCATGCTTTGCTGGTCAGCAGCTGCCATTTTCAGGCAGAAACCATTGGGGGGGGGATAGAGTTTGGACAAATCAGGGAGCAGGGGAGATGGGACAAATCAGCTTTTCTTCCTTTGCCTCTCTTTTGCTAGTTGGACTTGTTATGCAAATGCTTGCCTAACAAAAGGATTTCCAGGGAATGCACTGTGTTCAGGTAAGCAGGACCTGCATGTATTTCACACTCCTTGTTACTCAGAAATCAGACGCTATAATAAATTTACTGGATGAAGAAAACCGCATGCTATAATCTGTTATTTCAGCAAGCCACTCAAAACACTTATGATATGGGCGTGATGAGGCATACTGAAGATTAAATATATGTTTAAGGCATATATTCCTGCCTACAGGTGCAAAATGGTGATAAAGCTTTGTTATGTCAGTATAATGAAATGGCAGCACACAACTGGTAGAAATGAAAGAAGGCTGTTCCATTAGCTGTATTTACAATTTGCCAGGGCATCTAGACTGGCAGATTTAAAAGTACATGCAATCACAATTATGCTAACCTACTTCAGTTTTAGCTCCTTTTACTTCCTAAAACGAGTAAAATATTAAAAAGAAGCCTTAACAGAATCCTATGAATCCTACTATGAGTAAGCTACCAGCATTTCTTATATTCAATAGCTCAAACAGAGATTTTAAAGTGATACGCTATGGAAGTGAAATACATGTATTATAGAAAAAGAAAAACTTTGTGCATACTTCGGTCTCTTTTTAAGATGTGGCTGCACTGGTGTTTTTTTCTCTTCTGGACTTCTGGATAAATCATCTCCTCCAGGCAACTCAGGCGGCAGTGGCAGATCTTCAAGCAAGTGACGCAATTTCTTCTCCACTTCTTTCTTAACAGCTTTCACAGAAATGCTCCCTTGAAAACTAGAGAAATATAGACAAACCTTTGGTAGCTTCCTATTTCAAAATCCGATGCCAGAAATCTAAGTCAGTTTTCCATAGTACAGCCTTCTCTAGATTTACATTTTGAAGAGCATTAATTTTGAATATGTGAAGGCATAAGCAAATGGAAATCAAATTTGCAAATATGTTAATAATATTAATAATCTAATATTAATATTATACCAGAATTTGAGGCTACAGCATTTGCCTAATCATTCAGAAATTTAAATAATAGCCATTTTTCAACACAACTATAGGGAGCTCCAGCTAATTTGGGTATTATCTGTTACATGTTCACCTGGCAGTATATTAAGATTTATTTTTCTGAAACTTATTTGGCTATTACACTCCCTATAGCAGGGGTGTAATTAGACCCACCCGGTCTCTCCATTTGACCTGTGAGGCCATTTCTACCAAGCCCTGCCCACCCACCCTCCAGCCAATGCCATATAGGACATCAAGTATGAGCAGGTAAGGACAGGACTTGGCCAAAATGATGTTTACAGATGCTGCTGGTCACCTGGCCTACAGTGTCTGCAAACACCTTTTCAAACATCAGGGCAAGGTAGCACGCTGAGCGGATTTCTGAAGACCCCTGCAGGCTGGAAAGGTCACCCAACATAATTGTGATGCCAGGTGGCTGACAGGTGGGTAGGGCAATCCATCAGGCTAGAAAGGTTCCTCAGCCCTGCCCCATAGCATATGAAAACCAATTTCTTCAGCGTCTACCTGCATGTTGTATATAGGACAGATTAAGACTGGCTGTCATGGAGGGTTCTCAAACAAACTTCCAGTTTGAAGGTGCTTGTTTTTTTCAATGTCCCCCTTATTAGTTTAATTTTTTTTAAATGCTATATTTACAAAGGCTCAAAACCTTGAATTTTAAATTGTCTTAAGTTTACATGGAATAAATAATGGTAAAATTCAGTTATAATGCCAAAGTTAGCACCTTCTGGAATAACCGGGAGATAATGGTATTTCCAATGTTCTATTCGTTTTTATTCCATATACAGTCAAACCTTGGTTGTTGACCGTAATCCGTTCCGGAAGACTGTTCGACTTCTGAAACGTTCAACAACCAAGGCACGGCTTTCGATTGGTTGCAAGAGCTTCTTGCACTCAAGCGGAAGCTGCAGCGGATGTTCAGGTTCCGAAAAATGTTTGGAAACTGGAGCATTTACTTCCGGGTGTTCAGGAGCCGAAACGTATGATAATGGAGGCGTTCGAGAACCGAGGTTTGACTGTAGAGTGCTTCCACTCCCCCCTCCCCCAGTACTGTACACAGGTTGAATGGATCTGCATCTATGGATATATAAGTGTGATTTCTCAATAAGCAATAACACAACTCAGGAACATGGGCATAGCCGGTGACGGTGGCAGGGGAGGTGGCTGCCCCCACAATCAATCAAAATCTGAGGTTCTTCCCCCCCCCCCATGAAAGTCTGCCACCTAACAAAAATCCTGGCTACGCCCATGTTCAGGAAGATTAAATATGTCTTGCCATTATGATTTATTTTGGGAGGTTTGAATACCAGATAAACTTGTGCATTTTCCAGGTACCACTAATGTTGCAAGAATTTTAACTTCTTAGCTAGTTCGACTTTGTTTTTAAATTGTTGACTAATTTTCCGCTGAGGGTCTTTTGAGGCTGAAACATCTTTGATGCTTTCATATACACACGTACCATATTATTACATTAGGTTTATCAGTCTTATCTCATGTACAGCTATTGGTAGATGCTTTGGGTTCATTTTATTAATCAATTTATTCAAATTAAATGTTTCTATACACTTTCTTCCTTGTTCATCCTTCCTTCCTTCCTTTATTTATTTATTTATCAATCAATCAATCAATCAATCAATCACCCTTCACCTTACGGTCCCAAGACAAGGACAGAACTGGTACCGAACTGTGGAGAATTACCAAAGAGGAAAGCAAAGGTAAAGGAAGGTGGGATCAATCTGCTTATGTCCCTCACATGGGACAATCTATATGGCCAAAAAAAGGAGGAACAGTGTTGCCAAAAATACAACACAATTCAGCTATCACACTATATTGTGTTTGTTACAGTAAAGGTACGTGTCAATCTGGCAAGGAGCCAAAGACAGGCTCAGACACAGGTTTGGTTAGTCTGAATTCAATAGTATTTACTCAGAAGTCCAACAAGGTTTCATTCCTAAAAACATTATTGCACGTATAATGATCATCTTCAGTTTCCTCATTCTTACTCCAAGAGAGAAAAGATGTTTGCTATATCAGTTCAGCAGTTGCAGCTATCTTTGTAAAGAAACCATTGTTGTTCACTCCAGTAGCAACTGCTCTCAATATGGTCACTGCCACAGCTAGCCACAAATGGTGTTGTTTGCAAAGAAAAACAACTATTGAGGAATTATAGCAGGTGGAAAGAAACAAGACATGTGATGGTGAATTCCTTCAAGCTGTGATCCTATGCACACTTATATGTACTAAGCCCACAGAATTAAACAGGAATGTGCTTGTGCATAGGACACAAAAAAATGAGCAGTCAAGAGTCTGGGAAAGGCATATGAGATAAACCTCACTGATTTCAGTTCACTGATTAGGTAACAGGTAGGAGGTGCTGAAGAAGAGTTGCATGAACTGGAGTTTACTTGCCGAAACATTGGCTACAGGCTTCTAGTAATATTATGATACAGGTCCACACAGAGTAAATGAGAAAGAGGTAAAAATCTTTTAAGATTGTAGGTCCTTTAATATACTACGACTGCTATCTGGTCTGTGGATATCAAGAAAAAGTCCTTAACACAGTTCAGGAATATTTTGTCTACCACACCTACAACATACCTGGAGTCACAGTAATCAGGTTGTCAGGTTATTTTCAGGTTATTTTCAGGTTATTTTCCCCCTTACATATGGTTTATCAGCATCAACTTAAAAAAAAAAACCCAAACAATTTCCAGGTGGAAATTATGTCTTAAGAGAGAAAGTTAAGTATTTTACAACTCACCTATCTGTATCTTTATCTTCAGGCAGCATAGGTGGAAGAGGCAGGGGTGGAAGCGTGGAAGTTATTAGTGAAACACTGCGATCCTTTTCCTTAGGTGCTACACTTGGTGGGTGAGGCTTGCTTTTCTCTTTCACGGAAGCAGGTTGCAATGGTGGCTTAACAGGAGTGGCTTTACTCTCTTTCGCCACCAAAACTTTTTGCTTAGCAGCTTTCTCTACAGTCAAATTGTTTTCCCCCTTCGTCTCCTGAACAGGGACTTTAGCCTTTGCCTTATCATTTTTCAAGACTGTACCACCTGAAGGGGAAGGTACGTGTTCAGTTTTTATCTTCTTCAGTTCCTTCACATTGTTCGCTTGAGGAATGGTCAGCCCAGTGTTTTCAGCGCTTCCCTTTGTAGGTGTAGATGTGTTTGAAGCTTTCGCATTGGCCTTGGCTGCCTCTGCTGCTCTAGCTTTTTTGTTCTTATTCAACTCTGCAGCCAGGCTACTTTTTAGAGTCAGAGTACTAGGAGAAATACTCGACTGCCGACTTCTGGATCTTGATAATCTGTGCCTACTGCGAGATCTTGAGTGCCTTGATGAATAAGGGCTTCTGCTTCTGGATTTTGCTGATCTTCTGTTTAGAAGAGTAAAGATTTAGTCAGTGCCCATTTTTATACTCCACCATCTTTCTCTTTACTGAACAGCTTTTACAACCATTTCATTAGTATGTTTGCAAGGTAACTGACTTCTTGGTTAGAACCCTTTAACAACAGCAGGAAATAATGTGATATATTTTACAACAGAGTTTTCCATCTCTGTTGTAGGCATTGTAAACTTGACTGAACATAAATCAGCTCCACTCTTCATTTTGAGATCAGTGAGGTCAGGATTTAATCCAAGAAAGCTTTAAAATTATTTTTAGTACTAACAGTTTTGACTTTCACTACACCAGTAAGAGAACTTCTATAACATTTTCTCTCAGGCACAAAAGGTAAAAGCACTTAAAAACTTTTGAATAGGAAATACTTGGGGGTACAAATAGGAAGAGTGGTTCAAATCAAATCAGGCTAGCTATTTAAATTTTTATGTTAAACCAATCTACTGTGACTTACATCATCCTTACTGTTGAACTACAATTCCCATCAGCCCCAAACACCAAGGCCAAGGTTGAAGAAGGCTGACTTAAACCTTAAATGTACTTAGAGAATGAACATTTAACATCACACAGTAATAATTAAGCTATATATACACTGTAAGTGCATTAAGTTAACAGTACATTCAGCTACAAATGTGCATGAAAATTTCACCTGTCAACACTAGTCTGGCTTGGAAAAAATAATTCCAACCAAAGGAACAAAGCAATAAAGATGTATTTCACAGTGTTTCTCTCACATTTATTTTCTTTATTTTCAGGAGCCCTTTTATGCAAGATGCCACTGAGCAGTATTACCAGTCCTGTATAGGGAAGCTTTTAATGTTTGATGTCTTACTGTGTTTTAATTTGTTGGAAGCAGCCCAGAGTGGCTGGAGCAACCCAGTCAGATGGGTGGCATATAAATAATAAATTGTTGTTGTTGTTTTTGCTATTACTAGTGTCTCAGGCCAACACTCCTGTACAGTAGAAACTTGGTATAAATTTATATTATTGATATTCAGCTCCTCTATAGGTTTTCACATACCTGCTCTAAAGCAGGCATCCCCAAACTCAGCCCTCCAGATGTTTTGGGACTACAATTCCCATCATCCCTGACCACTGGTCCTGTTAGCTAGGGATGGGAGTTGTAGTCCCAAAACTTCTGGAGGGCTGAGTTTGGGGATGCCTGCTCTAAAGGATCAATAACACATGGCTGACAGGTGGGCAGGACCACCCAGCTACCAAACTCACAGCTTTGCAAGTTTCTTTGCTGCTTCCAAAAGCACTGAGTCCAGCATACAGGATCTTTCCAAAGATCAGAAGAACAGCAACTGCTTGCTGTTTGGAAAGATCTTTCCAAAGACAGGTGTTTATCTCCTCCTCTCCCAATCCTGACTGGGAGGGGAGAAAAGCAACTGCTTTTTGGAAGATCAGCTGTAGGCAGGAGCCTTATGCTCATATATATAAGTGATAGACTATCACCTCTAATTATTTGCATATTGTTTTATGTTGTTAGATTATTGATATTTATTAACATAAATTAAAAATAAATGAATAAATATATCCAGCTTTATAACTGGAGGTCCAACTGGAATCAGTATCAAAAAACCTCCTTTCACTAACTGGAACCTCTCCTGGCTATTGTTATCCAGGTTCTGACAACCTCCAGATTAAACTACAGCCATTTATTGGATTTCTGCTCACTTGGAAATCTACTTGGAACCTTCAGTTACCCCCAAACATTGCTGTTCGCCTAAGCTGGTCAGGCCACTGAGAACATACCTGTTGGTTCTCCAACAGCTTTGCTAGCTGCTGGTTTACTTCTGAAACAATTCAAAATGCCGGTGGGCTTATCCTTAAAATCCTATACAACTTGAGACCTGGGAATCTGAAGAAGGAACCATCTTCTCCCACATGAACCTATCATACACTAATATTTTCTGAGGTCCTTCTCTGGGTCCATCTTTAGTATGTTAGGAAAGTACAGACCTTCTCAGCTGTGGCACCCTGTGTTTGGAATATTCCTTATGGTGCCAGAAGGAACTCTTTTTCCTACATGCATTCTGAATCTCTGGCTGAGTGTGGCTTTATCTGCTGTTGTGCTTTTGGGCTGCTTTACTGTAAAAGTTTTACTCTTTACTGTCGTTTGATTTTATAGTTGTTGGGTTTTTTTTTATTTCTCACCTGCCTTTAAAACACATGTACTGAAGAGCAACATAAAAATAACTTAATACCCACCCACTCAGTTTTGACAAAGTTTAAGAAAGATGCAAATTCACACTGATTTACTGAACTTCCGATTTAACTTAAATCTAATTTCCTTCTCCATGGTACTGCTGGCAGTATTGTTATCAGATACACTATTGTATAATTTAGTGCTGCGTTACCTGTAATATGGTGCAATGCAACCACTTAAATAATGCTTTAGCATGGGGTGGGGGGGGATTCAGGCACATAAAACTCAGTGAACACATTTTGACACCATTTCCAATTCCTATCCTGCATACCTTGAATAGCTCAAGGGAAATTCCAATTGTTTCCTTTTCTCGAAGACAATTCAGATGTCCAGACCTGAAATGCTACTAAGCCACCCAAATTACACATGCAAAATCAGAATGAGCAGGAAACAAAATTAAACAACTATTGTTCTAAAAACTGCTTTCAGTAAAACTTTCAGGATGCTAAACTCCAGTGTTACCTCTACATGCAAATATAAGCTTGTATCCAGAAAGCCACTCATGCAAAAGGCTTTCCTGACACTCCTCCCTACTGCACTGTAGAAGTGTCTGTAAAAGCATCTCCTGAAAGGGGGGGGGACGAGAAGAGAGAACGAGACCAGGCTTACCCAAGCTGACTGCTCAATTTTCATTTCCCCCGCAGCCCCATAAATATAATCACCAAACCCCCGTTACTGCAATTACTACCTTTTCAAAGCGTCAATACAATTATTAAACATAAACTCAACTGATCTGAAGCTACCCACTGAAAATTAAGTAACTATATGAATTTTCTTTGCTTACTTTCAGTTTTTTATGTTCTAAAATATGAGTAATTCCAATATCATGCAAGTTTGCAATCCCAGAGGCAGCCAAGCATTTTGGACTATTTATGTCAGGAATACAACTGGATCCAAGTAGGAAAATGTATTTGGCCAATGGACTGGATCTAAAACTGGCCCACTCATTCTGGGCAATTTTGACAGGTGAGTGGAGCCACACATCTGGCAATCACCTGGCATATGCCATCATTTCAAATGAATAATCAGAAGTGCCCCCAAGCACCCTCTAGATTCTTCCTCTTTCTGTCTTTGGCTTTACATAAAACCATGACTGCAAAGGAAAATTATTTCTTTGCAGACTCAAGCACTGTGCATCTGAAAGCAAACTCCAAACATGACAGGGATACTGCACAAAGGAACTGATCAGGTGTTTAAATTCAGCACTGAAAGCTTCTGGTAAGATAAGTCTGCACCCATGATCTCTGAAGCGGAATCATCATAGTGGGACTTGTATTTGGCACCCAATCTAAAAGGTGCTGAGTGCAAGCCCCACTTGCAGAACAACAATCAGGAGTGCACTGATTGTTCCTTTGCAGTCATGGCTAACTACCTCACATCTAACATTGCAGAATGTCAGGTGTGGAGCAGAGGACCCATGGTCTGGAGCAGGGGTCAACAACCTTTTTCAACCATGGGATGGTCCACCGTCCCTCAGACCATGTGGTGGGCCGGACTATATTTTTTGGGGGGGGGGGGGGGAAATAAACCAATTCCTATGCCCCACAAATAACCCAGAGATGCATTTTAAATAAAAGGACACATTCTACTCATGTAATAATATGCTGATTCCCGGACCGTCCGTGGGCCGGACTGAGAAGGCGATTGGGCCGCATCCGGCCCACAGGCCTTAGGTTGCCTACCCCTGGTCTGGAGGCTCACCACCTGTGATTTATCTGGAGATTAAGAAGTGTGTACTACATTTTTCCTCCAGCACTAGAAACCTGTAAATTTCACATGTGAAAGGAAGGGGCACTGACACACAAGAGAGAAAGAAAACTACTAAAGGTATAGAACTGACCATGATCCATTTTTAGCTATAATTCCAGGGGTTGAGGATGCTGAGGAACAAAAGTAAGTTTAGTTACACTTTTCAATACAAACATTTTGTTGAAAAGAATAATATGGGAAAATTCAAGGCTATCTTGAAGATTTGGATTAACTTCTTAACTTTACACGCCTTACAGCAGGAGTTGCAAAGTATGCTGGCTAGGATAATACAGTGGCACCTCGGGTTAAGAACTTAATTCGTTCTGGAGGTATGTTCTTAACCTGAAACTGTTCTTAACCTGAAGCACCACTTTAGCTAATGGGGCCTCCCGCTGCGTGGCCAGAGCACAATTTCTGTTCTCATCCTGAAGCAAAGTTCTCAACCCGAGGTACTATCTTTGTGTTAGCGAAGTCTGTAACCTGAAGCGTATGTAACCCGAGGTACCACTGTACTATTAGAGCCATATTAGGACACTAACCCAACTTTCTATCAGTGTATACCAACCATGCCAAGTCTATTGTATACCGTATTTTTTGCCCTATAGGACGCATTTTTTCCCCTCCAAAAATGAAGGGGAAATGTGTGTGCGTCCTATGGGGCGAATGCAGGCTTTCGCTGAAGCCTGGAGAGCGAGAGGGTCGGTGCGCACTGACCCTCTCGCTCTCCAGGCTTCAGGAAGCTCTGCGCAACCCTCGGGAGACCGGCTCCGAGGGTTGCGCAGAGCTGCCTGCAGTCCCGGGCTCAGCGCAGCTCTGCGCGGCCACCGGGAGCCGGGCGCAAAGTCCCGCCCCGCTCCGGATGGCGGCGCAGAGCTGCCTGCAGTCCCAGGATCAGCGCACTTCTCCCCATCGCCAGCCCCACAAGCTCGGGGGACAGCGGGGAGGCAGAGCGCACCTTCCCGCTGTTCCCCGACCTAGTTCTTCCAGCCCCGCACCTGGGGGGGAAATAAACATTTTTTTCTTTATTTCCCCCCCAAAAAACTAGGTGCGTCCTATGGGCCGGAGCGTCCTATGGAGCGCAAAATACGGTAATTTACTATTTATCGATTTTATCAAAGCCTTCCTCTCGAAGGAGTCCAAGGTAGCCAAACAACTCAGCAGAATTAAAAACATTTACAAGAAAATTTAAAAGCTATGCACATTCTCCGTCTATAATGCCAATAACTGCAATCCCCACAGAATGGTTCAGTCCCTGCTTCTGCCCAGCAGACAGCCAGTTTCTGACACTGTAACAGTTGTCAGAAAGTGAATTCTTGCTTGTGTACTATGCTTTGCTACTTGTGAACTGTAACCATTAAGCTGTGACCTGCCTATTTCTCCAGTGAATCTTCTTGTTCCTTCACACATACACAAGCTCCTTTCCAGGCCCCAAAGTTTTGTACTTAGATAATGGCTTGCAATTCTATTCTATAACTATCTACTCTGGAAAAATAAACCTCATCTATTGCCACCCTCCCTCAGAAACATAATAAAAAACTTGGGTTTATCACCTCTGGTTTGACAATAATAATTACCAAAACATTAGAAGTCAAATACTACAAACAGGAGTTTCATCTGAAACTCTCTTCCATTAGTATTTACCATGGCAGAATATTGAGGGGGCTGGGAGAGAGAAAGCATGTGTTTGAGTGTGTGATCACATGCACATACATCTTAAATTTCTAGCTCCTAAATGATATAACCCTCTCTTGGTGGAGGAAGTAGGGTTTAAGGGGCAAGGAGGGATTTGAAACAAAAAACCTTGAAAGTTTTCATCCATGCAGTTGCCCTACTGGCAAGCCCTACCTAATCAGTGTGGAATGGGTGTCATGCCATAAATAACTATGCACCTGAGGTTCAAACATTACAGACAGCTACTGTTGCAGCTCTTGCTGCATTCCACCCATCCACAATGTAAAAAGCCAACTGTAGCACAGGGGTGGGGAACCTCTGATCCACAGACCAATCACACTGCAATTTTGCCATCAGGCCATTTTCCTCAAACCACACCCACCCATCAGCTGATGTCACTCTGGACGACCCTAATCCTTTTCCAGCTGAAAGTGGGGTGCAACTCAGCTTGTTGAGATAAGGTTAAACAGATAAAACAGGAGACCTCCAACTTCCTAAACTGTCTCTGTCCTTTAAACTGTGCTGACCATCCTTCCTTTGAAGTGGAATCCTCAGGTTGCATCTCTCTCACTTCCGCCTCCTCCTCTCACTTCTCCCTTGGACCTGGAGATGAGACATCATCTTGGATCTATCTCCTGACAACAAAGGAACCAGCATGGCTTTCTTGGCTCTCCAACTTGTTACATTAGGTAGAGCCAAAGAACTCTTTCCTACCAACGTATGTATTTTCCAATAATAAGCATGGCATAAAGGACTACAATTGGTAGGAGAAGAATGGGGGGGGGGGAGTGTCTTCCCTTGTGCAAGAAGTGCTTCCACTAGCACAATGCCACCACAGAACACTTTTGAAAACTGATTTGAAAGCTATGAACAGAAGTTATGTGAACTAGCGTCTTAATTGGTTCTAAAACAAGTTGAATGATTCTCTGTATCAAACAGGAGTATGGACTACTGAAAATGTTGACTTCAATTAAGCAGTAGTTCCATATGTATATATAGGCAACTCTCCATTTACACAGGGGTTACGTTCTGAACCCCTGTCTGCATACCCAAAAGGTCGCCTGTATCAGCTCAGTTGATGGGCTGGAAGAACCTTCCCCTGTTCCCACCTGTCAGCCGTGTGAGAGCCTGTCCCTCTGGCTTGCACACATGAAGTGACAGATCAACTGCCACAGCAGAGGGGCAGGAAAGGCTCTTCCCCACCCATCAGCTGTGCTAGTGAAGCCATGTGGGTAAATGGGGAGTTGTCTGTACTGTGTAGGAAAAGAGGAATTGAAATTTGTAGTAATGAGCTACAAAAACTAACAAAGACTACAATTCTATAAACACTTACCTGGGAATAAGCTCCATTGAACTCAGTGGGGCTTGCTTTGCATATACAGAATTGCATTGCAGGTCTGCAAACAAAGTAAATGCAAGCCAAGCCCTAAACCAAACAGTAGTCCTCCCTACTACAAGACTGATATATTGGTCATCTAAGTGAAACAGAGAGAGCTCATAAAGTGCTTTTCAAGGGATAAGACAACAGTCATAACAGACAGGATTAGGTCAAGGGAGGTTTTTCAAAACCAGAGTAGCTACTGGCAGACATACGTTCCTAGAAAACTTCTTGTCATGTTACCAAGCCCTTATCTCAACCCAAAAAGGTGATGTAGAAAGCACTCCTGCTTTATGTATTGATATAGAAATCAAACAAAAACTGAGCTGTTCAAAACTGAACAGTAATCAAAACCTTATCTAAAGAATACATCCCAAGTCTTAAAACAATCTTCCCATTTTCTATGAAGAGAGAGTCTCAAATTTAACAACTTCAGCAGCCAAATGCAACCAAGAATTTCATGCAGGTGAGTGAGCTGACTGGCTGAGAAAGCATAGAAAATTCTGTCTCTCCTGTCAGCCCATTTGGTTCCCATGATCACTGCAGAAGGAAAACCCTTTCCTCTATCACAGAAACAGAATAGCAGAGGAGATGTAGATCATGCAGTCATTCCTCCACCAGTCCCCTTGGGTAGAAGACAATTTTTATGCTAGCCTATTATGAAACTACTTCCTTGGCAGCAAAAGCAGAAACATAGGCTAGTAACTTGCAGCCACATTGTGTTGCAGATAACAGTCTGTTTATACACAGTATAACATTTGAGGAAACACTTCTGTAGTGTACTGAGAAATGCTACCAGTGAAATCCTACACATGTCAACTTGCAAATAAGCCCCACTAAGTTCAATGTCACTTACTTCCAAAGAATCATGCATAGGATTGCAGCCTACTTTGTTTAAGCTGTAAAACATTTAGAAGTGAATAGTTTTTAGCTCAAAACATCTCAAATTTTTCAAAATTTTCAGTTTGAAGTGATTTGGTTCTGAAAGGAATTTCACAATACTTTCAGTGTATGTCACCTGCACAACTCCAGCAGTAACTGGTTGTGACGACCCCCAACTTTTAGCACAATTCAGAAAGAGACCTGGCACTTTGCTCTGACCTTAAAAGTTCCATCAAATTAAAGAAATGCCAATTTCGTGTGCAAATTCTGCATTCTCAAACCTGGTAATGGGTTCAAGCCAAAGCTCACCAGCTGAGTTGTATTTCCTAGTATGGTCCCACAAGAGAAAGGAAAACGGAGGTGTTTATGTATTTGAGACCACAACTTAAAGAGAATTCCCAGCCTATCCCTTTCAGGTCACACTTCTGAACCTTTCCGAAGGAAGGATCCCTCCCAACCATCCTCTGTTCTGTCAAGGTGGCCCTGCACCTTACCTGATGGCGGGGCTGTAGGGGCTGCGAGAGCGGCGCCAGCTGCTGTACGGGCTGGGCGAAACATCCCCGCCGCGCTCGTAGGAGCTGTGCCGGCTATAGCTGGGCGAGCGGCGGCGATAAGGGCTGAGAGGCGAGCGGGGGCTGAGCGACTTGCGGCTGCGCTGGCTCTGCGAGGCCCTGTGGCTGGGCGGGCTGTCATCCCGGCCGGGGCTCGGCGAGGACCGCTGCCGCCTGTAGGCCTTCGGCTCGGCCTTGTCCTCCCGGTACGCCTTGGGTGTCTCCTTGTAAGCCGAAGGAGGCTCCTTGGCCGCCTTCGCCTGGCTTCGCGGGGCTTTGCTCTGCCGGTCCTTCCTGCTACTGCTGCTGCCGCCGCCGCCGCCGCCGCCGCTGGGCGAGACAGCCGAGCCCTTCCTGCGGCCGTCGCTGCCGCCGCCGCTGCTGCTCCGGGGCCCCTCTCGGTCCTGGCCGCCGCTGTGGTTGTGGCGGCTACGGGACTTGGAGGAGGAAGAGGAGGAGGAGGCCTCGGCTCCCCCTACCCGGGCGGCCGCGGCCGCTCCCTCCGGATGCTGCGGCGGCGGCGGCGCTTTGTCCTTGTCCTCCCCCCGCCGCCGGTGCTCCCGGTGGCGCTCCCGGGAGCGCCGGCCGCTGCTGCTGCGGTGCTCCCTCCGCGGCGGCCGCCGGGGCCCCGCTCCGCCTCGGCGCGGCTGGAGCGCGGCTGGCTGCCGGCGCCTCCGCCCGAGGAGGAGCCCGGGCTCCCCGCGCCGCTCCCCGCCCCGGCCGTCCCGCCGCCCAGCGGCCCCTCCGACTGGGAGCTGACGTCGTCGTACTCCTCGGCCGCCGCTTCCACCAGAGGCCCCAGGCCCGCCCCGCTCCCGCGCCGCTCCGACAGGCCCGCCCCCGCGCAACCGGACGCGCCGCCGCTTGTGCCGGGAGCCCGGGCGCCGCTTGCCCCGGGGCCGCTTCCGCTCCCCCCCTTCCCCGCAGCAGGAGGAGCCGGTGGCCGCCAGGAACAGCAGGGACTGCGGCGGCAGCGGCGGCTGCAGGAGCGAGGGCTGCTGCGGCGGCGGCGGCGGCGGCGGCCGCCGCGGGAACAGCAGCGGAGGGGCCGCCGCGGGAGACGCGGGCAGCGGCTGAGGAGAAGGAGGCTGAGGAGGAGGCGGCGGCTGGGCCGACGAGCCGCGCTTCCGCCGCCGGTGATGCAACCGCTTCTTCTCCGCCGCCGGCGACTCGGAGCCGCCCCAGCCCCGGACGCCGCTCCCGCCTCCGGACGAAGACGCCGCCGCCGCCGCCTCCGAAGTGCTCGGCATCGGGACCGCTCCGGCGAACAGGACTCCGTCAAGGCGCCGAGGACGAGCCCAGAGCAGGAGCCGCCATGGGACCCGGATCCCGAGCGCGCCGGTCTCTTCGCATGAGGCGCTCCGGCCTCCTCCTCAGAAGCGTCCCCGGCGGCCTCCTGGCGATGCGCGGCGCCTGACGCGAACTCTCCGCATTCCCGGCTGGGCCCCGAGTGAGGCCTGGCGCGCCTCCGCCGCCGACAGTCGCCTCAGCCCGCCCCGCGCCGGCGCGCAGGATCCCGCCGCCGCCGCTGCCGCCGCCGCCCACGGCTCGTCGCTTCACGGCCTAAGCCGGGCAGAAGCGGCCGCCGAACGGTCCCCGTCGCCCGCTTTGCGCTTCTCTCTCTCCCTCACACTCCCACAGAAAGAGACAGAAGGGGAGACCGGCCCGACTGCGCCTGCGCCGTCGCTGAGGTAAAGACGGGGGCAGGCCTATCTGGAGAGCTCGGCTCGCTTCCCTCAGCACGGAGGGATCTCGCGAGGCTTGGCTCCGCTCCCCCGCCTCCCTTCCCCTACTGTACGGAACTTCCGGCCGGCGGCTTCCTCGACCGCATCCTGGATTCCCGAGGTCATACGGAACTGCCCCCGATGCGACACTTCCGGTCCCCTGTTGAAACTGGCAGCTCCTCCATGTGCGGGGCAGGGGAGAGAGGGGCCACGCAGGGTGTCCGAAAAGCGCTCGAAGTTCTCTGGCTTTTTAGAGGCTCGCCTCCGTGGCAGTTCAAATGAAGCGAAGTAATTAGGTTTTTCTGACAGCCAGATGGGCGGGGTATAAATATATTATTATTATTATTATTATTATTATTATTATTATTATTATTACTACATCTCTCTTTATTTTTTGGTCAGGAGAAGTAGTGATTCGACATGAGGAGAAGATGCAGGGATGGAAGGTTCCTCAGCTGTTGATTTTTCATTTTATTTAAAGGCACAGGGGACGTAATTTAAGAATGGCTCTCTATTTATTCCCGGAAACCTAAATGCGATACTTCTTTCCAAATACCTTGATACAATTGATGGATAAATGTTGTTTTAATAAATATATCATCTGTAAATGCAACAAAATTTACACTGCATGTTTCTAGCTTATTTAAAACTTGATAAAGTACCGTATTTTTCGCTCTATAACACGCACCAGACCATAACACGCACATAGTTTTTAGAGGAGGAAAACAAGAAAAAAAATATTCTAAACGAACTAGTGGATATATGATTTTTGTGGTTCATGCTGTGGCCACAGACATGTGATCTGACAGTGAGTTTGGAGTAGCCCAATGCAAAAATCCTGAGGATCCATGTGGATCCATGCTTTGTAACCACGGAGGAGGGAAGGAAGGGGAACCATGGATCCTCTGCTCACGACTACAGCAGATCCCCCCCGCCACCCGCAGGCATTCGCTCCATAACACGCACAGACATTTCCCCTTACTTTCTAGGAGGAAAAAAGTGAGTGTTATGGTGCAAAAAATACGGTACTTAATCTATAACAGAAATGTATAAAGTTTTTGATAACTTTTATGTCTCCAAACAAATAATATGGCCTTGTTCTTGCATCTTGTTGTTACATATCACATAAACAAGCTCCATTATCTTATCTTCTATTTGCTGATTTTGTGTTACTCTTATTTAGTTTTGTCATGACTCATGAAGGTCAGGATTTTTCTGATAGTGGAGGAGGGGTTTTCCAGATATCTGCTCTTGCTGCTGTTAATAAATAGGTTACCATTTCTTGATCTTCCCCTGAAGTGATGCTTTTGTGACATCCAAATATTGTAACAATAGGATCTATGGAAAGGTCTTGACCAAGGATGTTATTTATTTGTTAATACTTGACTGCCCAAATAACTTGATAATCAGATATTCATAAATTATATGATAAGCATTTGGACCTCTAAAAGGATAATTTTTGTTAAAGTACTTGGATAGCATCAGACCTGCTGTCAGGGAAGAGTTAGAAGTTTCCAGTTTATCAGAGGGAGAAAGCATTCCCCAAGGGGGGAAGGAGAGCAGTGAATCTAATAGAAGGGAGCAAGAGGAACAACAGGGAGGGACCGGCTGTTCCCAGGAAAGGCAAGGGTTAAGTTCTAGCTCAGATTCGGAGGAGGGGAGATCCAAGCCAGCTCTAGCCAGGAGGTTAGAAAAAAGAGTGGGAAAGTGAAGGGAAGGGCGCCTTCGCCATTTTGAGAGTGGCTGGTCACGGAGAAGCAGAGCTCAGAAGGTATCTGAAATAAGTGACTCTGAGGAATAATAGTTAAGAACCGTTTATAAGAATGTTTTGTTAATACGCAATAAAAAGTTTTATAAAAGAACAAGAAGCGTTTGTGTGGTGATCTGAAGAGGACAACGACCAGTCCTGACAGAATACCTTCTGCTCTGCGCCTCTTCACTATAAGTAAAGAAGGAGAAGCCAAAATGGAGGGAGCTGTGGCGCCAGTTGGGCAAGGAGAAACCCCAGCACTCCAGCTAACATTACAGGACTTATGGCAACGGAACTTACAGTTGAAAAGTCAAGTCGACGTACTATCGGCAGCATTGGGAGAACATAGAACCATGCTGCAAGCGACGTGTGGAGATAGAGTGAGTAAAACATTTACTGTACGTCCACGTAGCTTCAAGGGAGAAAGCTCTGAATACATGGCTTTCAAGACAGAAATTTCTTACATAATTGAGATAAAGGATAAAGAATTTCAATCTGAGCAAGAGAAGGTTGCTTATGTGATTAATTTCTTGGAAGGGAGGGCTAAGGACTGTGTTATACCCCTAATATCTCGGAGGGATGCCGCCCTAGGAAATCTACAATTTTTTCTGCAGTATCTAGACACGATTTTCTTAGACCCTGCGCATGAAATAACCACAGCTAGGCAGCTGTTGAGAATGAGACAAGGAAAAGACACTGTGGGAGTTTATTGGTCCAACTTTAGTTTGCTGGTGCAGAAATTAAAATGGGATCTGAATTCCCCAACAGTTGCAGCCCTTTTTAGGGAAGGACTGAATAATGAGATTTTAGACCAATTGGCCCAAATGCCAGAACCTAGTTCCTTGGACTCTCTGGTCCGAACGTGCCTGCAATTGAGCCTACGCGTGGAACGGAGGGCTAGTGAAAAGAAGGAACAATGGAGACCATGGTGGCGGGAAAAGAATATTATCGAAAGTACAGAGAGCAGAGCGGGCAACGTGCCAGGACAAGAGCGGCCAGAGCCCATGGAATTAGAAGCAGCCAGACCCCTCCCAGTTACTACCTCTTCCAGGGTAAGAGGAAATGCAGGGAGAGGAAGAGACACGAGGCGTTGCTTTGTCTGTGGAAAACCAGGGCATCTAGCACGACAATGTCGCAATCGTAAAGGATGGGAGTCTCTATCTGGAGCAGACATGGGAGAAGACAATTGCCCAAAGGAACTGCATCAGGGAAACGAATGTCCCCGGCTGGAAATGGGAGCTTGCAGCCGGGTGGAGAAGCAATAGAAGGCTCTCACGCAGAACCACCTATCCCAGGACTAACGGTGAAGGTGCAACTACAACTACCCAATGGACATAGGGTCCAGGTAGAGACGCTGTTAGACTCAGGAGCGTCAGCAGATTTCATAGACCAGAAATTGGTACAGGAACACAAAATCGCTTTGTTACCTTTGAGTTTCCCACTGCGAGTGAAAACAATCGACGGCAGACCGCTACTTTCAGGAGAAGTGACTTACGAGACTCCACCAATGAGAATGGATATGAGTCATCACTCAGAGACCAGGGCATTTCATGTGACCAAACTAGCTGGGCACCCAATGGTGCTGGGCATGAGTTGGCTCAATCATCATAATCCAGTGATTGCCTGGCATCAAAGGTCTTTGGTTTTTGGTTCGATCTATTGTATGACACATTGTTTGGGGCAAAAGGGGAAAATCTCGGTGGAAGTAATGGGAACAGAGGTGGAAGGGAAGTTGATGGGGAATGAAAGTGAGATTCCATCACAATATATTGCTTATCGGGATGTTTTTTGTGAAAAAGAAGCGGATAAACTTCCACCACATAGGCCCTATGATTGCAAGATAGATCTAGTCCCTGGGGCACAGTTGCCACCAAGCAAGATATATGCCATGTCGGAAGTAGAATCTGCAGCATTGAGGGAGTTCCTGCAAAAGAATTTGCAGAGAGGTTTTATTAGAGAGTCCACGGCCTCGGGGGGTGCTCCCGTCTTTTTTGTCAAAAAGAAAGGGGAGGAAGGGGCACCGAGATTAGTATGTGACTTCAGAATCCTTAATAGCCAAATGAAGCCTCGCGTGTGCCCACTGCCACGTATAGATGACCTCTTAGAGAGAGTAAGGTCAGCCAAAGTCTTTACCAAGCTTGATCTACGAGGAGCATATAATCTGATAAGGGTCAGAGAAGGGGATGAGTGGAAAGCCAGTTTTTGTACTAAGTATGGTGCATTTGAATTATTGGTAATGCCTTTTGGCTTGCAAAATGGCTCAGGGGTATTTCAAACCTTCATCAATGATGCCAATTTTTAACAAACGGAAAACATTTTAAAGACTCTGAACATTTTTATAACTCCTGTCGGCTCTGTGAGCTTCAGCTTGTCCCAGCCTGCTCCCTCCCTCCTTATCAGCTGCCCGGTCAAGGTTGCCAGAGAGGAGAGAACGCTGCTGCCTGAACTGAGAGCAGAGAGACAGAAGAGGTCTAAAGACAGAACTGTGAACTGCTTATCCGACCAACGGTGCCTGGAGAAGGAGGGTAAGGAGAGATACGACTGTGAGCTTTGCTTTGAGATTGGCCCATAGACACCCAGCTCAGCTGAACACAGAGAAAGATAAAGCTTGGAGATTGGGGGTTAACTGAATTGACTGACCCCCGCCCAGCTGGGGGGCTGTGTGAACTAGCTGGGGACAACATTCCTGCTTAGTTGAAGAGGAAGTGCTGTAGCTGGAAAGACTCTTCATTTTAATAAACTCTTTCGAGGAGACCAGCTTTTATATTCTCAGAGACTCCTGGTGAAGGCACCCTGAGTCTTTTACAGGAATTTTTTAATCTACACAATAACTCCACAACAGTGTATCGGATAGGACCTTCTGGAGGTTTGGAAAACCGGCTTCAGCAAGATATCGTTCTGTGCCCTGCCTTATGTGGTAGGCCTTTGAAAGACTACCTAGAAGGAATCAGCGAACCAGCCCACAGAAAGTTTCCCTTCTGGGGCTCTTGGATATCCTTCGTTCAGTATGGGGCGGTGGAAGATGGCCTCTAAAGACTAAGCTAAGACCCGAAATACAAGGTTATCATAGCTGTACATGCGCTATAGCCAAACTCCACTATTATCCTTTTCCAGCTGCACACAAATTGCCTAAATAAGGCAATTTTAATTTTAATGTAGTTTTTAGCCGTTTTATTACTGCTGTCTCTTTGGCAGCATTGTTTTATTATTATATTCTGACTAGGTTGCAGCATTTGTGAAACAGCGCTGGTCGCATGATTGAGGTGAAAACTACAGGCTTAGGACAATTGCCAAGATCTAAAAGCAGAGAACTCAAAATAGAGAAATATATTGAGGCTGTTGATGAGCACATCAGGAAGCTGTTGCAGAGAGCAGGTGGGAATATAGATTGATACCCCCACTTGCCCCCCAATCTAAGGCAGTCGCACCTGGGGTAAACTGCCCTCTCTCTATATCGAGACCACTTTTACCATGGTTTTTACTAGGAGAAAATACAAGGAGTTGGGTATACTGCCTGACTCGGCAATCAGCCCCTCGGGCCCTGGTAAAAGACAAAGCAAAATCACAAATTACTTTCCTAAGATGGAGGAGGGTAAGAGTCCACAAAAGAGTTAATTCTTGATGAAGTAATACCCCCCTCTCTTACTGTTCTTGATTGGACATCTAATTTTAAAGAGATATACCAAGATACTGGAAATATTAACTCCCCATGCAGCCTAGCGCAAGAACTAGCTTTAGCCGAGGAACTTCAGGAGGGAAATACCTCTATTACTAAGGAACAGCTGCCCACGGAAGAAATTACATCAACCCATCAAAACCAGATACTTACTCCAAAATACTCTCAAACAGAATTGAGTGACGGTCGCCCTTTGGATTATTCCCTAGCAATAAGTTCTGATTTAGCCAACATAAAAATTATCTAACAATAACAAATGGGCTACTGCTGACGTTAGTAGAAAATTTCACATCTCAATTAAAAGAGTTAAAATTAAATGATATGCCACAAGAACATAAAACAGTTGAGCTAGCGTCGATGAACAAACCAGTAATAAATAAGAATCTGCAAAGACATAACTCAAGGGTAAAAGTGAAGAAAAGTAAAAATATTAAAACAACAAGGATAGCCAAGCATACCCGCAGTAATCGAAACATACATTGGCAGAAATTGTTTAAACTTCTTCCCCCAGCCCCAAATAAATCGACCACACGGGGCAGCAAAAGAAGGGTAAAAAGAGAGAAACAAAGGTAGTTACACAGCAACCGGCTAAGGAGGACTCGCTAAGGCTGACTCCAGTAGCAAATGAGAAGGCAGAAGTAACAACTCAGTCCTTGGATAACCAACTTTTTAATAAACCTGATGCTGCGGAAGTAGAGGCCTCTTTCTATGAAGGCAATAAAACACTTAGTAAACCGAACAGCGGGGAAGAGGAAGCGTTTAGTAGAGATGATACCCCCCTTCAGACCTGGCAAGCCTCCAGTCAGAAAAGAGATTGGAATTTGATCCTAAATCCCCAAAACTGGTATTCACGAACTTCCCGAAGCCTAAGGGCTTCCTTACAGGGAAACAGCGAATAATGAACTTTGTATCTAGTCTAAATGACATACTGCCAGGAATGGTTAATGCTAATGATATCACCTCGGTGGAATATTTACATTATGATGGTCACTCAGTGAGAGCACTGACCACTTTTAGGGATCAGAACCTGGCCAAGTATATTTTTAGGTCAAGACCTGCCTTTTTAAAAGCACGGACAATAATACTTAGGTTCTTTGAAAATAAGGCTCCTTTGAGCCCCCTTTGAAAACTAAGCAGGCAAATCTTAGAAAGGGGAAACAACTCTCAAAATCCTGGCCTGACAAACAGAACCCGCAATGCCTTGCAAGTAAAGGTGAGGATTTCTTTACTATGGAAGAAAATATCCTAATTGACCAATTCTGGATGTTCCCACCATTAATACAAACTGACATCTTGGGAAGACTAGATAAGCTAAGAGATAAGCTGGCTGAGAGAGCTTCAGGCAACGAGGTTATCAAGGGGGACCAAAAAAAGACCACAACACGTAACCTTCAGATCAAAGCGGAGATTAACTTTCCACCAAGAGAGAATGTGCCACCCTTCAAGGAGAGTACTCCATCACCCCCGAAAGAGAAATATCCCCAAGGTGACCCCACAAGACGTATGGGACAAAATGAGATACCTAGATGAAACAGAATTGGGCCAAAATCAGGCCAAAACAGACTATCCACAGAAGGAATTTATGCATAATAAAGAGCTGGTGTTCACAAACGTGAGCACTTTGCATCCACCTATTGAAATCATAGAGCGGCTGGATAGCCCGCCATTCAAAGACGATAGGCGTCCGATACATAAAGCGACAAACCCTAAAAGTACGTTAGCTAATAATTGACAAAGATTTGATTGTGATAAAGCCAATCTTAAATTTTTATCATGGAACATTGCTGGTTGGCTCAACAAGGCGACTGACCAATCATTTGTCAATTTTATTCAAGATCATGATATAGTCTTCTTGCAAGAGACATGGCTAACAGGGGATCTAGATGTAAATGGTTTTGCCTCATTTTCGCTCGCAGGCTCACCAAGCAACAAAGGGGGACGAGTTAAGGGTGGGCTAGGCATTTTAATATCCACAAGGCTGAGAGCATCTTTCGTCGAGCTGGAGCCTCTGAGCAGTGTGGCCATGGCATTATTGATGAAATGCAGATATTGCACACTTCTATTGATTAATATATATGCCCCTCCCCAAAGAGGCAAGCAGCTTATCAAAAATCTCTGGCATAGGATAGAATCTTATGTCGATGAGCTAATGAATCAAACTCCTGCTGCGGCAGTGCTGCTGGCTGGGGATTTAAATGCCAGAATTGGCCAATCAGACGAAGCGTTATATGCTCATTTTCACGACGTACCTCCCATTTCTGAAGAAGCCCATTCTATTCCCCAAGGCTCTCAAAAGACAAGGGCTGCAATTACGCAGGCCTATGCCTTCTACGTTTTCCAACAATCTGGATTTGACTGTATTAAATGGTCGTGTCGACAGAGAACCCAGTGGGGAATTTACATTTATATCCAACATGGGAGCCTCCACTATCGATTACGTCCTGGTGTCATCTAACCTTTTGAGCAGAGCACGGGAATGTAAAGTGGTGGAGAGGGTTGACAGCGACCATCTACCGTTCTGTTTAATACTGGATGTAAGAAAAGATTTATTTTGCTCTGATAAACTTGTAGCCCCATGCTTCGAAAACATGGAGCTAAGATACTCACGTATTAAATGGTCCAGCAAATTGAGTGATGAAATATCGGAAAGACTTCACTCAGATATTTTTCTTGCTAGAAAGGAGAACCTCGTTAATTCCCCAACTCCTGAGGCCAGATTAGACATGTTCCGGGAACTGATTTCGTCGCTACAACCTTATCTGACCAACAAAAAACGCCACGGCAATCTCTACACTTTAATAAATCCAAACCTTGGTTTGACCAAGAATGCATGGCTATGAAACGCCTCCTGCTGGATAAGTACAGGAACTATAGAACAGCGAACTTACCTTCGCTTCCATTAGACTGGTTTGAGTCAAAACGCAGTTATAAAGCTTTGATTAGCAAGAAAAAGCTCCAGGCACAAAGGGAGGAATGGCAGTGCCTAGTGGAGGCCTCCCAAAGGAAAGATTCTGCCACGTTTTGGAAAATAATTGCAAAAAGCTGGAGAGACTCCCGATTGAAATCGAATACTCTATACCCGCTGGAGCATGGGAGGCCTATTTCCTCTCATTATATTCATCAAATCAACTGGCCCCAGCTCTGCTTCCTGCTTCAAGTGAATTTGGTAAGGAATGGCCCCCTGTAACCATAGAAGAAATTACTGGACTTATTCAAGCTCTTAAATCAGGGAAAGCCCGGGTGCTGACAATATCCCACCAGAAATTCTTAAGGCAAATGTCGAATGGTGGGCCCCTGTGCTAGCCGCCTTGTTCACTAGTATAAATCAAGCGGCTATTATCCCCGAGGACTGGGGTTTAGCCATCATCATTCCAATATTTAAGAAAGGAAACAGAACTGAGCCAGCTAACTATAGACCAATCAGTCTATTAAGTATTATTAGCAAACTGTATGCTGCTCATTTATGTGATAAATTAGTGGAGTGGATGGAAAGAGAGCATATTCTATCAGAAGCTCAAGCCGGTTTTAGAGCAAAGCGTTCAACTATAGACCAGGCCCTTACCCTTCAACACCTGGCAGACAAATATTCTAGAAAAGGGGGGTCTTTATATGCAGCATTCGTGGATTTTAAATCGGCGTTTGATCTAATACCAAGGGATAGACTCTGGGAAAAGCTTGGCGCTACAAACATAGATAAACGCTTATTACGCCTTATCCGTGGTCTATACGAAAACACCAGGGTGAGGGTAAGATGCGATCGGTCAGGCCATCTAACTAAAGAAATTCAAACGCACTATGGGGTTAAACAAGGATGTGTCCTCGCGCCAACGCTATTTAATTTCTATATCAACTCTCTAGCAGTAAATATGGCGAAAGAAAATGCCCACCCTCCCAAACTGGCAGGTATTCCCATCCCGGTGCTTCTGTATGCGGACGACGCAGTCCTACTCTCCTTTTCCTGCATTGGCCTGAGGAAGCTTTTGAGATCACTTGCTGACTATTGTCAAGCGGAACAACTATCAATAAATTACAGCAAATCTAAAATTATGGTGTTTTCAAAAAAAAGAAGGAAACACAAATGGAGAATTAATGGTCAACCTATTGACCAGGTAGCAACTTTCAAATACCTGGGAATAACTTTTCAGGAAAGGGTCTCGTGGCATCAACAGATGAAAAACGCCATTGCCAACGCAGGAAGGGCTAATAAAGCCCTTACAAGATTTTTTCACGGGAAAGGGGGTAAATACGTTCCGGCGGCCTCCCAGGTTTTTGCTGCAAAAATACTCCCACAACTTACTTATGGATCCCAGGTTTGCAGTTTTAAAAATTTTGCGCCTATGGAGGCATTTCAAACAAAATTCTATCGGTGTTTATTGGGGATCCCCCCCTGTGTATCTAATATAGCTGTCCGCTTAGAAGTTGGACAACCACCCGTTAATGCGCGGCTGTGGATTCTAAAGATACACTACTGGTTAAAACTTATTTTTCCCCCGGCCGGTTTGGCTCCTTTAACACTCTTAGACACCTTTCATTCCACCTGGAAAGCTTCCCTGTTTGAAAAGATAAGAAGCTTGGGATTCTCCCCGCAGATCTTGATAGCGGCAGGATATGAGAGAGCCAGAAGTCAAGTGCTCCAACGCATTAGGGACATAGAGCTGCAATGTCATATGGGCAAAATGGATAAACATGCCATAATTAGAGACTTTGGGAGAGGGTTCTCACCCGCAAATTATTTGGCTGATTTACAAATACCTAAGTACAGACACTCCTTTACCCTGGCCAGATTTAACGTTCTGCCCTCTGCCCTGCTGCTAGGCAGATATGAGGGCAAACCATATGAGTCACGTGTTTGCCCGTGTGGCTCATCGGAAGTGGAAACAAGTCTGCATGTATTGCTGCACTGTAGTTACTATGAGGATCTACGCTTGACCTTTATTGCCCCAGTTCTACAAAAGCTTAAAAATGAACCAGAACTCCAACGTATGAGAGCCTTGGTAGAAGATAAGGTTTCTGAAATTACGATCAATGTGGCCAAATTTTGTGTAGCCGCTATTAGGCGCAGGAAACAAGAGCTTTCCAATGTCATTACGCAGGCGAAGGCAAATACTTAATTTTTTATTTATGCTGTCTAATTTTAAATTGCAGTTATGTATTGAAATTGTCCTTTGTTTTTTCCGGTGTTATGCTTCGCTGACTAGCTGTACGAGTTAATCTGGTCTGTGACCGTTTAATAAATTTGATTTGATTTGAACCTTCATCAATCACGTCTTGGCAGGTATACTGGATCAGTTCTGTGTCTCTTATTTAGATGACCTCTTAATATATAGTGAAAGTATGGAAGAACATGTAAAACATGTCATGCAGGTGTTAGAGAGATTGAGGACCAACAGGTTATATGTGAAGTTAGAAAAGTGTAAGTTTCACACACAAAATGTGGAGTTCCTGGGATATTGCATTTCCCACAAAGGGGTGCACATGGACCCCAGTAAAGTTCAGGCAGTGGTGGAATGGGAGGCACCTAAAACTAAGAAAGATCTACAGAGGTTTTTAGGATTTGCTAATTTCTACCGTAAATTCATAGGTAATTACTCCAAAATCACAACACCACTGACTGATTGTCTAAGAGGCAAGGGGACATTCAGATGGTCTGAGGAAGCACAGAAGGCCTTTGATAAATTAAAGGCGGTGTTTGCTTCAGAAAAATATCTTATGCAAGTAAACGTATGAAGGTAGAAACTGATGCCTCTGATAGGGCTATTGGGGCCATTCTGCTGCAACAGGACAAGGAAGGGGACTGGAGACCCTGTGCATTCTACTCTAGAAAATTAAATCAATCAGAACAAAACTACACCATATTTGATAAGGAACTTTTAGCTGTGCATGCTGCCTTTAAAGTGTGGAGACATTTTTGGAAGGGGCATCACATCAGGTGGTGGTACAAACAGATCATAAGAATTTAGAGTATTGGAGAACTGCTAGACAGCTAAACCAAAGGCAAATTAGGTGGGCAGAATTTTTTGCTGGGTTTAATTTTAGGATTGAGTACATACCTGGGCATCAAAACGTTCGTGCAGATGCGCTATAGCGCAAACCTGAGTATATGGAAGGAGAAGCACCTCCCAAGTTGCGAGAAATGCTGAGATCGGATCAGTGGGGGTGTGCAGCCGTAGTAGTGGACGGCAGGGAATTCCAGCGATTGACAGTAACAGATGAGTTTGCACAAAAGAAAATGGAGGAACTGAGAAAAGGTAGAGGGGAAGAGGAAGGTTTCAAGGAAAAAGGTGGATTGTTGTACAGGAGAGGGGTGCTGTATGTACCTGCAGGTGAATTAAGAGGTAAAGTGTTGAGGCAACATCATGATAACCCGACTGCAGGACATTTTGGTAGAGAAAAGACCCTGTATCAGATCACACGGCAGTTCTGGTGGCCAAAGTTGAGGGAGGAGGTAACGCAATATGTAAGAGGTTGTGAAGTATGTCAACGAGCCAAGGCACCCAGAGCAGCTCCTGCAGGGTTGTTACAACCTATGCCCACGCCAGGAAGGCCTTGGGATGTGGTGTCTATGGATTTTATAACGGATCTACCATCATCGCATAGGCATACATTGATCTTTGTGGTGGTTGACATGCTAACCAAGATGGCGCATTTCATACCATGTGCCAAAATTCCGACCGCGCAGGAAACTGCAAAGATGTTTTTAGATAATGTTTTTAGGTTGCATGGTATGACATCACAAATCATTTCAGATAGAGGGGCCCAATTTACATCACAATTTTGGAGGAGGTTAATGCAGTTACTAGATGTGGAGCTAAGCCTCACGTCGGCGAGACACCCGCAAACCAATGGGGAAGCTGAAAGAACGAATGCAACACTACAACAATATCTGAGGTGTTATGCTGGTTATCAGCAGAGCGGGTGGTTAGAGAAGTTGAGTCTAGCAGAGTTTGCGTATAATAATGCAATGCATGATTCTACGGGCAGAGCCCCATTTGTGGCAAACTATGGCTTGCACCCAAGGGCATTCCCAGGTCAAGAGGAGCAGTTAGCAGTACCAGCAGCAGAACAAATGATAGAGGAGTTGAGGTGCATTCATGAGATATTGAAAGAGGATTTGGAAGAAGCTAAAGAGGCTTACAAGAGAGCTGCAGACAGGCACCGGCGAGTTGGGGAAGAAATCCAAGTAGGGAGCTGGGTATGGCTGTCTACCAAGGGACTACCAATACGAGGGTAAAAAGCTAGAACCAAGGAGATTGGGACCTTTCCAAGTAAAGGCTCAAATTAACTCAGTTGCTTTCAAGCTTCATTTACCTGAAAATATGAGAATACACCCTGTATTTCATAGATCTTTATTGTCAGTGTTTGTACCAGTGCATAAGTATCAAAGTTCAAGGGAACCACCTCCTTTTCCCACCATGATGGGGGAAGAGGAGACCGAAGTGGAAGAGATATTAGACTCGAGAATAAGTAGGAGGAAATTACAGTATTTGGTTGCATGGAAAGGGTTAGATGAGTCTGAGAACTCATGGGAACCAGCAGAAAAAATTAACGTTCCAGAATTGCAGAGAGAATTTCATAGAAAATATCCCCACAAGCCAAAACCCCATAACTGGCATCTTCAAGAAATTTTTGAAGAGACAGATAGCGAAGAAGAAGAGTTCATAGGGTTCGGTCCTTCAGAAACAGAGGAGAGTGAGAAGGAGGAAGGGGGGCTTAGGGGAGGGGGTGATGTCAGGGAAGAGTTAGAAGTTTCCAGTTTATCAGAGGGAGAAAGCATTCCCCAAGGGGGGAGGGAGAGCAGTGAATCTAATAGAAGGGAGCAAGAGGAACAACAGGGAGGGACCGGCTGTTCCCAGGAAAGGCAAGGGTTCAGTTCTAGCTCAGATTCGGAGGAGGGGAGATACAGGCCAGCTCTAGCCAGGAGGGTAGGAAAAAGAGCGGGAAAGCGAAGGGAAAGGCGCCTTCGCCATTTTGAGGGTGGCTGGTCACGGAGAAGCAGAGCTCAGAAGGTATCTGAAATAAGTGACTCTGAGGAATAATAGTTAAGAACCGTTTATAAGAATGTTTTGTTAATACGCAATAAAAAGTTTTATAAAAGAACAAGAAGCGTTTGTGTGGTGATCTGAAGAGGACAACGACCAGTCCTGACACCTGCTATCAGACATAACAACTACCACCTAAAAATAGCTGGAGAAGGTTCATTTGCTTTGTATGGAGAAGATCCCTTGTTCAAATCCTGGCATTGCAAGGTAGGGCTGGGAGACAACCCTGTCTTAAAATCCTGGAGAACTACTATCAATGTAAAGCTAAATGGACTAGATGTGATATAGCAGTGGGGAAATATAGCAGTGGGGAAGACTGCACCTCCTACATCTATTCTAATAAATGCTTGGTGGTCCTTGTAGGCGTTCATGAAACCTTCACTTCACTGCTAGCAAACATACAGGGTTCCAACTAAATTCATCAGTATGCTGATGACACGCAGCTCTGGTTCTCATTTCATAGAATCATAGAATCATAGAATCATAGAGTTGGAAGAGACCACAAGGGCCATCGAGTCCAACCCCCTGCCAAGCAGGAAATTTACATCAACAAGTGTGAAAGTGGGTGTACTGGACCAGTGTCTGGCCTTGATAATGGACTGGATGAGAGCCAATAAACTGAAGCTCAATCCAGATAAGACTGAAACACTGGTGGCCCCCAGCTGTGCCACTATCTGGGCAGGGATAGCCTAATTTCTGTTGTTTATGCTCTGGTAACCTCTAGGTTAGATTATTGCAGCACATTATACGTAGGGCTGCCTCTGAAGACGGATTGGAAACTTCAGCTGGTGCAGAATTCAGTGGGCAGGTTGTTCACTGCGACAAGATGATCTGATCATATAACACGATTCCTGGCCCAACTGCACTGGATGCCAATCAGTTTCTGGGCTTTAAATGGCTCAGGACTACAATACTTCCCGGACCGCCTCTCTTCATATACACCAACCTGGACCCTGCAATCAAAATCTGAGGCCCTTCTTTGTGTGCCCCCTCCATGAGAATCCTGGAAGGTGGCAACACAAAAACAGGCCTTTTCTGCAATGGCTCCCCGTTTGCGGAATGCTGTCTCCAAGAAGGTTTGCCCGGTGCCTTCATTGCATATCTTTAGGCACCATGCAAAAACAATCCTCTTCTCCCAGGCCTCTGGCTAATTAAACCATCTATATTTTTTTGCAGGAGGTATTGTTTCGTAGCACACAATTGTTACCTAAGAAGTGGAACCGAATAAGAATACAGAGTATATTGATTAGGAATTTATCACCCCCAATTTATCACCCCCAGCTAACATTAGAAGAATCTTAGCACATCCACAGCCCCATGTAAATTAATACCCTGGGTATAGGGTGGTATAAAAAATTAAAAAATAATGAGATGAAAGAAAATCAGCACAGAGCTTTCTTCTTGGCTCCCCCAGTGCCCATGGAGCAGAATAATAGTTCTCCAAGACCAATGTTTGCTCTCATTCTGATTTCTCACAATAATAGCACTTTCAAATGCAACACACAGGTGTGATTTTCATTAAATTACCGAAGATCACAGAGTGGTTTACAATATAAAAACACAAGAATACATACCCTAATAACAAACAATAACCCCCTGACAGTTTGAAAGACCATAGACTGCTGCCTCCTTTGCTGCCTTCACTGCCAATAGGTCGGCTTGATTATGAGTCTTCACCATGTTCAATTGCATTTGACTGGAGTTTTCCTCCACCCGTGTTCAAGCTGTCTCCTAGCTTGTTTTCTTGCCCTAAGCTCTGGAGTATACCAGGGAGCCAAAGGGGTTCCACAAAGTGGGAGAGGGCACTCAGGGGCGATTGTGTCAGTGGCTTGAGCCATTCAGATGTTCCAGAGGTCAGCCAGGGCTTTGACAGGAATGCCTGTCATATCAGCTGGAAAATCTCCCAAAGCCATCTGAAAACCCATTAGATCCATCAGCCTCAGAGGACAAACCATCAAAAAGGTCCCCTGCCTCTGCAGAGGTGAAAAGGTGCTGAAATCCTAAATCTCAACCAGAAGTGATTTTACCAATACAAGGGACTGGTGTCAATATTCCCCACTTTCAGATGACTCTCTTTTTGCCTAGCCCTGGGAAGGAATACACTTTCACTTTGGAGTCAGCTCATGACCTGCACATGTTGGAATTTGCTTAACAGAGCCTAAGATAGACACAATCAGGCCTGGTATGAAACTTTCAAAATTAAGTATTTTCTGGTGCATTTCCCTAGTGCATAGCTATTGCAGGATTATGATGAACAGATGTATCGTGGGCAGGAATGAGAGTGGACAAAAATAGCAGAATTAGGTGTGGTTAGTTTGAGGAGAAATCGTCCACTCAGCAAGCTGGTCAGTGACTGTAAGATGATTCCTGGCTACTCTGCAGTCTCTTGAATCAAGTATCCTTGAAATACAGTATAAAAGATCAAAGTCTAAATTACGTCTCTTCCCAATGTCACTAGGTTCCCAACTTCAAACAGTTTTGTAGAATAGACACACCATGTCTAACACAGTAGAACCCATTTATTTTTAATTTGTCTTGATCTTAAAACTTCAAAAGTACCCTCCCAAAAGGAGGCTATATCCCTGGTGCCCATTATTTACAAGACTCAGGACAGATCCGTCCATGAGGCAAACTGAGGCAGCCATCTCAGATGAGAGAATCTAAGGGGCACTTCTGTGGGTGCTCCACCACCACCATTGGAGAAGGAAGAAGTGGCTGCTTTTGGTGAGATCTCATGAGGCTCTCACAAGATCTTGCAAGACCCCAGAAGCCGCAATTGCCTGACCCCAGTAAGCGAACTTCGGTGGGTGGGGGGAGAGGCAGCAAAAGTGGGGTGGCACCTTCCTGTTTCGCCTCAGGCGGCAAAACTTGATGGGCTGCCCCTGACAGGACAGTATGAGATCTAGAAAAACAAGCTTGTGCTTTCAAAGAAGAGTGAATATTTTACTTTTATTACACTGCAAATTGCTTCAAAAACTCTCTCATACGTGTTTTGGGTGGTGGGGGAGAGAGAAGGCAACCTTGTTAGATATGAAGAAAGCCATGCAACCATATTCCATATTGCTGTTGCCTTTTCTTCCTGCTTTGATAATAGGCTGTGGTCATTCATGCTCCTAGGAAATCCCTTACCCCCTCCATGCCCAGATTCTTAGGGTTCTGGCTGAGCTCCCCTAATCATAAGATGAAAAAAATGTACAAAACCCATATAAGGAGGATATAACAAACCAAGTCCCTTCCCCTGTTTTGTCTGTTTTGGGGGCCCCCTAGCCAATTCTATCCGGCCACTGTGGCAATGTATTTATTGGGGTCAAATCGTAAAAAAAGCTCAAGTTCAATTGTAAAAAAAGTTCAACAACTTTGGGGTAAAATTGTTAAAAAAAGCTCAACAACTTCAATCACGCATGTTCACTTCATCAAATTTGACCCCCTTTGGGGAAAAAGTTTGCCTTTGAAAAGGCAAACTAAGGCCCACTAAGGCCTTCTAAATCCGGCCCGCAGATGGTCCAGGAATCAGCGTGTTTTTACATGAGTAGAATGTGTGCTTTTATTTAAAATGCATCTCTGGGTTATTTGTGGGGCATAGGAATTAATTCATTCCCCCCCATCAAATAAATGCATAGTCCGGCCCTCCACAAGGTCTGAGGGATAGTGGACCGGCCCCCTGCTGAAAAAGTTTGCTGACCCCTGCCTTAGGCTGTAACCCTACACAGTGTCAAGTATACATGCTAACCTAGAAGTTCAATTGAACCTAATAGGCTTACTTCTGAGGAGGAATGTGTAGGACTGCACTTGCAGCAATATTTAGACTCCAAGATCTGACTGCAGGCATTGAGAGGAAATATTCCTCATATGTTGTTATGATAGTAAGTCTGGTAGATCACAACTGTCAACTAATTTCTCACACATATAAGCATGCCAATTTTCTAAGATTGTCCTGATGAATTAAGGGGAACAATCTTTCTTATTCAGCCAGTGAATTGTTTAAATTGCTGTAAACTAGGATGTGGTAAGGCTAACCTCCACACTGACAACAATTTTAAACTTGTAAAACAAGTTTACACATCAGTCATAGGTGAGTTCCCAGCAACATACCATAAATACTGCCAGTGTTCTTCTGTGTGTAGCCGAATGGGTAACTGATTCAGGCCAGTGCATTGTAGAACAAAGAAACAGGATGCTAATGTTAATTAGGTTAAAGTTTATTAATAAGAAAACTAGAAAATTATGCAAGTTAGATTATATCTTAAGCCTTGCTCAGAGAAATGAAGGGTAGATACAGGTCAATTCAGACTATTCTGGACTGGGTCAATTTGAACATAGGAAACGAAGAAAGATTTTTTACTCCTTACATTTTTACTAACTTGGATGTTCAATTATTTTACTGAGATAAGTCTGAGTTATGATACTTAAGGATTATGTCAAGGTTTCTGTTTTCAGCAAAAATAACGATTTGCCCATTGGAATGAAACATTTGGTATCTGAATAAAAGAGGGTGCAAGGCAGGAGGTTTTTGTTTGTTTTTTTACTAACACCAGATATGACTCAAACATTTTGAATCTTTTTGTGGGTCCTTGGTTTATCAAAACGAAATTTTCTAAACCGCAGAATTGTGAAGAAAGGTTGAAACTTTTTATTTATGTGAGTATTCTAAAACCAGGAAATTGTTTAAAGGGTCACAAGAACGTAAGAAAACCCCTGGAAAAACCTGCTGAATCAGGCCAAAGGCCCGTCTAGTTTGGGTCTCTGTTGGCACCGTGGCCAACCAGAGGCCCATGGGAAGACCACAAGCAGAACCGGGTCACAGCACTCTGCTGCAACCTTCCAGGAGCTGCAAAGGTGGGAACCAGAGGCGAAAGCAGGCTGAGCAATGGATGTGGTTTCTTTACTTTGTGCAGTAGGCTACATTCCAGCCAGGCAAAAACCAGAGGTTTCTCAACACACCCACATCTCTCTCCAACCATGCAAGCCAGTGGCATTATTACAATTCAGAAATACAGTACATCCTAGCCAGGGAAAAGTACCGTACTCAAGGAGTGTGGCCTAGGGAGAGAGCCCTGAGGACTGGGAAGAAATAAATGGCCTGAGGTTCCTCACTCTGGTTCTATGAGTTAAATGACATCTCTGTTACTAAAGTGCATCAAAGAAAATTATTCATTGAAACAAAACTAATTTGTGTTGTTATCTTTTAACTCAAGGTCTTCATAATCTACATTTTAGAAAGCAATCATCTAGAGTGGTTACTTAGGTTGGAATACACTGCCTAAACTAGCATAACAGGTTCAATATAGCATAAAAAAACAATTTGTTGAATTGAAAGGTATTATTGTTCCACCTTGTGGAGACTGCCAGTTCATTCATATATTCTGCATTTCCTCCTACAATTCAGAGTGTGGTAAATGAATAATTTTTAAGTAGAGCTCCAAAACCACACTGTGTTGCTTCTATGCAGTCTTAAATCTTCTGTGGTCAGAAGCAAGTTGCAGGGAGTCCACCCTATGCTTAAATCTTGCATGCAGTTCATCACAATCTATGCACTCCATCATGTAAAAAGTGGCAGATAGGGGAGGTGGGGAATAAAGTTTTATTTTACTTCCTTTATTGTTAGGATCTTACAATTATTTTTTTTACATATACTGTGGGCAAGATTTATTAGCATATTTCCCCCACCGCACTAGTCACACCATTCCAAAAACCTTTACAATGGGCAAGAGTAGAAAGAGTGCTCATCTTGCCCAGTCTTGTTGTCAGCACTTAGAATGCTGAAGAATAAGCTACGTTAATTACACCTTAATCGGTTAACCAGGCATTGACTCATTAAAACATGTATATGTTGGGTGTTGGCCATTGTGATTAAGGAAGTTAAGACAGAGAACTACGCATAAAATGGAAGATTAAAAATGTATTAGGAAGCAGCTGATGTTTAGGATAGCATGGTTCTGTATATGGTTGTTTTGTTTTAGCTTCTACAGTGACCAAAATCAGATCTCAGGCTGGTTATTTTTTTCAGGAAAGCATGTTGTTTCAGTCCAACTCAAGATTCATTCATTCATTCAGTTAAAAACTGTTTCCTTTTGAAAAGCTATTTTGTATCTTTTTTAAAACAACAACAACAATGTCCAATAATGCTCTCCACTCTGCCATAAATTAACCATTTAGTGAAGCCTAGGTGGTTTGCCACCTTTAAGACAGAATTGCTGCTTTATACTGCCCCAATTTGAACCTTGTGTATTGCATGCTTTGATAAATGAATCAATGTATTTCAGTTATCAAGGTGTGTGTGTGTGTGTTGTGCCTCAAATAATTCATTCTTTGGATTATTTAAATTAAAACACTGCTTTCCAGTGTTTACTATTTCTGGGTTAGCGGAGTCTGTAACCTGAAGCATCTGTAACCTGAAGCGTCTGTAACCCGAGGTACCACTGTGCTTCTTCAAAACTCCAAATGTGCCCCTGACCTATCTAAATATAGTTGGCGGCTTTTATAATCTTGATGTGCCTCAAAATTATGCCTCAAAACACTGGCATTACACTTTACTGCAATGTCTTCTCATTAATATATGCATTACGCATTTTGTGCTTCCCATATCCTTTTCTAAAAGCATTAGCTTTCCAGCCCCTCACTTCACATGCTACAATCCTTGCCACATTGGTAGGTTAACTGGTGCATGCCAAGGCCTTGAGGCCTCCATAAAGTTAGGGCTCTTTCATACGATAGCATTGTTCACAGGCCAGTGTCTATAACACATAAACCTCTGGAAAAAATGTGGATGATTCTTTAACCTGAAGTGGTTAAAATGAGAATTCATAAGTTTTCTAGAACAATGAATAACACGTGTCTTTCTTGATCTCTTTTCATAGTTGATCTTCTCCTTCTAAAATCAGTTTTAGATTTCAAATGGTCTGTACAAAAGTTCAAGAGGTTCAGAACACACTCCCCTTTATCTTAAAATATGTTTATTTAAAAGCCCTTCTATAACCCTTAATATTTAAAAATGTATAAATAGTTTACAAAAATAATGAAACAGTATCATGAAAAGTATAGGAAAAGGTTAAACAAATACTAATAACAAGGCCCAATTTGATGGCTCAAGAAAAACCTGGCCAAAAAGATATGCCTTCACATAAGATGCCTAAAGGAGTGAACAGGTGACACTTCACATATGGCAGAAGAAAGGGCAAGCACATCTACATGCCAGGCGACCATGCAGTAATTAGTATTCATCTGTCAAGGACAATGAAAACAAGGATGGAATAGATTTCAAAGCCACTTGAGACACATTTATGTTACAATGAAATGGGAATAGATATGGTTATAGTGATGAAGATTAATTACCGTATTTTTCGCTCTATAAGACGCACCAGACCACAAGACACACCTAGTTTTTGGAGGAGGAAAACAACAACAACAAAATATTCTGAATCTCAGAAGCCAGAACAGCAATCCCTCTTGCTGTTCTGGCTTCTGGGATAGCTGCGCAGACTGCATTCGCTCCATAAGACGCACACGCATTTCCCCTTACTTTTTAGGAGGGAAAAAGTGAGTCTTATAGAGCAAAAAATACGGTACATGCTGGATGAACAGAAGGGGTGGGTTATTGTTTTTTGTTTTATTATGTATTTTAATATGTATTTTGTGTTCTTATCTGAGATCTACAGAAGAAGGGTGGTATAATAAAATAATAATAATAATAATAATAATAATACCCATATTATAATTGCCTCAATTTATTTGTAAGTGTAAGTTCTTTGTTGGCTTTTATAATTTCCAAAAGCAACTTTGGTCAAATTCCACTGTGCATGTTGTTTCTCCTTTGAACAGCAGAGTCCAATACCATGTTTAATTCACATCTATTTCAAAATTAGTTTGTCGTGTTTGATGCTGTTTGAGAAACAACTCCAAACCTCCCTGGGCATGTGAAACTTTGGACACAGGTCCAGGTGTGCTCCAACCATGTTTTGATAAAATGTTATCATGTGTGCTTGCAGTTGAAGAAACAAGAGGTGCTCCCTGTGTTATCCAATCAAACACAATTCATACACTAACTCAGCAGTGAGAATGTTTTTTCGTTTAGTGAAGAACCCAAATTTAAATGACTACAGTAAAGTCAACAGAATGGATTCTTACACCGGCAACAGAACAACATTATTCACTGCACCCAAGGGCAGCAAGGTGGCAGGCTGCGTGGTGCACATACAGTGGTACCTCGGGTTAAGAAGTTAATTTGTTCTGGAGGCCCGTTCTTAACCTGAAACTGTTCTTAACCTGAGGTACCACTTTAGCTGGTGGGGCCTCCCATTGCTGCTGCGCCGCCACCACGTGATTTCTGTTCATCCTGAAGCAAAGTTCTTAACCCAAGGGACTATTTCTGGGTTAGCGGAGTCTGTAGCCTGAAGCGTCTGTAACCAAAGGATCACGTTACTTCCAGGTTTCAATGCGTGCACATGTGCAGACCGTCAAAATGACGTCACGCGCATGCGCAGAAGTGCTAAAACGTGACCCACACACGCGCAGACACGGGTTACATTCGCTTTGGGATGTGAATGGGGCTCCGGAACGGATCCCGTTCGCATCCCGAGGTACCACTGTAGTTTTGTTTAGTCCCTATCTCTCACTATCTGCTACCTGAGGCAGCTGCCTCACTCTGCAAAGGCAGCTCTAGCCCTTTTCAACCAAAGCTGGAGCATGTTTCAGAGAAGAGGAGTCAGGACATATTTGTATTAATATGCCATTTGTTCCAAGTGCAATATTTGGATTATCGCGCTGTTTTGGCAAGAACTGAGATGGGAGTAGGGAAAGTGGGAAATGGCCATAGAAGAGTGCAGGGCACAAAGTTCTACAGTGCATCAGATTAGTAATAGGTTACTTTCACACAGCTCTGTGATTACTAATTTGCCCAACAATCACACTTTCAATGCAGACTTCCATTTGTGAAGCATCAGCAATATAATCTCTGTTGTGCAGATTCCTGGACTTTAACAAGTTAGGAAATCCAATTTATATACAGTGGTACCTTGGTTTTCAAATTTAATCTGTTCCGGGAGACTGTTCGACTCCCAGAATGGTTCGCAAACCAAGGCGCGGCTTCCGATTGGTTGCAGGAACTTCCTGCAGGCAATCAGAAGCCATGTAAGCTGCACTGGATGCTCAGCTTCCAAAGAATGTTTGCAAACCAGAACACTCACTTTTGGGTTTGCGACGTTCAGGAGCCAATTTGTTTGACGACTAAGGCATTTGACAACTAAGGTACCACTGTACAGGAAAAACTTAACAGAAGCAATGGTAAAGTCACTCATCTGAAATGAAAGTTTTGTAATTAGCATTCCACAAAATATTTTTTTAAAAATGAAAGTTTATTCATAGTCAATGGCTCAAATAGCAAATAAAAAGAATCTGGTAAGGCATCAGCCTATGACAATAGTTTCTCTGTGTCCATTGGCTTCATAACACCTTGGTTCCCATTACACAAACATCAATGTTAGTGGTTAAACTCCCTGGTTAGACAGACTGAAAACAAATACACAATAAGATGAGGACCAATCTGCTTGGCCAGGCACATCAAGAACTAATTCTGCACATGGTAGCGTCTACAGGAGAATGTACATACAAAAAGTTTTGATAAACAAGTGTTCTCTAAACAGCCACATTCCTAATGTCTACTGGTTAGCATGTTAAATATGTGTTGTCTAGTTTGCTCAGACACATCTTGAACTGTCTTTTCATAAATTCACACATGTATATAAAAAAGTGTTTTTTGTAACTGATCTAACCTTTACACCTACACCCAAGAAACTTAAAAGCCTCCGATAGTGCTTTATCTTTCAATTCCACATACTAAATGTACTAATTATATTTTAAAAAGCAGAACAGTAAAGGGCAATACATTTTAGTGTATCAATGAGGGACTATGGAAGCACATGGCCAATATTTCCATACTGCAAAGTAGAGTGGGGTATTTGACTGATATCAGAAAAAGTAGCTATAACGCTTTCCCATTAGGTAATGCATAGCTAACATTTCCAAAGCCTTAGACAGGAGCAACACAGAAAAATGGAAAATTTATATTTTCCAGACAGCCCTAAGAGCAAGATCAATTTGTGCTCTAAGTACACAACTACCAGCAACTATTTGTTCCGCACTGTGCCCCAACCCTAGGAAGATACCTTCCCCAAATTAAGTAGTTGCCAAAGGGCAGTGTCAATGTCTGTGCATTAAGAAATACGTGACCACTTCTGACTGAAATGTGCTCCACCCTCTTTTTATATTCAATCTCAGATGTCTATGACGGCCCTTCCACTGTAAGCAAAAGCAATCTTCATTGAATCACAGGTTAATAGTATGCTCTGGCTTATTAAAGACCCAGAGTATGGCACACTTTTCTGATCAGAGATACTGCTAGCACACAGCTAGTTAGCAAAATTGCTCACAAAAACTGCACTCCACACTGAAGGATATACTTCCACAGTGATGCACACACCTCAGTGCATCACAAGGAAGATACACCCTTAACTACGTTAACTTTTTTTAATTTTTTTTTTTAATTAAGGCATATTCAAATATACTCATGAGTTTATAACCATTTGTCTAAGCTAATTCCATGTATAAATGACTTCCAATAGCAGAGAACAGAGCTAGTTTCTCTTCTCTAATTTGCATATTCTTATAACTGCAAAAAAAAAAAGCATATATACACTACCTTTGCTTAGTTTTGACCACTGCTGTAGTTTCCAAGGCAGTAGAAGACAAAGTGAAGTTTGGGTGATAGAAAACTGTATGCTTTAGGAGAAATGATAGAAAGTAATGCTTTGTTTACAGTTCAAGACGGACTGCCCATGAAAAAAAACCCTCTACATTCAGAAGAACCATGGTGAGAGGCAGCAAGTTATGAAATGGGTTCAATTCTGCTTCTCTTGAAGCCACATTAAACTTTTTCAGTGAAAGACTTTCAGTGCTGTCCCAATTCATGCTTTAAGTGGTACATTACAATTTCCACACTGTTAAGAGTAATTTCAGTCATAGGAGCCTCCAAATGGCATGCTATAAGTTATGGATTTTATTAGTATGATCAAGGGATGATGAGAGTTTGGAACTTTGATTATAAAATGCAACATCTTTCTCTGATTCTCTTGGCTAGGCTTTTCCTTTTCTTTTTTCCATTCTTTTCTTTGCTGTCTTCCATCTTTCTTGCTCTGATTTCTCGCATTAAATCAAAAAATACCTAGAAAGAAAAATACAACTGTTAGTACATGTGTGCAAACATGTGCTACATTAATCAAAGTCTGCATTTTTAAGCTTTTAAGTAAACCAAGAGGTTCTGCTTCATTCCTTTTCAGCTACGAGTGGTAATGTATTGTAGGGTTAAAACTGTTTTCATATTTTTCTTTAACAGAATTCTATAGAAAGTAGAAAGAAAACAAAAATATATCTATTCAGGCCTGCTGTTAATAATGTAAGTAGCCATGCTAAGCATAGCTTGCTAAAATCATAAAGCGGATATGAAGTCACATGCCAGAAACTGGTAAATCAATGTTGCATGTGACCCAACTATGGAAGTAAGGATGATCTTGCTTAAATGCAAACTAGCCTGCCACCGACCCTTAATGCATGAAAATATTCCTGAGTGCTACAGAACCAGTTGCTCAAATTAGAAGCCAAGAAAACTTCTAGGAAACAGCTGTCCATCATATTCTAGTGAGTCAATAACGATTCAGTACCATATTGCTCAGAGCAAACAAGCCAACTTACATTTAGTGACCCAATTTCTAACATCTGAGTTTTTAAAAAGGACTTTCCTGTTATGCAGTCATGTTTGTATATAGGTCAGAAAGGAGAGGTTTGCATATTAAACCACTAAGCCCCTTAACCTTTTGCCAAGCAGATTTTCTGCAAGGCAAGAGCTAGTACTTAGAACTAGTGAAGAATAAGTTTTAAGAACTATAGGGTTCTTATTGTTGTCATTTTTTAAAAAAACAAAAGATTTAAGAAGTTTTCACCTTTGTACCAGATCATTAAAACATGAGTTGATTAAATTACACCACTGCCTTCCATCTCATTTGAAAGAGATTAAGACACTGACGCTAGCATTTTCTGCCTAGGGTATATAATCAAATTCTTTAAAAGAAGAGTATGAAAGAACTTAAACACACACACACAGACACACACACGGTAGCTCATATGCTGTTAAACCCCAGTTTACCTATAAGCATTATAGCTCATATCTCCTTCAACAATGTAAGTCAGAACCCATCCTTCACCCTTTACAGGGGCAACACAGTCGCCAGCAACTACTTTCCTTAGACTGGAATTAATCCCACTCAGAACAAATGGAAGCAGGTTCAGGCCATAGTCTGTTAGAGAATGAGCATCAACACTCCATCTCACCCCAACCCCACTTTGTCTCACACCCACTGGTGGAGGAAGAGGGGGGTGGGGGAGGGCACCGCCCCTGCAGCGCGATCCCGGTGGGGTGCCATTGCAACTGTCACCCTGCCCACGCTGGCTGCCACGCCCCCGCAGGCAGCATGCCACACCCCCGCCTGAAGCTCCATCACTGCTCACACCAGATTGCGATAAGGCTTCTGGTTTGTTAAGTTGCAGTTTCTCATGATGTCTGAACTGGAAATACTTACTTGCAAACTGGACTTAAAACTATGGATTGCAACCCTGATTTACAGGCAGCAACCGAGGCATCATAGGAAATGGGAATTTGAAAAACCAGGAAATGTTCTCTACAGCTGAGCATACAAGAGGGAATGTTCAAGCCCACTGCTTGAACTCCTGTAGCCTTATTTGAGTTCACCGATTGGGTCTGCGTTGCTCCGGGACAGGAGGAAGGAAGTCAAATGACACCGAGGTTGGTTCAAAGAAAGAGTTTATTCTGCTCTCCGGATAGCAGAAGGCACTTGCGTGATCAAGTCCACAGCAAGTCCAAAGAAACGAAAAGTTTCATGCAGTATATATATCCTCCAGACACCCTCTCCCCCTTCCCCTGCCACGTCAGCTTGTACACGCAGGCTGACATCACAGATGTTCCTGCTCCGGCACTCTTAACCATAAAAGGGATTTCCTTCCTGCACTCCTGACCATAAAAGGATCTTCCTCTTCCTACTCTTATCTTGGAGGAAGAGGTCATCATCTCCGGGAACACGCTTCTGGCGTTGTTCTTGGATTTCGGTCTGTGCGTCTTTTGTGGTCAGCACATAAGGCACTGACGTGTCTGCTCTGTTCCCCTAGACCAGCCAGGGTCATCGCTGACATCACAAACTGATAAAGGAGAGAGCTGTGTTCTTGTTATGCATTTGCTCAACGGCTCAAAGTTTATGCATTTTAGCTAAGGAAAAATAGGGATTTTGGTGCAGTTTAAAACTGCCTGCACAGTCAGTTTTGGGTTTTGGGAAACCCATTCCTTCACTCCAACAAACCCCAGCAAAACTCCTTAGTGAGCCATTTGAATGTCTTCTGTTCAGCTACCTGTTAAGAGCATTCATCTTCAAGAAGAATGAGCAATACACAAAAGAGTCAGGGTAACATTAATAATTAGTCTTGACAAGCAACGAGTGGAATCAGAAGTTTATGAAGATGTATTTGGGAAACGGTAAACTTTTACCTTGTCGACATTAGCTCGTGTTTTAGCAGACGTTTCAACATAGTTAACATTCCACTGATCAGCTCTGTTTTTTGCTTCTTCTACAGAAACCTGTCTTTTGTCTTCCAAATCCGATTTGTTACCAACTAGCAAAAATGGAACATTCTCATCTTCTTTTACCCTTAAAATCTGCTCTCTGAAGAGAAGAGAAAAAACACATTTTAAGACCCATGCAGTTTAATCTTCTTTGATTTCTCCGATATACTTTAATACAACCTTGGTGAAATAAACATATGTTTTTGCTGTTACCCATCATGTGCTATCACCAACTTGGTGCTAGGTATTCACAATATGCAACTGGCAAAGGCCCTACACAGGAGAGCAGTCAGAAAAGGAGTAGCAAGTAAGAAGCTATAAACTGTTAACTGACGGCACACATAAAGAGGACTAACAGATGAGCCTGTTATAAATTTTATAAGAGGATAACTTTGAAGATGAGATGGTAATGCAAGAGAAGCCAAACTCAAGAATTAGCAGTTTAACATCAATAAAAAAACTGACCAAGTAGCGTTATAGAGGATTATCAAGATTAATGAAGATATTTACTTTCAGAATTATTAAGCAGAAACAATACATAAATTAGGTATTTTATAGAAAAAGGGAAATATTTTAAAGTGATAGTGAAGCAGACTTTACATTTTACCACTGACATTAACCTTAGGATTAATTTAACCTTGATATCAAACAATCAAACTATCAACATGATTACTCCCCAAATATCTAACTGACAGTCATGTCACAACTGCCTGCTTAACAGACTAGCTTCTATCCCAACACACCTGTGGCAGTTCCTACAACATGACTTTTCATGCTAGATAAAGGATATCCAGAATCCTTGCCACTTTGCATACCAACCTTTTTAAGAATGAAAATGCCAATCTGGACAAGAATTGACCAAATATGGGTAACTAGAGGAATGGCACCAAAGACAAGAAAAGTGGAAATCTGCCCAAAAACTTGCTCCGACCATAATGCTGTCAAGATGGAAATGAAACTAGCACCAACTGGCTCCTTTAGATGGAGGATGAACGACACCTTATTTAGAGATGAAGAAGTGCTTAAGAAGGCCCAAAAAACCTTGAGAGACTATTTTGAGATAAATATGAGCACCAATGTGGAAAAAAGAGTAATCTGGGATGCAAGCAAAGCGGTTATGAGAGGGTTCTTGATACAACAGAATGCATTAAAGAGGAGAATCCAAAATGAGAAGAAGGATAAAATATTGGAGAAAATAAAGGAAAGTGAAAAAGATTGAGAATAAAACCAAAGTCTCAAGAGATTTTGAGAGAAATAAAGTTATATCAAGTGCAATATATGAAAATGATGAATCAGGAGATAGAATGGAAAATTAAACAAATGAGACAAAAGACATTCGAGTCGGCTAATAAATGTGGGAAATCGTTGGCTTGGCAATTGAAAAAAAGACAAAAATTAAATACAGTTACAAATTTAGAAGTGGAAGGAAGGAATATACAGAACCCAGCTGAGATTAGAAATTGTTTCCAGAGGTACTTTAAACAACTATATACACAAGGGCCATTGAAAGAAATTGATGTAGATCGACTTTTGAAAACAAATGGATTACAAAAAATCTCCCAAGAAAATAAACTAATGTTGAACTACAAAATAACTGAACAGGAGATAGAAGGTGCCATTCAAAACATGCAATTGGGTAAATCTCCAGGACCGGATGGACTGACTTCTAGATATTACAGATCCTTGAAAGAATGGCTAGTACAACCTTTGAAAGAGGTCTGTAATGAAATAATGGAGGGGAAAAGGGCACCAGAGTCGTGGAAAGAAGCTTATATTACACTTGTACCGAAAACAGAGACTGAAAAGACGCAGCTTAAGAACTACCGTCCCATATCATTACTTAATGTGGATTATAAAAATTTTGCAGACATTTTGGCTAAGAGACTGAAAAAAGTGTTGATGGAAGAGATTCATAAAGACCAAGCGGGCTTTCTCCCGGGAAGACACTTGTCTGACAATTTGAGGAATATAATTGATATTTTGGAAAAACTAGAAGTGAACATAAATACTAAAGCAGTTTTGATATTTGTGGACGCGGAGAAAGCTTTTGACAACATTTCTTGGAGTTTTATGAAGAAGAACTTACAGGGTATGGGGGCAGGCCAAGGCTTTGAAAACGGTATAAGTGCAATTTATTCAGAACAAAAGGCTAAACTAATTGTAAATAATGTGGTGACGGAAGAATTTAAGATAGAAAAAGGGACACGACAAGGTTGCCCAATTTCCCCACTGCTTTTTATATCGGTCCTGGAGGTTTTGCTGAACATGATTAGAAGGGACCAGTTGGTTAAAGGTATACAGGTCGGAGCCAAACAGTACAAATTGAGAGCATTTGCAGATGACTTAGTACTGACGTTACAGGAGCCAGAATCTAGTACCAAAAGGGTTTTAGAACTGATTCAAGAATTTGGTCAAGTTGCAGGGTTTAAATTGAATAAGTTAAAAACTAAGGTTTTAGAGAAAAATTTAACACCAATGGAGAGAGAGAGGTTTCAGAATGAGACAGGTTTAACAGTGGTTAAGAAAGTTAAATACCTGGGGATTAACATGACAGCAAAAATTGGGAATTTATTTAAAGATAACTATGAAAAATGTTGGGCTGAAGTGAAAAAAGATTTAGAAATTTGGTCAAACTTGAAGCTTTCACTGCTGGGCCGTATTGCTGCGGTTAAAATGAATGTATTGCCTAGAATGTTGTTTTTGTTTCAAACATTGCAAATTGTGGACAAAATGGACTGTTTCAAGAGGTGGCAGAGAGATATTTCTAGATTTGTCTGGCAGGGCAAGAAGCCCAGAATAAAATTCAAAATATTAACAGATGCAAAGGAAAGAGGTGGATTTGCCCTGCCAGACCTTAAACTTTATTATGAATCAGCAGCTTTTTGCTGGTTGAAAGAATGGCTGCTTCTTGAAAACACTGACATTTTGGATCTAGAAGGTTTTAACAATGTATTTGGATGGCATGCATATCTGTGGTATGATAAGGTCAAAGCACATAAAGCATTTAAAAACCATATTGTCAGGAAAGCATTGTTTAATGTCTGGATAAGATATAAGGATTTATTGGAAAATAAAACACCAAGGTGGCTGTCACCGATGGAAGCGAAAGCTCTGAAAAAGCTCAATATGGAGGTCAAATGGCTGAAATATTGGGAAATTTTGGAACAAGATGGAGATAGATTGAAACTGCAGAGTTTTGAAAAACTAAAAACAACGTGCGAGACTGGCTTCATTATTATCAGATAATGGAGGCATACAATTTGGACAAGAAAATCGGCTTCCAGGTGGAAAAATCAAAATTAGAAACAGAATTGTTAGAACCCAAAACTAAGATTTTGTCAAAGATGTATAACTTGCTGTTGAAATGGAATACTCAGGATGAAACGGTGAAATCTGCTATGATTAAATGGGCACAAGATGTTGGACATGACATAATGTTTGCTGACTGGGAACAGTTGTGGACCACAGGTATGAAATTCACGGCATGTAATGCCTTAAGAGAGAATATTATGAAAATGATATACAGGTGGTACATAACCCCAGTCAAGCTTGCAAAAATCTACCATTTGCCCGATAACAAATGTTGGAAATGTAAAGAAACTGAAGGTACATTCTTTCACCTTTGGTGGACGTGCCCAAGGATTAAGGTTTTCTGGGAGATGATTTACAATGAATTAAAAAAGGTATTTAAATATAGCTTCTTGAAGAAACCAGAGGCCTTCCTCCTGGGCATAGTCGGCCAATCGGTGTTAAAGAAGGACAGAAATTTATTTATGTATGCTACAACAGCAGCAAGAATACTTATTGCAAAGCATTGGAAGACACAAGATCTACCCACACTGGAGGAATGGCAGATGAAAATGATGGACTACATGGAATTGGCGGAAATGACTGGCAGAATCCGAGACCAGGGAGAAGAGTCGGTGGAAGAAGATTGGAAGAAATTTAAAGACTACTTACAGAAATATTGTAAAATTAATGAATGTTAGAATGATGTCGGATTGAAGTTAAGTGGTTTCTAGCTGTAATGGTATAAAAGAATATGGAAAAATTGGTTTTTAATACGTAAAAATTTAATGTTATAATATATCAAGATTAAAGATTAGGATTAAAAAGGAGGGAAAGGAATTGCTGGACTAACAAACTGAATTGGAATACAAAAGAGGGTGGTATGAGGAGGTCCGGGAAATAAGTAAATGTAAGAGAAGTGATGAAAAGATGGAATTGTTTTTAACTGTTTTTTCTTTTTTTGTATTTTGTATTTTTCCTTTTTATTGTTAATTTTTCCTTTTTATTGTTAATTTTCTTATTAATGTAATCTCTTTCTTTTCTTTGAAATTTTAATAAATATCATTAAAAAAAAAAAGAATGAAAATGCCAATCTACGATACAAAGAACTGATCATTTCCCTTCTGAAAAGCAGCTCAACAAATTACTGCCCACAACTGTAAGTCTTTAGAATATTTGCAAAAAACCTGGTCTATAGCACTTTCAGAAAAATTGACTAAGGAAGTCGAAGCATTAGCTGGAAAAAGGGACAGGGACGATTTCATTGTGACATGATATCCTTTTATTGCACATTCAACAGAACATCATTTACAGTGGCATCCACTACTTACAGTGAGGGGGGAAAGTATTTGATCCCCTGCTAAATTTGCCCATTTGCCCTCTGACGAAGAAATGACGAGTCCATAATTTTAATGGTAGTTTTATTGTAGCTGTGAGAGACACAATAACAACAGGAAAACCCCCAGAAACCCAGAAGTCAGAGATTGATGTGCATTATAATGAGTAAAATAAGTATTTGATCCCCTATCAACCAGCCAGATGTCAGGCTACCTGGTATCTTCACTGTATGTAACGAGCTGAGATTAGAAGCACCTGCTGTAAGGGAGAGGTCTTACCTGTAGTCCCAGCTCGTTACAGTACCTGTACAAAAGACACCTGTCGACAGAAGCAATCAATCCAGCAGATTCCAAAGTAGCCACCATGACCAAGACCAAAGAGCTGTCCAAGAATGTCAGGGACAAGATTGTACACCTGCACAAGGCTGGGCTGGGCTACAAGACTATTGCCAAGCAGCTTGGTGAGAAGGCAACAACAGCTGGTGCAATAATTCACAAACACAAAAGAACTGCCAACCTCCCTCGGTCTGGGGCTCCATGCAAGATCTCATCCAACTTGTCAATGATCTCAGGGCAGCTGGGACCATAGTCACTATGAAAACAGTTGGTAACACACTACACCGTGAAGGACTGAGATCTTGCAGAGCCCACAAGGTCCCCTTGCTCAAGACAGCACATGTACAGGCCTGTCTGCAGTTTGCCAATGCACATCTGAATGACCCAGAGGAGAACTGGGTGAAAGTGTTACGGTCAGATGAGACCAAAATCGAGCTCTTTGCCATCAACTCAACTCACCATGTTTGGAGGAGGAGGAATGCTGCCTACGACCCCAAGAACATCATCCCCACTATCAAACATGGAGGGGGACATATTATGCTTTGGGGGTGTTTTTCTGCTAAGGGGACAGGACACCTTCACCGCATCAAAGGGACAATCGACGGGACCATGTATTGTCAAATCTTGGGTGAGCTCCTCCTTCCCTCAACCAGGGCATTGAAAAGGGGTCGAGGATGGGTATTCCAGCATGACAATGACCCATAACACGCAGACAAGGCAACAAAGGAGTGGCTCAGGAAGAAGCACATTAAGGTCTTGGAGTGGCCTAGCCAGTCTCCAGACCTTAATCCCATCCAAAATCTGTGGAGGGAGCTGAAGGTTTGAGTAGTTACACATGAGTCTTGAAATCTTACTGACTTGGAGAGGATCTGCAAAGAGGAGTGGGACAAAATACCTCCTGAGATATGTGCAAACCTGGTGGCCACCTACAAGAAACGTCTGACCTCTGTAATTGCCAACAAGGGTTTTGCCACCAAGTACTAAGTCATCTTTTGCAAAGGGATCAAATACTTATTTCACTCATTGTAACACACATCAATCTCTGACTTTTGTCTTCTGGGATTCTGGGGGTTTTCCTGTTGTTACTCTGTCTCTCACAGCTACAAATAAACCTACCATTAAAATTATGGATTGGTCATTTCTTCGTCAGGGGGCAAACGGGCAAATTTAGCAGGGGTTCAAATACTTTCCCCCCTCACTGTACAACTCTGGAACAATGTTTTCCCATAAAAATTATGTATCTTGGAGAGGAAGGGACAGGGACATTTGTTAGGGGAGCATATATTTTCTATGTTCGTTTTCTTGAAAATTAATTTTTAAAGAATCCTTGCCACTCAAGAGGACTTTTGGCAAACCTACAGTGGAATCTGTGGTCTCGAATTAACAGAAATTAAATGCTGAAGTTTGATTAGGAAACAATAATAAAGACCCAGCCTCATGCACTTAAGAAAGAAGAGGCAATCTATACCAATTGTGTCCATCATATGCTGTCTAGCAAACACTTCCTCAATGTTCAGTGGCAAAGAAACTTTTATTCACTGTGATTCAGTTTACAGTGGCCCAGTATGCACACCACAAAATAGTTTAAAATAAGCTACGATTTAATGTATGGATTACCTTGCTCCTTCCCAAGTCCTGATTGTGATGCAGAAGGGAAGAAACAAGTCAAGCATCTGGGCTTGTTGTGATGCAGAAACCTGGGCTTGTGATTTTTCTCCAAATAACCCTTGACTTATCAGTTATCAGTTATTGGTTGTGGAATGTTTGGAATGAAACAAACCATGAGCAAACCGTGAGCAGTAGTTTGTGCAACGCCTGAAGCCAGACTCTAGCTTGCTTCCTCCCATGTGACCAATTCAGTAAAGAGAACAGTCACCATATTTGGCACTGAATATTTACTGAGTGTTTAGCACACAAAACCTTTTAATGCCAAGTAGGCACACAATGAGTTAATCAACAATTGGAAAGGCCAGTAGTCATTTTAAGCTTCCTTCTACCTTTTAAAAATTATACAGCATACAAAGGTAAACTAGGCTTTCTAAGTTAACACATATTTGTTCAGGCATTTTAAGTGTTTAAGCATGTGATTGTTGCAGCCTCTACTGTTTTCACATGCCTTAATTTTTCATTTATTGTGGCTCACCTTGTTTTACTGTTGTTCAGACATAAATTCAATCATGTAATTTATTTTGTGGTACCCCACTCTTTGTACAAGCATCAATAAAAGACAAACTATAAATCTTTTAAATACGTTAAACAACCACAAGATGATTCAAGTGTGTTCTACCCCTGATTCAATCCTGTTCTATGGCATAGCAGAAGTGATACAGCAGTCACTACATATTTGTATCTTTCATGGCTTCAGAACTTTAAAAAGATTCCCAGCCATGTCAACAGCTAATGCTGGACACAACAGGAACCAAGAATTTCCAACATAGTAAATAACCCAATAGTGTTTTGTCATTAAAAATAGGTTATATATGACATTTATTCAGATACCAGGTGTGCCATGCCTTCTTTTTCAGGCAAGCTTCATTTTTCAAAATAAATAATGAAGCTCTTACACCATGATGCAATATCTGTATTATAAACATCAATCTTGGGAGTGCAGCTCCTGATTCCCATTGCAAGGCAGATACTTTATGCTGGTGATTTAATTGTTTTTGAACAAACAAAGTACATTTGTGTAAGAGTTATTGAGTAATTGGCTAGAATGACTGAGCCAACTGTAACCTCCAACTCCTTTGTTTCTCATGTTTGACCTTGAAAATGCATCTGTGTTATAAGAGCTGCATTACTCAGCAGACAGCAGCCACCCAACAGTTACGATGAACAAAAATGCAATATTAAGCTGCTAAGGCTATGTAAGGACTCTGTCTGCTGATTCTGGGGGCTTTATGTGAACTAGCACAATGTCGATTGTGGAAATATGTATGGAATGTAGCCATAAAGAAGCAACTTTTACCTTGCAGCAAGTTGTTCTTTTTCTTTGGACTGTTGCCTCTGCTGTCTGCCTTATCTGTATCCTTAATTCAGGGCCTCTTTCCCTCTATTCTAATTTAGCTGCATCCCATCCCTGTGGCCATGATAATAGTGGTTTCTTATCCCCATCAAAGGCCTTGTTTCTTAGGTGTTTATTCCTTAAAACTCTCCAATGTTATCGATGGAGAGCGATGGAGAATATAGGCTGATGTTAACTATCTAACCATGCACATATATTCTGCAGCGATATTATAGGCCAGAAAAGCATGGAACAAAGCTACAATTTAGCACAGTAAAAATAAGATGCTGAATTCACTAAAACAAACCAGTTTCTCTCATACACATCCAATTACCTGAAGTCGGCTGTAGCAGCAAAAGATTCAAGCTCTGTAATAGAGAATACACAGAGGAAACCCTCTCCACTTCGGAAGTAGTTGTCTCGAATTGCAGCATAATCCTCCTGCCCTGCTGTATCCAATATATCTATCTGGACTTCTTCCCCATCTAGAACTACTTTTTTTCTGTAGCTGTCTGCTTTGGTAGGCTCATAGTCTTCCACAAACTGGCAAGAAATGAAACAGAGTCAGTCTTATTTTGGTAACTTCCACCAGGGATTCCAAGAAACATTCCTTGACCAAATAGTGGTAACATTTATACAGCACTTTAAAATGTTCAGTGTTTCACATGCATCATCTAGTGGTAATTCTCAGAACCGCCCTGGGGGTGGGGGAGAGACCAGAGGTTGTGAGAGTGTCTTGTCCAAGGCCACCTGGTGAATTCATGGCAGAGGCAAGATATAATCAGGGAACTTTCTAACTCTTAAGGCAAACGCAGCCATTATGCTACACCAGCAATATCCAGTAATATTTAGGCAGATAACATGAAGTTCTATCAGAGGTTCAATTTGCTATAAAGTTAACATGAGGAGTGTTGGAATGAGAAAAATGAATGGAACTTCAAACGAAAGACTAGTTTAATTCTGACAAATATTTGTTAATTGGGCAATCCTAAATAGTCATCAATTAAACTGTGGAGAATTAAACGTAAGCAGCAGCATGAACCTATAGAATGGCAAAATAGTTATTTTGGAAGCTTTGTTGAAATTAAATAATCCACAATACTATGAATTCATAACAGAGGATGGTTAAGAATTAATGTAGAAAAATCAGTATCTACAATCAATATTGCTTTTTTGTGTTCATACTCTATGTAATCAAGCTAAACAATACTGTTACCTTGGCTGTATTAATTTGTAATACAATATGACTTTTATATTTTTAGTTATTTGTAAGTTATAGGTACAAATACTGTATAAATATAGCATTTTAATTAAAAGTTAAAAATTAAACTGCTGTAAATAAAAGAATACTGAAAAACTATTGCTGATCAAGTCTCTTGGACTCTTTAAACAAATATAGCAGCAGCTAGGGCAAAATTTTACAACCTTTTATTAATCTAACTCTGCCTCTCTGACTTGCAAGAAGTGCTCAGTCCGACAATCAGCTGATTTTTCAGCAGTCCAATTCAAAGCACTGCATAAAACAGTGGGCAAAAAAGAGCCGCCTGACATTGTGTCAAACCTGGCCTGCAAGGGGTGGGGGAGATAACAATTAGAGTTAGAAAGGTTCCACACCCCTGCCATAAACCATACAAAAATCTTTCCAGCTGAAAGAACTAGTCTGCTCAGGTTTGCTGAAGCAGTTACCAAACGAACTAAAATGTAGTGATGAGACTCCCTGTTCATATACAGCCTGAGAACACACTTCTTTAAAAAAACGATTGCCACACTCTTACCTCATCATACATGAACTGCAGCGTTAATGCAGATTTTCCTACACCTCCACTGCCTACCATGATGACTTTGTGCAGAGCCAAAGAATTTTGACTTTTGGGCTTATTTGCTGCCATTTTTGGATTTCAGATATTTCACACAAAGAAGGAACCTGGGTGAAGAAATGTTTTTTGAATTAATAAGGATTTTTAAACATTCATAAGGAGGTTCAGTAACTAAAATGTACAATAGCTACAAAATAAGTAGAAGCATGCTCCCATGGCTTAGCCCAACTTCAAAAACAATTGCAGTAATACAAACACAACCTGCTCAGCATAACAGAATCAAGCAAAGAGAATTATTCTCTGAATAAGGATGGCTTTCAGCTTTTAGATATAAAAAAAATTAACATGCTTGGGATTGAACCTGCAACCTTTTGTATGAAAAACATGTGATCTACCACTGAGTCGCAACTCTTCCAGTTGTTTCTGCTTTGTGGACATATTCACATATAAAACTAGTTCAAAGTCCTCTAACACACCTATTTTTTTAAAGGGGGGTGAAGTCTGAATTTAGCCTTCATGGTTTGAAGTATCTGGGGGAAAATCTAAGTAAGGCAAATGTAAGTGTAAGCCTCAGACATTTGACACAGACCGGCCCAAAGTCATTCAGTGAGCTCCATGGCCAAGTGGGGATTTGAACCCTGATCTTCCAGGTCTTAGTCCAACACTTCAATTGCTACACCACACTTGTTTGTTCTCTTTCTGTGTACATACATACACACACCACATATGTATGGTACCTTAATGTTTTTCCCTCTAGAGCAAATAGTAGCTGGGAATGGGGAAGACAGTTACAAACATTCCCCTTTGCCATGCTAGTTTATTCTGGGGGTCTAGCAGATGATTTTCCTTTCCTTTCCTTTTTTAAAAAAGGAAGTGTTGAGAGATCTGATGACAGATTTCCACTTCTAATACAGTGGTGTTAATTCCAATAAGGGAGTAGCTAGCCAATTCATGAATACAGTGGTACATCGGGTTACGAACTTAATTCGTTCCAGAGGTCTGTTCTTAACCTGAAACCGTTCTTAGCCTGAGGCGCGCTTTCGCTAATGGGGCCTCCCGCTGCCACTGACGCACAATTTCAGTTCTCATCCTGGGGCAAAGTTTTCAACCCGAGGCACTACTTCCGGGTTAGCAGAGTTTGTAACCCGAAGTGTTTGGAACCCGAGGTACCACTGTATATACATTTAGATACAAGGACTATTCAGAAAGTTCGACTTACATACACTTAACTGTTATGCAAACTGATGCTTCTCAGCAAACTTGCATAGGAAGTGCTACTGTGTTCAAGAGAGCTTATTCCCAGGGAAACAAGCACAGGATCACAGCTTAATGTATGCACCGATAAATGGCATTTGTAGGACAAACTTAATTTTTCCTTTAAAATGCTGTATGTACTAAACCACTCTAAGCGTAGAAGAATTCAACATTCAACATCTGTTAGCCCACAGCTTAATACAAGAGAAAAGTTGGGTATCATAGATGATACTTTTTTTATATACACTTGGCTGCTTACATTTGCTTTCCAGCTCATTATATAGAATGCAAAGCTCATAGGATATGCATTTACATATAAGGCTGTCAAATTAGTGACGACAGAGTTTTGTGACAGTTTGCTTGGAAACAGTAAAAGCATATACAGTGGTACCTCGGGTTACATACGCTTCAGGTTACAGACTCCGCTAACCCTGAAATAGTACCTCGGGTTAAGAACTTTGCTTCAGGATGAGAACAGAAATTGGGCTCTGGCAGCGCGGCGGCAGCAGGAGCCCCCATTAGCTAAAGTGGTGCTTCAGGTTAAGAACAGACCTCCGGAACGAATTAAGTACTTAACCTGAGGTACCACTGTACCAGTTATATTTTCAGAACTGAGGCAGCCAAGGACTGGACTCTTAAAGATCTGATGCAACTAAAAGCTATCCACTGCTACAAGGAAGGAGGACTACAATACAAAAGTAATGTTGGGATCTGCAGAACTTGTATTTTACAGGTGCCATATATTTAATACTAGGCAGGTACCCTTGATATATTGTTTGAGATGCTTGCTAAAAGGTTTTTTTTTTTTTTAGCAAGCCTACCCAGACATATAATTTAGGGTTCTGCTTTTTTAAATGCATATTTGTAAGTATTCATCCTTGTTAATCATGGCTGCAGTGGAAACAGGGTCCACAGTTCTAAACCTCCCTTCATATTGTGAAGAACTAGACAAAATAAAACACCCTCTGCAAAGAGATCACTGTTATGAGTCATGTAACATGACCAGTCTGGAGGTAGAAAGAGAATGCCATCACCAGAAGTATCTGCCATAGTGCTTGACTGCACTTTTGCATGCCCCGGCTGGTCTACTGCATCTACTAACTTCTTAACAGTACCATCTGGTACTGGTAAATCTAAAGGCCATAAGAAGTAATCAGAAAGACTTTTTCAGCAGGGGGCTGGAAATGAACAAATTCCTATGCCCCACAAATAACCCAGAGATGCATTTTAAATAAAAAAACCACATTCTACTCATGTAAAAACATGCTGATTCCCGGACCATCCACGGGCCGGATTTAGAAGGCGAATGGGCCGCATCCGGCCCCCGGGCCTTAGTTTGCCTACCCATGAGAAAGACCATAAACAGAAGCCACAATGCAGGAGTGTGAGATAAAATGCAAGTAATATGCCTACAGCCAAAGTCTGTAAGAGTGCTGTTTTCAGTAACAGTCTGCTTAAATGTATGTGAATCTCAACAGCTTAGTGCTGTTACAGCAGACCATGTATGTGATGCAGTGGCTGAACATGGAAACCTAAATCTGGGACATTTCACACAACATGGAAGCATGTACAGTCGTACCTTAGAAGTCGAACAGTCTAGTTCTCGAACGTTTTGGCTCCGGAACGCCGCAAACCCGGAAGTGACTGTTCCAGATTACGAACTATTTTTGGAAGCTGAATGTCTGACAGGGCTTCCACGGTGTCAGATTGGCTGCAGGAGTTTCCTGCAGCCAATCAGAAGCCGCACTTTGGTTTTCGAATGTTTTGGAAGTCGAAAGTACTTCCGGAACGGATTCCATTTGACTTCCAAGGTACCCAGCAGGGAGATGTAGTCCATCCCATCTAATTGGACAAACACCACCTCCAAGGAGAGTGAGATTTCTATTGGGGCCTTCTAGACGCATTACCTCAGTCTCTTTACCGCTATGCATCATTACCACAAGACAGTGGGACAATTTATCATATACCTACTAATGGCATCATCCCCACCACACCTGCTAACATCCCCAAAGCAAGCCATCAAAATAGCAAATCCCATCATTTTTGGCAGGGATGAAGCAATCTACTCTGAAAATGTTCTCACCATTCAGGAATACAGTATGACTGTTCTTCCATCACTTGAGCAGTCTGAGCATGTTAGTGATTTAATAAACTAAGTTATCAAAACACTTAATGGGGGGAAGAGTCCAGCAACATCTGGAGGGCCAAAGGCCCACTGCTTCTGGTTTAAGAGTTACCATGGGTATTTATATCCTACCCTTCAATGTATTACAATGGCAGTTTCACATTTTATTCCGCAGCCTAGATACATCGGTATTTACTGAAATCAACAAGTGATGCATGAATGGGACGTATTTATTCACAACTGCTCAGTGACTCATCCCAAGACACTGCAACTCCCTGGTGCCTGTCTATTGGACATCTTCCCTTCACACTGTGTTCACTGCAACAGCCATTAGCATACCCAGATGGAAATATTATTGCAGTGGAAGGAAATTTGACAAATGTTGGTAACAGAAAATGGTGCTAAATGACCTGAGAGAATACAAAGTTTTTGCCTGACACCCCCCCCCATTAGAATAGGCACCAGGTGAGCCTCTTAATGGAGAGCATCCTATAGCCAAGGAGCAAACAAGAAGACATTCTGTCTCATAGTCACCCACATTACTTCAGATTGAGAGGAGGTTATTTACCAGTTTGATTACGAACCAGAGAGTTCTCCCTAATAGCTTCATAGGAAGAAAGGAGATAGTGACACCAATCTGTACAAAAGCACAAAGTGTTTTGGATAAAACTTAATATGTAAAGCACAAGATTATGCACATCCTCACAAGAAATCCAAGCTTAGAATACACAAATGTAAGTGTTAAGAAGATTAGAACAACTTCCCCATGTTGTTGCTAGCAGGTACAGACTAACAACTCTTAAGAGAAATATTTTTAGCTTAGAGATAAATTTAATGAAAAGATTTGTTACATACAAATCCAAGGCCCAGTACAGGTATACTATATACTGAAAATGAAATTGAGGAGAACATTTTAAAAGTTGATAAAAGGCATTAAAATACTGTTTTTTGTGCATTTAAAATAACTGTAAAAGGACTATTTTCTTTGTTTGACTATGTTACTTCCATTTCAAACAAAGAAATGTAATACTCCTGGCAAGTTTGTCTAAGATTCATTATAGCCAGTGCAGTAAGTTGACAATGTAACTGAAGCTTGTCTTTTTTCCCTGTTAGCAAAGGTATTTTATGGCAAAATAATTTGATCAATTATCAACACAGTAAGTGTTAGCCAGAAACTCTCAATGTCTTATTCCACCTTGCATTTTCCTGATTAATTAAATGCAGGCCAAAGAGAGAAAGAGAATCTCTTTGTGGTTTCCATTTTAGGAATGTATGCATTTACAATGGAAGTTGGAGATGTGGTACAAGAGCAAGACTCATGAACATAGTCTTGTTGATAGAGCCTTGACTACTTCAGATCACAGCTTAACTATGAAGTCAGAGTGTGGCCTTGGGCCAAAGCATTCTCAGCTTTTCCTCCCCCTACAATTGCCTTCTATACAAGTAGTTTTGAGGGCAAGTGGGGCATTTAACAATTCATAATCTAAAGACTTAAGACAGCAGGTGGGCTGCCTCTGTATATCTGCCCTGCCTTTAGCAAGACTTGTTCAATGCCGCCTGTCCTCATCAGCTCTAGAACACTTCACATAGCTGAACTACATACAGCAACCAGTAAAACAAAAGTCCAGCACATGTTTCAGGTCCCCCAAAACAAGATCCCAGGGAAGCAAAAATACATTTTAAAAATCTTTCCTAGTATTTCTCCAACAAGACGTAAAGTTTACACCTCTTTTCCCACTGAAGACACTTATAAGACAGAAGTTTGCATATGCCATGATTGCCTGTCCCTCCCAGAGTTGTCAGCGATGCCTTTCACATTAGGGGGATGCAGGCAAACCCCCATTGTATCGAAAGCATGTGTGAGGGGGCAACAAGTCAATTGCACCGCTCCCAAAGAATTCAGCAACCATGAGGAGAGGCCCGGCCTATGCACATACTGACATAGCTGTGCAGTGCAAGAGTGGGCCTGTCCAATCTGCTTAAATCCTTACCACCCAGAGATCTACTAGTAGATCCAAATTTACTTTCCACCCATCACTAATGTAGAGCGCCTCCACACAAAGGGAACTCCTGGTTGGTCTTAAGAGTCCCCTCTCCCTGGCATTCAGCTCTCTTGAAACTCATTGGTAGGGCCCTTTCTTTCTCACTGTTACCAAATGCAGGGCTCAACAAGTTTTGGCTTGCCCTACTTGCAAATTTGTCAGCACCAAGACATACATGCACCCTTCCCACAAGGCCCAGGGTGTTGCCCACAATCACATACTACATCTCATATCAACCACAAGGTCAAAGAAACTGCTCCTCTTTCTAGGTCTAAGTTTGGAGCAGAGAACAGAAAAACACACACACACTCTTTGGAGAGAGGGAAAAGGCTTGTTCTGTGTCTGTGTCCAAAGGTTGCTCTGAGCACCTATCAAGGATGGAGGGACATCCAGGCACCTTCATTGTCCATCTCCAGCTTTGAGCATATGCAGGGATGTACACTCACTTTTTTTTTTAACCCCTTTCACAGTGTGTGGCTGACAAGGTAGCGAAGCCTAGTTAATCTGAACTCTCTTATTGAGAACTCTGATCCCAGGGGACAAATTTGGCGAAAGGATGAGGACACTGGAATAAGATGATGTCGCATATACTGGAGACAAGTGGCTCCCAACTCAACAATTCTGATTCAATGAGGTCTTGGGGAGCCCAAGCTTTTGGGGTTTTTTTTTAAGTTCAAGATGTAAGATTTGTTCTAAAGTGGTAATGGAGAGCAGAAAAGATATTAAGGATTTCATCATGGGCTGAACAAGAATTTCTGCTGGGTTGCTAAAGTTCTAATTTAAAAGCATGTTATTCTCATGGCTGTCAATACCAGGCAGTGCTGAAAGTGAGACTTGGTATACCATTCTACAAACTTGTGCAGTGCAAACCTGTAAGACTTCAATATAACACAATACTGTTAAATTTTAGAAACTGGGTAATGGAGAGCTAGGTTGCTTTCAGACACCCTGTTTATTAAGCATTCAACCTGATTTGTTTGCAAAAAGTTTGCAGGGAGGTTGGGCAAAGCTGGCTATTTACTGAGCATTAATTCCAATTAGTTTGCAAGGCGTTTATTCAACGTTGAATCAAATGTTGTTATCCCACAATTTGTGGGGTTTTTTTGGGAGGGGAGCAGAGGGGGCAAGTTTGTTTCAGAAGAGCATCAAATCAACTAACTGTGTGACCTGAATTTTCTGGTACATGACTGACTTCAATCCAAAAATAGAAACACACTCCGAATATGCCCATAGCTACACATTTAAGTAGGGGCATTCAGTGTTAGAAATTAGCAAGGCGCATTTTGCTACTGGCATGGGTCCAATTGTGACCATGTGGAGATCTCTGGATGCCAAGTTGATGACTGACATCTCCACCTGGCTGCCCCCCCCAAGCTTTCTTAAGCAGGTAAGCAGAACTTATTTATTCTATTTATATCCCACCCTTTTTCAAAGGATTCCATGGTTCACCTCCTGCCCCAGTTAATCCCTACAACAATCCTGTGAGGTAGGTTAAGAGGCTGTGACTGGCCCAAGATCACCCAGTGAGCTTCATGACTGAGGGGGGATTTGAACATTGATCTCTCAGGTCCTAGTCTAGCACTCTAAACCATTACAACACACTGGCTTCCTAGAGTACCGTACTTCTGCTATGAGACAGCTATATAAAATAAATGGGTAAATAAATATGGGGAAAGCAAAATGTCAGTTGGAGAAGGATCTGAAATATTTCCCTTGAAGCCTGACTTTGTTTTCTTTTGGATTGTTTTCTTTTATGTTTTAATGAGTTGTAAACTCATAAAAAGGGTACCTAGATATTCTGTTGTGGCAACCGTAACCTAGGTTTAAGGTGCCATTTGGCGATTAGCTTATATATCTGAGTTTCTACAACTGGGCATACTCTACTGTTAAAAGTTCTTGAACGTTTTGAAAGCAAGTACCAGTGGTCAGGTGCTGGTTGTGGCTGCTGTTTTCACTTCCCAAGCATCTGCTGCTAGAAGTGTTTTACTAATCCAACAGACTCTACAAGGCATATGTAATTTAGAATTTGCAAACACACTTAGCTACAGACAAAATTCACTAGCTTGAAATGGAGTTATGCAAATGTTTTCAAAGCATATGAGAATTTAGATATAGAAGGAATCAATATTTTTTTCCTTTGACCCAGTTAAGGAAGGGGGAATGTAGACACTTAGAAAACTTAGTATTCAAACTAAATGATATATCAGCGTCTCAAGTATAACAAAAAAAAAAAATTAGTAAAGGATGAATGCAAACAATGGAGTCACACTGAAATTACATCAGTAATTAAGCACTCTCCTAAGCTCTGTACTCAGAATGTCTTACATACAGCTAATTTATGCTCAGCAAGTCTTGTATCCCAAGGTCCTTTCAGCAATGGGAAAGAGCATTAAAGCTGCATTCAAGGCAATTCAACTAAATTAAGGTATGTAGGATATTCACCCATATAACTTCTTATGATAAATTCGCCTACTTAGCAGTACAAATTCCAGAATCTACAGAGTAGGTTTCCTGCGCTTAGGATGGCTCACTTTGTATAAATGAACAGATTTCCAAATTACATGTCTAATGTCAGCAAGTACAGTAAGTATATGAAATCCTTAAGTATTCCTGTAAACTTTGAAAACGCTTGCATTTGAAAATGCCTTTCTCATGATGACTTTGGCTTGAGTGCAGCAGCCTAACGAAGCCTAATGACACACCCAGCACTCTTCAAGAAGCTCCGCTTCCCTACAGACTCAGGAGTGGAACATTTATCCACAGAGGAGGGAGGCCATCTAAGCTCCTGCTTCTAATCCTGTCCTCAATACCCGAGTATTTCAGCAAGCAGTACAGCAGTAGTCTGGATCTTGTCAACAACAATGCAGCATAAAAGGGGGGTAATGGGTGGAAGGGGAGCAACTCCCCCCGGATGCTCTGGACAAATTATGCCTTAGTCTCAAGAAGGGACCCGGAAAGCTGACTTTATATTGAAGGAATTTAGCCTCAGAACATTAAGCAGTCAAGTGGCTTAGATGGCTTTGTGAAAGAGATTACGCTAATTCGTGGGGGATGGAGGGATCCAGCAACAGTTCTTTAACCACCGCAGGTTAACGGAAGTTGTGTGTTCAGAGCTAGTGCACCAAGCACTACCTGGTACACATGACAGACAGTCAGGTGTGTGTGTGTGTTGCGTGTACACTTTCACACGCAGGTCGGCCGCGAGATTCCTGGAAGCACCTGCGGGAAACAGGAGCCTGACCTCGGCGGGGCCCCGAGCCCGATCCAGCAGAGTCCGCTCTCTTTGTTCTTAGGAAAGCCCCCGGCCCCAAACGGGAGACCGGCCTCCGAAGCCCAGGAAGACCCTCCGCCCCAACCAGTTCAGCACTGCGGAGAGACAATGGCCGAAAGGCGAGACGCTTCCCGGGACCCCCCAAAAGTCAGCAGCCCCTTTGCTGAAGGCGAGCCCAGCAGCCCCCAGAACCCCCCCCCAATACACAACCACCCCGCGGGGCGAGAGGGAGCCCCCGCAGAGGCGCAAGGGCGGGAACCGGGCAGAGAAAAGCCCTTCGGCCTTCCGAGGCGGAGAGAAGGACAGCCGCCTGCACGCCCTCGACCACTAGGCCGCCCCACCACCAGTATTATTTCCCCCGGGCGCAGGGCGGCCACCCCGCCTGCAGCCTCGCCCGGGTCCCACCCCCCCACCCCCCGCCGCCGGGCTGGGGCCAACTCGAGGCGCGACCGGGAAAGGGAGGGAGGGCAGGCCGGGCCCGTCTCACCTGCTGAGGAAGGGCCAGGAGCGGCGCGCGGGGAAGAGGAGGAGGGGGACGGGGACGCAGCTCGACGCGGCCTGCGCCTGCCTCCCTGCAGCTCCCGGGCCGGCGGCGGGCGGTGAGGCGGCGGGCGGCACCTCAGTCTCTGGCTGGCGGGCGGGCGGGCGCGCCCTGGTCGAAGCCAGCTCCTCCCGCTCCTCCTCCCGACGCAGCCGAGGCGGGGCCTAAAACAACCCAACGCCGCCGCCGCCGCCGCCGCCGCCTCGAGAGCCTTCCGGGCCGCTTTCGGGGGCGGGAGACGCGGTTCTCTGCGGCGGGGCGGGTGTCGGCTTCTCCTCAGGCGCCGCTGGGCTCCGTAGGTAGGCCCTTCCTGAGGGAGGGAGAGAGGCAAGGGGGGCCCCGCGCGCCAAGCCGCCTTCCCGCCTCAGGCGAAGGCTCCGCCCGCAGCCCTCGCTCTGCGCCGCCGGGGGAGGAGGAGGAGGGGGATCGTCCGGGTTTTAATGAAGGAGGCGTCGGGGTGGAGCGAGAGGAGGAGGAGGCCTCGAGCCCGCAGCCCCCGCCCCCAGGGAGGCCTTCCGACGGCGCCGGAGGAAAGACGGCTGCCCCGCTCGCCTCGGGAACCGCGACGGCGGCACCAGGACGGCAGCCGGTTGAGCCAGTGACTGGAAAGGCAGGTATCCCTTTCCGACCGCCAGTCCGCCATTAAACGACTCCCCCGCCTCCGGAAGGCGTGGGGTGGGAAAACTGGGTCCCCCCCCCCCGCTAGCCTAAAGGCCGCCGTCCAGTGGCAGCGCACCTGCCTTGCGTGCAGAAGGCCCCCGCTTCGCTCCCCCCGGGGCAGGAGAGACGCTCCCCGCCTGAGGCCATGGAGAGCAGCTGCTGCTGCTGCCGGTCAGTGTAGAGCAGCCTTTCTCCACCTTGGGCAGCAGCAGCTCTCCAAGGCTTCAGGCGGGGAGTGTCTCTCCTGCCACGGGGGTTCCCAGGTGTTCTTGAACTACACCTCCCATCATCCCCGGGGCACTGGCCGTGCTGGCTAGGGATGATGGGAGCTGTAGTCCGGCCACACCTGGGGACTCAAGGTTGAGAAAGGTTGGGCAATGCTGTACTGAGCAAGACCAGGGGCCTGGCTCCAGTATAAGTTCCCATATTGACCTGCTAGTGCATCCAGCACTGGCTTTGGTTCCTATGCAGAGTAGCGTCTCCCTCTCTCTCTGTCTCTGCCACTCTGTGGTCTCCAAGCCTCGGGCATGAGAAATGCTAGCCGCAAACAATTCGGTTCAGTGCCTGGTGCCAATCAATGTGGGGTAAGGTCTGTTGATGGGTGAGAGGCCGGACGTGTCTCAGGGGTCCGTGTTGGGGGACTGACTCTGAGGGGAAGCAAGCAAGAGGGCTTCATGTTGGGGCTGCACCTGGCTCCCTTCTTCCAGTGCCAGCAATACAGGGAGGGCAAGGAGAGCCATAGTGGGGAAGACCACAGACCAGGAGAAGATGGCCAAGAGAAAGAGCATCCCCAGCCACCACTGAGTCAAAGACTGCTGGGGTATCCAGGCTTAAAAGAGAAGGCATTAACTGGACCCCTTGAAGCAGGGGTCTCTGGAATGGAAAGAGAGAGACTAATCTTGTGGCTAAGGT